AACGTTATGGAAATACCTGTCTCTTGTAGTTGAACCTCCAAAAGCTCCTTGCTCATCTTTCATTTTGTAGTACAACGGCGCAGCATGAGAGGGCAACTGATGACAAGGCTGTTTTCGATGCGAGTTGTTCTCATCATAAAGGCTCTACAGGTGCGAATAGTCAATACATATCCTGATACCAATAATCTCATACACGCACGAGGGGGCCATGCCCACCACGATTGCCGGAAGTCACATATGTCTCAAAATATGATCGCAATTTAAGCTACATAAGGCGTCTAACTGGACACCACCATTTCCCTCAGTTCATTAACTATCAGTCGCCAGTCAATGTCACTACAAAGATTTTGTAGCGACTAGAGACTCCAGCCCCGCCAGGTAAGCATGGCTAAATGTCTGTCTAGCATGGGTGATAGCTTCCTGCGTCTAGTCAAGAGCCTGCTACAGAGATGATTGCGCGTCCGGATACACGCCCGACCTTGACGGAGTCTGGACCGTTGATCTATCACTGAACGATGAGGAGAAATCCTTGATGATGCTACAATTGAGGGGTGCCCTGTCACCCTCGTGATACCCCGGAGAAACAAAGAGGTCATTCTAGCACAAGGAGGCCTCGCCCAAAAGCTCATGACAGCGACCCAGGAGCTGAACTATTCGACTGATTTTTGTAACTTTCTCAATACGCTTCGCAACACCCAGGCCCTGGTCCTCGGAACTTCTTCCAGATCAGACCCGCAAGATGTACGCGGAAATCACTTGCGGCCTTGCCAGCACTTGCATGGCCCATTGCGGCCGTGCGATATGCGCAAACTGGATACCTGCTATCTATGTGGCTGCTGTACTGATTATGATCAATGTCGGCGGAGTGCCCAATCTTATTGTTGCTTCAGCTGAGTAGTGGTACTCTATTCTGTTGCAGTGGGGAGGCAGTCCCACCGATGAAAACAGTCCTCCACAAAGCATTTCACCCAGAAGCTACTTATGTCGACGAGCATGTGGAGAAACTGGCGCAGACTATACATAGTGGTGCTCGTGTGGGTCGAGATGTCAATGTGGAACTCGTCGACCAAAGGAAAGCAGGTACTAAGGACCTGGGACCCTTCGCTATGTGACCCTGGGAGATGCGGAACCTCCACGCGGGACCCCGTGCGGCCAAGGCGCTGATCTGGGTATTGGACTCTGGGCCCAAGAATATCATAGGCGATTCGGTTATCGTACTTGTACCTACCTATCGGTACGCCAATGCCGGTCGGAAGACGTACATTTATCAATGTATGGTTGACCGGAAGGTCAACCCGGCGAATGGCCAGAACCAGGGAGATCTACAATGAGCGCTCTGCAGCACACAGGCCCATTCTGCGATGTTCGTCATACTGCTAAGGGCCACACATACCGCGCGCAGAAGGACGTCCTCACACGCTTCTCAACATACTTGAAGTCGACGTCTGGTGGCTTTTTGGTGGCGGGGGGAGTTTTAGCCATCAATGGGTGGGACGGTTTATCAACCACTGCGTGGTGTTATTAAACGGCTGCCACTGCGCCTTCCATGCCGTCCCCGGGACTCACTTCTCTGTCTCTTATCTGGAGATTGGAGAGTCGAACCATAGATGTTTTGTATTGTGAGGGTTGCTACGTGACTTTGCCCCGGCTACGGGAGTTATCTAGTCTCCCACAACTACTTCCCGTACACGATCCACGATTTCGACTTACACACGGTATACGGAAACAGGCTATCGCTGCTAGACATGGGCTCTAGACACAAACAGTCTTGCACAGTCTTGCACTTCAAGAAGGATTTCATTTTCGTCCCTGAGTTGGGGAAAGGGAAACCCTTGCTCTTCTACACCCGCGGCACGTCCGCTGGATTCGGCTATTTTTTCATGGCTGCCTTCTTTCCTCATCCAAGCCGGTCCCATTTGACACCCCGCGCCACCGAGCAAATCCTGATCAAAGCTTGGTTGGCACGGCAGCCTATTAGCTAGCAATACCCCATACCTCAGCAAAACCGCGTTGGATTCAGGATGCATTAACAAGAATCAGTCGAGCCGTGGGCACACTAGCATGCGGTCGACATTGTAGAATTTAACAAAGACCATCTAGCTCTCCCGTATTAAACTACGGTACCAAGGGAAATTTTGCCCTAGTTCTCTTTCTTATCAAGAAGCCAACACAGGCACGCAGGCACCGGGAAACAAGACTGCGTGAGTATCAAAGATATTTGCCGTTGCTGCTCACCCAAACGGACCCTCCTAGCTTAAGGTGGCGCATATGCGCTGTGCTGGGTACAAGCAAAACATGCCAAGTACATTATCTTGGTACCCCAGGAGATTATTACCAATCTCAATCCCTATTCGAGCAACGGCAATACCGAGTATGAGCATTTCTAGATGCATTCAACTTGAATCAAACCCAGACTAGAGCCTTTAGTCCATCGGAGATCAGGCTGATGGCTCGCTTCGGTGTACGGGTATCGGAAAAGGATACCTACCTATCCTAAAGAGGAGCCATAGCTTCGGGATAGGCTTAACCAGACACAGGTGATAGTACGCACTTTGGTGACCGCACGATGGCCACAATTCTGGACAACGTACCTATACACGTCCGCTGACGGGGCAGGTCTCGGGACGGTATACACGGAGACCGAGGCTGACCAAAGAAATCAAGCCACATCAACGACATCCTCGAAGAAGAGAGTGTCTAAAGTTATCACGGCAAGACAAAACGCTCTCGCCTTATCTTGGGAAACACTCAACCCAAGTTATCTGGCGATAGTCCGCAAGTAGCCATCCGTCAAGCGGTTACTCAAGACGCCAGGGTCTGCGAAGCAGGCTGGAGCATTGACAAGCGACATCTACACTCCCTGAGACAACCACCTCCTATCATGATTTACGTTAGAACTTCCAAATCCAGCCTCGCTCGCTTTCCTACAACTCAACATACGCAACATGTCAAACTCTTCGTCGCCTGATTCAGAATCGCCCAGCAACATTTCTGGTGAAATCAAAGGATGCTCAGTCGAACGCATTAGTAGACGGCAGTCATCACCCTCCCAAACTGTGAAACCATCGTGAGTTTCCGCGCTGTCACCATCACATCAACCACTCACAAAGCAGCCTGGCGTGATGGTGAAACCATCATGAGTTTCCGCGCTATTACTATCACATCAACCAACCATGAAGCAGCCTGGTGTGATAGTAAAACTATTATGAGCTTCCATGCTGTCACCATCACACCAACCAACCACGAAGCAGCCTGGCGTGATGGTGGCCATGGCTGCATTTGCAACCACAGATATAGACATATCTATAGTTAAGGCCCTCTTCACGCCCATGGAACTATCCACCTCCTAGTAGTTCTTTATAGGGGCCCTTTAAGCCCTCTTCACACCCTAGGACAGCACTAGCAGCGCCATATTTTAATAGAGCGCGCTATGGCTCCAAAACAAAATCGGCACTGAGTGGGCTGGGACGGCTCTTGAGAACCGGGTCATCCTGTTCCCAGTTTATCCCACTCGACCAACTTGCCGGCGGAAGAAATTACAATCTACTTTGCATAAGTACCGCGTAGCCAAAGTGGGGATCCTCTCAGCAAAATCATCCCGCGACCGGAGGGATGAACCCTTGACTTTTACCCAACTTTTAAATCGAGAAAAAGCGACTTCCATAATTCTGAGTGGCGATGGTGGCGAAGAGGTTCGGCAGATCGAGGCGAAATAATTATCCCGTAGGCCCAATTCGAAAAACTGCAGCGAGCTCGGCCAACTTTCTAAACGATAGTTCGCATGACCTCAAGTATTGGACGCTATGTGCTCTACATCAAGTTTCGCAGCGGAGCATATTATGGTGGTTGTTCTCAATTAAATCATCAAGACCCTGACAGCTCTCTATCGCGCCCCCCTAAGCGCCTAGATCTCCAGTTGGAAATGCGTGGTGCTGTGATTCATAACCCCCTGCCACTTATGGATACCACCAAGTTCACCGACCTTCAATCTCTTGCACTTCAATGGGACGGCCTATCTCTCCAGTGGATATCGGCTCTATTGCAGTTTCCTCAAAGAGCTTATACTGCGATTCTCACAAAGATCAGGCGGTTTGAACAGGGTGGCCCGGATGTTTCTCGATGAAGTATGGGAGCCCTTTTGTTTATTCGCTCCAAACGTTTCATTTACCCATCGAGGGCAACATAGGCTTTTCGCCAGCGGGACAAGATGTAGTATGGAGCAAGCGGGCACTCATCGTGCTCAAAAACCTCCGGGAGCTTTCCATCTCATGCGAATTTTTCCCAGCCGAGGACGAAGGCCTGGAAAGCAGGCCCTGGTTACCGCCATCACTCGTCGAGTTGCGGATTACCGATCTTCTTTCGCAGTTGACCGAGTTTTATAATTGTCTCGCCCTTGATCCTGATTCGGTTGCTTTGAACCTTTTATGTAGGCAGTGGAACACGCTCACTGATTTGCGAAGTTTAACATTGGATGGTGGACACATGCAGGATGTGGAGAAGCCTCGCAGAGTTCTTTTGGGAAATGCTTATCCAGATCTGTTAGCCAGGGTTGTATTGAACAAGGTTGTATTGAAGATTTTGCCGCAGTTCAGGGGGTTGAATATCCACTGGATTTCGAGGTTAAAGCTTGCTTTGCAACGATGTATACCACTGGAGTTAGGGATCGGAAGTATCAAACCTGACAGATATCTGCACAGCCACAGAAAGTCCGAGGCAAGAGAACGGAGTCATAAGCCTCCATGATGCAAGAGAGACTTACTTCTTGATAATTCAAGTTGGTCTGATGTTATTCTAAGTTGTATATTTCACTGTTGTGAATACACTCAGATGATGGGATGTGGAGAACTGGCAAATTGTGTATGTAACTCTAGTGCCATTGGACAGTTCTTAAGCAACGGCCCACAACCATCACATGCGAAGCAGTCACGTGTCAATGGCCCTTTATCCAACCAAAAGCTTTCGAGCCGCAAATCCTCCCTTCCCTCTCACCCCAACCTGTCATGCCACTTCGAATAACTTCCGCCCCCGTCTCCGGAATCAAAAAGCGAAAAGCACCCACCTCTACACGCTCCCGCCCTTCCCCCTTCGCCAGCCATGCGCGCAGCAAACCAAGCGTCCGCTGTCCTGGCGGCAGTGGCAGTGGCCTGAAGAAGCCGCACGACGACGACCCAGACCTTGCCTACGGCCCCCTCCCAGACCTCGGCCTCTCGCGCCACGTCGCCGAAACCGCACCCGTCGAAAGTGTCCTCGATGCGCTGAAATATGTCCGCAATAAAATCTTCGAAGACCTCCCCGCGCGCGCGGGGATGAACAGCACGCGGATCGCGCAGGTGCTGAATTTCCGGCGCTCACTCCCGCCGCTCGTCTCCGTTGCGCATGTACATACGCTTCTCGATGCGCCGACGAAGGTCGAGAGAGAGATCATGGAGCTTGCGATTGCCGGCCGGATCCGGAGGCTGATTGTTCCTGGGCGCGGGAATGATGCGGCGGGACTGGGTGATTGCCTCGTGTTGACGGAGGACTGGGAGAGGCTTGTGCGGGAGAGTAGTGTGCTCGACTCGGAGCTCAAGGAGAAGTTTCTGACTGTTCTCGGACGCATTGGGAACACGTGCGCTATACCGGGGACGGCGTTCTCGGCGCCGGAGTATACGGCTCTTGTGAGGGGTGGGTTTATCGTTTCGTCGTCGTCGTTGGCGAAGGGGATGGTTAGTGTCCCCTCGCTACCGGATCTACCCATCACAACGAATAGCATGGCCGGGGCGGCGAGTCGGACTGGCTCTGGAAATCCACCAAGTGAACCTGGACGTACCGCTCAATCACAATTCCACACCGCAACGCTCTTCCTCTCCCTTCCAAACACAGGTCCATACCTCAAACTTCTCGGCGCAGGACGAGACCATCTGGTCTCACTACTGAAGAAGTCCAAGTCGGGTGAGGTACCCCTCTACCTCCTGCGTGACCGATGGGACGGCGCAGTCGAGTCTGAGCGAAGCTTTAGTGTTGCGAAAAGGGCCAGAGGCGAGTTCGCTGGGATTCTCCCCGGCAAGACGAAGAAGTGGAAGGATCTCTATGGGATGAGCTTTCGGTGGGTTCTGGAGGAGGCGATTGGGGCTGGGTTGATTGAGATTTTCGATACGGGGAGTGTTGGGCCCGGGGTGCGGGGTTTGTGATGGCCATTTTTGGCTGCGCATGTATATATAGTCCTCGTGATGACATGTTTTATACCCATAGATTTATATGATGTTCTGCCTGCAAACATCCAAGGAACTCCCGTACGATCCAGTAGACCCTCTCTTGTGGCTCCTCAAAGATCACGTCGATGCAAATAGTAGCATAAGGGTAGAGTATTAAGTATGTAGGGTCGAAAATGCAAGACAAGCACACCAAAACGCCGATTTATCCCAAGCCAAGCCCATCATGGCTACCATTAGATCCACCCGAATCCGTTCCATCCCATATCCCAAAAAGATCCCAAATAACCCAGATCAGTAAATCATCGAATCATATATGTATACGCATGTATATGTATGCAAGATGCACCATGCTCGCGCAGCCGTAAGTGCGCTAGGGAAGAAAACCTCCCACAAAGCAAGCACCTTTTAGATTCCTACACCCTCAATGCAAGAAGGCCACGGACCTAATCCCGTCTGCCAATCAGCTGATCACCGACTCTCCCACGAAAATCTCCTCACCCTCGCCCCCGCCCCCGCAATCTGCTCATCAATGCTGGCTCTTGGCGGCGTAAACCTCCCCGCACCAGGAACATCCGGCCTCTGGAAAACCGGCGGCGGCTGCGTAAGTGCAACCATCGGCCCCGGAAACCCAGGATGCGGATGGCGGTAAGCCGAGGAGATGGACATTGAGCGCGAGGGAGCGGGCGAGAGGACGGGAGGGGAGTATGGCGGTGGAGGCGTTTCCCGGGTTGCGGTCGATGTGTTCCCGTAGCTACTCGGAAATGAAAGAGCGGAGGAGACGTCTGAGGTCACTTCTTCGGGGCGTGGATGTGTGTAGTAGGGGTAGTAGTAGTTTGGGGAGGTGGTGTCGGTGTGATGGGTGTTTGGGTCTGGTGTGGTGCCCGTGGCTTCTTCCCAGGCGAGGCGCTGCTTCTCGTCGGTGCTTAAGGTGTAGGGGTTTATGTTCGACTGGGGTTCGGTGTGGTGGTGATGGTGATATGTTTCTGACGAGATGGGGGGATCGCGCATGTGAGCTTCCAGAGTCTTTTCGTGAATGCTCATTGGCCGCGGCGTGTATGCGGGGAGAGGGACAACGGTGTTGTAGCCATCTTGATCTTGTGGTGGCCCGTGAGTGTTGTTGTTCGTGGAGCAGAGGTGTGGAGGGGTGGTGGGTGTCTGTTGCGTTTCGGGAGATTTGAGGGCTTTGGTGGGTAGGCAGCAGCTGAGGAGGCTGGAGAAGCACGACATGACGTGTTTTGTCCCTTCTAACCAGGTATAGATATGGATCTTGTGGCGTTTGAGAGGCAAAATGCCAGGTAGAACTGTCGAGTTCCAACGGTGGGAATCCGGGTGCCTGGGTGGACCGCTGGCACAAGTGAGACGGGTTCGTTCTCCGCAGTTTAGTAGAGATGGCGGGGAAAGGTTATTGTGTAGATAAGTTGATGAGAATGATTTTAGCGGAACATCGCACAACCACCTCCCCGGATAAAGAGGCCAGATCTCGTCGAGGAACTGGAGAGAAAACGAGACAGAGGTCGGAGAGGGGAATACGAGGAAAGCGGGCTTTAAGTCGGACAGTTCGGAGGGTCAATTGAGGCTGTGAACAAGCTGGCCTGGCCTTAGGCACCGCCGTAAACGCATCAGTTGATTGGCTGCCGCTTATCAGTCGGATCAGCCGGCTCCACCTAAAGCGGTGACTACTTTCTGCCCCCGGCTGTCAACAATTTTCTCTCGGATTTTCTTGTCCCTTCCTATCCTGTTCGCCCCTCTGCTCTGGTCTCTCACACAACGCCATTCTTTCAAGAAGCCCTCCATTCGCTCAAGGGCCTCGTCACAATGTCCGCAACAGCAGCTGTCGCTACACCTACAGACATTGTTTCAGCCGCCCAAGCCGCTGTCCCCCCACAAGTACCCCCGCACCGCTCGCACGACCCCGCCAATAACCTCAAACGCGTCGACCCCTTCCAGTTCGGCTCGCGCTACCTCGAACAAGGCGACGACGTCTTCGAGTTCAACGCCTGGGACCACGTCGAACCTGACGACGAATTCCTCGCCTTCGCCGAAGTCCAGTACGCCAAACAGCGCGAAGCGCCCTGCTCGGATTTTGACAAGCAGCGCTTCAACGCCGATCCCGCAAAATGGTGGAACCTGTTTTATAAGAATAATACGGCAAATTTCTTCAAGGATCGCAAGTGGTTGCAGCAGGAGTTTCCGGTTCTCGCCCAAGTCGCTCAGAAAGATGCTGGGAAAAAAGTTGTATTGGAGGTTGGTGCCGGCGCGGGGAATACGGCGTTCCCCTTGATTAGGAATAATGAGAACCCCGAGCTCATGGTGCATGCGTGTGATTTCTCGAAGACGGCTGTTCAGGTTATGCGCGACAGCGAGTACTACAACCCCAGCTGTATCACAGCTGATGTCTGGGATGTGAGTGCGCGGCCGGATGAGGAGAGTAATGGTCTACCGCCTGGTCTGACCGAGGGATCAGTCGACGTCGTCATTCTCATCTTCATCTTCTCCGCCCTCGCCCCCGACCAATGGGAGCAGGCGATCCGCAATGTTTACCGCGTGCTTAAGCCCGGCGGCCAAGTCCTCTTCCGTGATTATGGACGAGGCGATCTCGCCCAAGTCCGTTTCAAGAAGAACCGATACTTAGCCGAGAACTTTTACGTACGAGGTGACGGCACCCGCGTGTTCTTCTTTGACCGCGACGAGCTAGAGCAGATGTGGGGTCAGTGGACTCCTGAAAAGGGACTGCCGGAGCTGAAGCCGAAGGAAGAGACGACCAAAGAAGCCACTCCCGATTCTACCGAGAAGGAGAAGGAGGGTGTCTTTGATATTCTCAACCTGGCGGTTGATCGTCGACTAGTCGTCAACCGCCAGCGCAAGCTCAAGATGTACCGCGCCTGGATTCAGGGACACTTCGTCAAGCGTCAGTAAAGGGGCCCGGCCAACACTATCACTGTTTAACAGCCCTCCGAGTTCCGACTGTATCAGTGCGGAAACAAAAACTTACCTGGAATCCGCGGATGATCTCTGTTCGACATCCCGAGATATAACGGGTCTTACTCAACACTAAGTCTCGATAAGAGAACCGACTTCAGACTCAAGATCATCCAACGCGCCGCATCAGTCGGTATAGATGCCAAATGGCCCGTCTGGTAGCAGGATTGAAATCAGCCGTCTTTCTGCATATGACCTCTGCAGCTCTGCATCCAGGTGAAATCACCTTGAGTCAACCTTTGATAGCAGAGGGATCCTCGCTTTGAATGACGACGGGGCGACGATTGTACGAACACGCAAGAACTACTAGAGTGGTTTGATATATTTGCGAGTTTAGCATATTTGTGATGCATTAGCGTTTACCATCTAGATATAGATATGTTGGAATTTATAGCTTTTTATGGCGATCACGTGCTTCCTCACTCGTTTGTATAGGCCACCAGAAGTTAAGATGAGTAGTCGAAGGTGCGAAGACATGGTCGAGGTGGGGGTCTGCGGGACTCCGAAGGAAGTATGTATAAGCGGGGCAGCAATGCCCTAACTGACCCGTAGGGAAGCCTTCAGGGTCGCGATCTCTAGCGCTAAGAGCTCGACTCGGAAGCTGTAGGAGTCAGTTTTTAGCCGCTTAACGTCGCCGACACCTCTTCGCGACTGGAAAAGTGCGTGTCTGCAGTGAGAAGACATCGGCGGCGCCGCGACGGCGAGACGTTAACTGAATAAAGGTGCATATCGCCGAACTTGCAACAAGTTCTACTTGGGGGCACCCAAAGCCCTAACAACGGGAACAACTGCACCCATTATATTGATAGACGACGTGTAGCCGCCATTCATTATCTTTGAATCTCCTCATGTCACCCAGAAGCACCATGTTTGCCGCAATAACAGCCTTAATAGGCACCAGTCTGTTCCTCAATAATTTATTCTCCCGATTTTCACTACCTCGGCGACCCGAAAGGTCTAACACCCGCGGAAGGTGCTACCATCCTGGGCGCTTTTATCCCTGGCATACTTACGGGAGCATGTCCGCGTATAAGGTGCATCGTGATGAATGTTTCTTCACGAACCATGATGTCTACCAACCATGGGCAGGACTGGACTTTGAACGGAGCAACTTCGCGGATTTGGTTTCTCATTCTCAATTATAACGACACTTCCAATCAGACGGCTCAAACCCAAGTATTCCAGGCCCATAAGCATGGACGATACAGTTCAGCCTTCTTACTCTTCCTCTCTTGGATTACGCCTCTGCAGCCAACGCCTCACGCCTTGACTTCGAAGCCGGGTCATAGTAGGGAATCTCTCCCAGCGAGACCACTCGATTACCTTGACGCTTGCCGTCATAGTCACTGGCATATGTCAGTACATTTTACTTTACAAACCGAAGCAAGGTACTTACTTTGTTGCGGTGTGGAAGACGGAGCGACTGAAATATAGTTAGTGAGATCCGCCACCATACCTAGGCCGTGAAACTTACTTGTCCCAGATCGCAAGATCATTCGTGTTCCACTTCAATCGTACTTGGAGGTCGTGGTTCTCGGAAATGAGTTGACGGACTATGAAAATTAGCGACATATTTGACCAAACCTGACCGGCAAACATACAATATTTCTTCAAAATCTCGCTCTCGCGCTTCGTGACACCTTCAATCCAGCCGTTGTCGACTTGACCCGCGGCACCGAAGAGACTCTTCCAGCCGGTGACTGGATTTGTGCGAACAAGAGGGCTACGCAGTGTTAGTTCTGCCAGAGAAGGAAGCTTGGATAGCATACTGGCTCGCCTTGAAGTCATATCCCGTGTTCTCTGGAGCTCCGCGGTCTCCCTCAATGAGCTCGATACCGTGCTGCTTAGCGATGTTGTTGAAGGACGGCTTTTTACGTTAAGCCCTGGCTTACAACATATAACCTGGATGACCTTACCTGGTGATGAACAGCGGTCAAAGTATCCGCGAGCGCCTGAATAGGAGGCGAGAGCCTGTCATACACCTCGTATCCGGACGCCCACAGAGTGTCGCCACCGGTCTGATCCTCGGGAGAGTGTGTGATCTTGAGAATGGCGTAGTCCGAGGGAACCCTCTCAAACGTGATACTGCAACAACGTTAGTATAGCCCTGACACTGCACTGAGTGACTTACTCGGCATGCCATCCCTCGCTGGCAAGATGACCAGAGTTGTTAACGAATCTGTCACCGTAATATTTACGGTTAGTCTCGGAAGAAATGACCGAGATCTCATCGTCGAGCTTTCCATGCTCATTGACGGTGATCTGCCTTCCAGCATTGTTGACAGCGTGTCGGTGAAGCTGAAATCATTATTAGCGCGTCTCGGCCATTGATTCGAGCTAGGAACGAGTATCTACCTTTGAAGTCTCAGGCTTACCGGTCAGCTCGCCCAGCTTCTGACCAAGAATTTTCTGCTCATCAGAGTTGATGCTCTGATTGCGGAAGAAGACGACACCGCGACGAGACACTGAAGACTGCGTTAGCAAACTCCCCATCCAGAAATCCGGGGAGCATACCGGTGATAGCCAGATCGCGGAGCTTCTGGTCATCATTGAGGATATCCGTGAGCTGGAGTTCGGGAAATTCCTTTCCAATCACAGGAGTCACGTCGAAGCTCTTGTACTCGTCCAGCGAGCCGGAGTACTTGAGAGGCTCGCGGATATACCCAGAGGAAGCAGCAGCTTTCTGAGAGTCGAGCTTCGCCTCGACATTGGGGACGGGCGTTGGGGTAGCGACTTCAATCGATGGAGCCATGGTATTGAACTGTTCTGATGGTGTCCGTTGGTAAGGATATACAACCTGAAGATAAAACAGTGTCTGAACAAAGCTCGCCTTTACCTCTCTTATATATGCTACCACCGGCAACCTCCCCAAATTGCACCATCCACCTCCAGGTTCGCACATACACCCTATCTATCCCCAACCATTGGTATACAAAGCGCCTTATCAGATCTCAATAGGACGAGACACGAGATGCCGCATATAACCCCTCACTGACGACATATTGCAACATAATGCTCCAAGCCAGCACAACAGTGACAGGATCGCAGGTGACGTGAGCAACCGAGATTCTACCAGTCATTCGCGCGGTCGACTGCGGCACTGCATTATAAAGAATCGAGATTTGCTGCCACGCGTCGGCGTTATAGTGCGTCGGTAGCCCGGAACGAAGGATATGGGGACTAGGACCGAGATTCGGCGATAGGTAATTGCTCAGAGCCTAATGGCCGATGAGGTGTTGTTGGCTTCCTAATGACCGACGATGCACTGTTGTTGTATTGGGTGCGGATAACGTGATCGCTACCCCGTCTTGCATATAATTCTTCAGTATCAACGGGCAAGTCTCACCCCAACGGGGATCGAGATGAGAGCTAACGTTGGAGAAACGAGCTCGAACCGTGAGGTCTGAGGTTCAGCCGTTACCGATGTCATTTATTCGGTGGACGTTTCATTCGCTCATGATATGGACTTACAGCAGCCGCACTGGGGATACGAGGCGCAAGAGGCGTTATGAGCGGGATGAGAACTTGAACATGGTATGTTATTCATAAAGACTAACCAAGATAGTGCCGCCAATATCGTTGAGAATATATGCGAAAAAAATGGGAGCGCCAGGATAAGCAGCTAGTAGTCGTCTTCGTCCTCGCCCTCACTGCCATCCTCATCCTCATCATCCTCATCATCCTCATCATCCTCATCATCCTCATCATCCTCATCATCCTCATCATCCTCATCATCCTCATCATCCTCATCATCCTCATCATCCTCATCATCCTCATCAGTATTATCGTCATCTTCATCCTCCCCATCCTCGGAATCATTGTATTCACCTTCACCATCCTCATCATCCTTCGCACCATTCATGCCATGCATAATCCCCGCCGCAGCCAAACCTCCCAGCGCCGCACCACCCACCCCAGCCGCAATCAACCCCCCCTTACCAGCACCAGAAGGCTTCGCACTATTTGCTTGATACGGTCCCGGTGGCTGTTGAACACATGGCGCATATCCCGCTGGGATCGCATTAGCAACGTGATAAAATCCCCGGGTTGATTCTGACCCAAGATGGAGCGGTCGCTTCCAACCACTACCGCAAGATCGTACGCGCCCGTTTGGCCCAGAGCTAGACCAGGACTAGTCCCGTAAGGTGCTTGTTGAGTTTGCCATGGATTAGACCTGTCTAGTCCTCCCGGCGCCTCTGGATTATAGGGATTAGCCCCTGTCTGGTTTTTATTTTGAAGGTCGGAACTAGCGAAGCCGGGGTTGTAAGGCGGGTCATAGACGCCTGGTCGGCTAGGGTCGTAAGTTCCCGTGTTACTCCATGGGTGTGTAGGAGTTGGGCCAGAGTATCCAGGCCGATTCGGACTGTTTACATTGGTATATCTGGGGTCGTATCCAGTACCGTACCGGTCGTTAGGGTATGGCGGTGGCGCGGGCGGATCACATGCACCCGGATACTGAGGGCCGCTGAAACCAGGCGACGTCGGGCTTTGACCTGGTGGGTAGCTCGTAGGGCTATATTCAGGCCCCCGCTGTGCATTGATATTGGTATTGGCACTGGTATGAGGAGGATTTGTCTGCTCGCTCGGTGAAGTGGGGTTAATTTCGTACCCGCCAGCCCATTAGTCGAGGATTCAACGCCAGACTGGGTAGGCGAAACCGTAGAGACCGAAGGCCGATTCTCGTTTGGTGTCGCCTGAGCCGGATCCGTATTAGTTTCATTAGGGTTGTGGCTGTTGGTAGTTGTATGGCTGTGGAGCGAGGTTTGGCTGGAGTTGGGGCTGCTACCCTGGCTACCAGTATGGCTCCCGGTGTTGCTATGACTGTGGTGTGGACTCGGTCCATGAATAGGACTGTGACCGTGACCATGACTCTGAACGTGTCCATGAGTGTGAGCCGGAGGATGTGAACCATGCGGATCATGCCCTTGCCCTTGAGGGCCATGAGGCCCAGGAGAAGGACCATGAGAAGGACCATGGCCACTACCATGTCCAGAACTATGATTGTGCGCCCAGCCATGACCAAAGCCATGCCCATGTCCCGACCCACCTTGCGGCTTCAGCGGCTTGGGCGGCTTCCCACCGCCGGCCATCTTCTGCGCCTTATTCGGCATCGACGCAGCTTGATTGCCAACGAGACGAGGCCCAGTCAGCCCGCTGAATGAAGGCGGAGGAGGACGAATAACTGCGCCCGGTGCATGTGGGTGCGGGTTGTGTGGCGGAGTTGGAGTAGGATGATGGCTTGAGCCGCCGAACATTCGGCTGAAGAGGCTGGGCTTTTTGGCTGGTTTCGCGGGGTTGGGAGTTCTGTCTAGGGAAGATCCGTGTGTATGTGTGGATTGAGCTTGAGGAGAAGGAAGAGGACGTGCTTGAGCTTGCTTTGGAGCGTTTTGAGCTGCAGAAGGCTTCTGAGTTGCTGGCGGTTTGACTGCAGACATCTTTGCCGGACGCTGGGGAGGGCCACCGTTGGCCGGATGGTGCGGTTGTATGGGTGGATGTGCACCAGTCTGCTTTAGCGACTGCCTTTGTTCTTTCTTTGAGATCTTAGGTTGTACAGCTTGAAGTGGGACCCCTTGTGGATGTGATTGTTGTTGCTGCTGTGATGACCACTATCTCTGTTCCTTCTTCGATACGTTTGGTGTCTTCTTCGGCTTTTCCATCGTAGCAGGGGCCACCTGAGTTGCACTCTGCGGGTGCGCCATGTGCATAGGATTAGGATGTGGCAATTGCCGAACCGGCTCCGGAGTTAGGGCTAGCGGAGGCTGGAAGTGGGTGGGTGGGTCGGGCCGCAGCATGTCCGGGTCGTTGAAGTATTGGAGGCTGCCTTTGAGGTGGTCCGGTTATTTGTTGTGAGGGATGGGTCGAGTGCATGAATCACGCTGTTGGTGGAGGATGTGGTACAGCCGGATATTGTGCGATCGGCTTGCTGACGGACCTCGTGTGTGGAACTGCAGTGTTTGGATGAGCTACCACGGGTGGTTTGGAGATCGGTCCTGGCGGGCGCTGGGTGATGCCAGTCAAAGGAGGATGGGCATGAATCTGTGACTGCTGAACACCATGCTGGACGCCTGGCGGCGATGCCCTAGCGAGCTATAGCTAAAAGAACTCTTTACTAATTCTATTAATAAATAATTATTTTTTATTGTTATTACTAATAGCTGCTTTAGAGTTTAGGTTAAGTATCTTCTTATATTAGTTTGCCATGTTATTAGCTCTTGGATTTTAGTGCCTGGTATTTATTATAGTATATATTTTGTGTAGCCCTATACCCCGGCTGCTCTGAAGCTTGGTATAATCACTTATCTAGATATCCTTGAAAGTGACAGACGTGAACAAATTCTGGAGAATATAAAATGACTGATAATGCCAGCCTCCGAACCTGACATAGTACAGCATGCTGATTCATATTCTCGGAGAGGTCAAGTTTATTGAAGTCCTTGTATAGCATGTGCTCATCGTCCATGCTGGGCTGTGTTCCGTTGGCCAGGTAGTAGCATTTTGCAACCTCCAGAAGGTCTAATAGAAATTTGGCGAGTTTTGCCGGCCTGGTTTTGTATCAGGATCAGGGTTATTACATTAATCTTATTCCAGAATATGGCCTCTCTAATACTTGTAATGCGCCCTACAGCGCTAAATACTCCTCTTATAATAAACTAAGTTAGGCTTTTCACACTATCTAGAAGGAGACATGGGTTAATAAGGTCCAGGGTGGGTTATATACACTCAAAGATTATTTTAAGGAGGTTGCGTACGGAATTGTCATCCGCGCCCCGGAATACATCCGTGGCAATGCTGATGACGCTCTTGGATATGCCCATTATGCGTGCAGAAGTAGAATGGGTTGAAGCCTGGCGAAGCAATCTTAATATCCAACGACAAACTACTATGTATATAGAGAGTGTCTTCAGCTTGGTTGTGGTTGAGAATATATAGTGCCCTACACTGTCGCGTCTAGTTGCTAGTCATCTGCTCCAGGAACGCAACTATGACCTCACCAAGTACCATATATCACGCTGGCTATAAGCCTTTAATGCGTATGGAATGACCTTTATTTTTGGTTTGTTCAGATTATGGTTTGGAGTTGAGATAAAGTTTCGTGATGCAAGTGGTCAGCTTGATTCCAGGAAGGTTGCGCCACATCCGAACCCTGGTTCAAATCCGGACAGGTGGTTGATCCGAGATCTATTACCTCCGTGGGTAAGGATGACAGCATGATCATGGATACCTTACCCGCGAATACAGTATGCTGCAATCGCCGTTCTCATTTCCCACGCCTTTGGTGAACTATATCCCTGCCAAACATGCCGCTCACACTACCCATTGCTATAAAGGAACACGATGCTTGCAGACCCTGGGTTTCGATACTACTGCATGGATATTGAGTGCCAGAATTTGCTAGTAGAAAGAATAAGTATTCAACAAGTATGTTGGGTGATCCGGACAACTGTGCCAAGAACCGCTGCCGGTCACAGCGCGCATCCGGATGCCTGGTAGCCCAAAGAAGAGTGCTGACCATTCTCCTGATTTTCTGGTTCATGCATGCCGAGTTGCGAAGACTTTCGACCGTGGTAGAAGTTTTGGTTTTCATTGTCAGCCGGTTCCGCGTCAGCCGTTCTAGATCCTATAGCCACAACCAGGGAGATGAATCACCATGTCGTTCGCATGGCAGCGTAATCATTTCCCGCCTTGCAATGGCCCCTAGAAAGTCTTACGGTTCGTTTTTCTGCCTCCCTTCCTGTGCTTCCGGGTCATGAGGCAAGAAAGAGGATAACAACGAGTCTTTCAATACACAAATTATTGCAACCAGATATGGACTTTGGGCAATTGATTCAGCACGTTGCTGACGGCGCAGGCCATGTGGTCAAGGAGTCTGCCCAGATCAGTAGCCATGTTGCCCAGGCTGTTGGAGGAGGGGCAGCCGAGTTTATTCGCAATACCGCTCAGACGACTGAAGACCTTGTGGAAGGAGGTACAGGGATCGGCCGTGGCTTCACAAGGGATACTGCTGATCTGATCAGGAAAACTGGAGGAGCTGTGGGAATATCGGCTGGCACCGACATTGTCGCGGACATTGTGCAGGGCACTGGTGACACGGCCGCTGGTGCTTTCCAGAACGTTAGTAACGTGCCAATTTGGACTGCAAGGGGAACAGCGGACGTGATCTCTTTCGTTGCAAACACAGGCAGCTCTGTCATCGACGCAATCGGCGAGGCAGCCGCAGAAGGTCTATCTCTTGCGGTGCGACCAGGAGAACTCGTTCACCGGGTTTCTCAGATATCACTGGATACCGCATACAATATGGTGATCCAGAGATTGCGGACGTTTTCTCTAACTTCGACTTCTGTTATGGTCATTCTCATACTTGGTATGTCGACAATAGCGGAATCCAAAGCAAGGATACTTGGCGCTGATTCTGATAGCCATCGCACTGCTCTCATATATCTCAACTATATGTTCGAATTTCTCTATCGCGATAATATCTGCGATCATTGTTCTGGTGGCACTGCGTTGGTTTCGGTCACGTTCCCTTCGCTGATACCCGGACTTGCATGACTGTCCTGTGTGGATAGAGGCTGGGCTATAACCTTGGTAAATCGATACTACATAGCTTTGAGAGTCATGAGCTAATCTTCGAGGTCTCATGTCGGCAGAGCCTGCACAAGTCAAGGTTGCCTTGGGGGCGTTTTGGAGAAGCGCAGAAGATTTGCAGAGGTCTCTTGAAACAAGCCTATAGTGGGCGCGGTATCTACAGTGGTTAGAGACCTTGGCAACTCATAATTTGGACTTGGCATCATTTTCAATACTTCAACTACCGATTCTCGTAGAGACTCTCCGGCTCGTTACCTCACCCAACAGGATCTGAGCAACGCTCTCAAGACTGCCCTGCTGCCCCGAGAAGAGTGCTTGAGCGTCGTAGTTGAATGCAAACACCCGGGCTCCTTTGATATCCTTTGAGACCAGATCCCGGAGCCAGACGGTGCCGTCGGGAGCCTGCCAGGTGTTCGCACCTGGCTCTGAGCTGAGCCCATGAACGGCCGCGATATCGATGGCTTTGGCTTCAACGTGCTTTTCTGGCTTTGGAGGTTTCTTCAGGCAGACTAGACCAGTCAAATGACCTGAGCCGTCTGGATAGGGCATTGATGTGTAGATGTAATGTAACACGGTATCAAAGATAACTATACAGCGGTGTTCATGCTTTATCAAGGTGAAGCGGAATCACGAAGGGCCGGTAGACTCGAATGAAGTGTGGAATCGGGACGGAAGGGTAGCGGGAGGGGATGTGCCTGATGAAGAAAGAACGAAGGTGGTGAGAGATTCGAGTTGATAGCCGCGAGGACCTTGATATGACACCACCTCTCCCATCTTCTAAAGGCTCAATCTAACTTGCTTTTGCAAAGGGGCCGGAATCATGATACTGAAAGGAGCCTTGTCGCTTCTTCAATCCGATTGGCTGAGATGGACCCCGTTGGGACTTCTCAGCAGCGTGCTAAGCGTGGTGTGAGAGGAATGTTACCTGCGCCATACACGGATAAAAGCGCCGAATCAACTCAAAAGTGCGTATGCGATGGGCCAGGAAGTGACGGGAAAAAGACCACGAGGGCCGAGACCAAAAAAAGCTCAGCCTGACTCGTCAATAAAGCCTGTTCTAAAGATCATGACACTCCATGTCACAGCCTCGACACTTCATCCTTTCGACCTTCCAATGAGGATCTAACGCTCTGCGCCGGAAGGTTCAGCTGAAAGAAGATTGAACAGAGCCTTGCACTAGCCAGAGGAACTGTATCCAATACTTGCGTGGAAGCGAGCAACAATTTTAGGTCATCATCAATTGACTTCTGCCCCCCCCCCCCCAAAGCCACCCTGCATCGACCAGGGACCAGGGACAAGCATAGTCCTCAATATTGGGGCCTCACACGGCCATGCTCTTAGGCGATCGGAGCCACGTGTCGACGTGGATTAATGCCGCTCGCAGGAAGATCTGCAGAGGGACTCACTACAGAGCCTCGTGGAGTCCAAATATAGACCGCGCAGAGAGAAGGCTGAATGTTTGGCGAGGGGAACAAACAAGGCGGGCAGATGTGTCCTATCCTAACCCGGTGGAAAGGATCACGTCAGGGCCCCCGTGCGCCCACCTGGAGTACCACACAGCCCCGCCCTCGGGCTTCTTGTAGGGGCTGCTGGTCGGGCTAGGTCGTCGGGTGGACAAACCGGGGTTCTTCTGGAAGACTAACAAATATGCATCTGACGGGGGTCCACAGGCAAACAAAGGGTTGGGGCTAAGACGCTGCATAATTGGAGAGAGGTGGAAATATTGTCGGGGCCCAAAATAGTGATTTGCTTTTTTCTGCTGCAGGCTGAGGTGGCCGTTCGAAAGATAAAATAAGCAGAGCCTTTGGCGCAAACCCTAACAAGCGCCAAACTTTCGGGGGCACCGAGACTCTGCCGATTCTGGCCCATTGGATTGGTTGACAAAAGGCGAATATCAAACCGAAAAAAAAGGAACAGATGGCTGTGTTGATCGCCTGGGAAGTACGGCAGGTCGTAATTTTGCTAAGAGCCGAGTACAACGTGCCTCGTGGCAGAGATGGTGGGACAGTGTATATAATAGGGCTGTCAGACCCAGATCAGCGAAGCCCAATTGAACACTCGTTCTACAACAAACAGAGCCTACCCTTGAAGTTGAATTGCTTTTGTGAATTACCATGGCACCCAAGAAACCCGGAGTCAATGGCAAGAAGGGCAAGAAGAACGGCATCAAGCAATCTACGTCTTCACTTCATGTTGCTCAGACCCCGTCTCATCTGCCTTCGACCTACATGGCTGCGACGGATGTCTATGGTTCAGGTATGTATTCTCCCCGGATTGGCTGCTGCGACGGACAATACTCACAGTAAAATGGTAGGCAAGAAAAGAAAGGGTGGAACCTGTGCCGTTGCCTGCTTCGCAGTGTTTACGTATATAGCTGCCATTGTCCTTGGGGGTGAGCTCTCCTTTACCAACTACTACATCTCCAACCTTGCTGACGATTCTAGTCTTTGGGGCTCTCGGCTGCATCAACAGCTCCTCAGCACTCAAGGGCGTATACATCGCCGAGCTGCATACCAACGACACCTACGACTTCTCCCTCCGCTTCGGCTACTTTGGTACGACCCCACACTAACCCTAACTCTCACCAGCACCCACCGCTAACACCAATTCTCCCCACTGCAGGCGGCTGCGTAACAGTAACCCAACCCTCAATGGAAACCTCCAGCAGCGGAAACCGCTCCTCACGCATCGCAACCAACTGCCTCGTCTCCCTCCGCGACCAAGACCTCGCCGACGTCTCCGAATCCCTCTGGGAAGGCCTCGACCTCAATTCGAGGAGCACAGCCGAATACGTGCAGGACCAACTAAACACCACCCTCCCCATCGTCGACCACCTGCAAGACGACGTCTTCCACTGGCCCGTTCCCGTCATCCACGTCGCCCTCTTCACGCTCAGCGGGGCGACGCTCTTTGCTGCATGCACGGGGTCATCGAGACGAAGGGCCTGGAAGGGTGTTCTGGTGTTGATTTTGGCGCTCAGTGCGTTTTCGCTTGCGTTGTCGCTCGCAACGGCTCTGCGGACGTTGTCGTCTATGAATGCTATATTGGAGGGGTCGCTTTCGAGGGATGAGTTGGAGATTGGGGATGGGGTGTATCTCTCCCGCGGGATTACGTTGCAGGCGATGCAGACGGGGTTGGTGGTTGTTGTTACGCTGTTTTATGTTTATGGGCGTGTTGTTTGCGCAGAGAACGACCGAGGGCGTTGCGTTTTTCCAGATGTTTCAGAATGCTGGGGTGGGGTGGAGGGAGAAGGCGAGGTGGAGATAGATTGTTTGGTGAAGTGTAGAGGGGCATCGCTGTACGGGGTCAGATTGGCAGAATCTTGGTTACTATGTTTGCGACGTCTATTCCTTGTCTATCATGGAACTCATTTCTTGTTTGCAATGGTATAGTGAGAGTAATCCCTTGCGATACAAATTTATTGTTGTGTTTCTGTGCACTACACAAGTGCTTGTCCGCCAGCCGGACTCACCTATACCCACATCACATCAAGCCAGTATGCTCTTCCATGCTATAACATGATACGCCTCAAGGCCTTTAATGCTGATGATATTGTTATTTTATCTTTCCAACATGAAGCACCAATCAGCCGCAAAACCTTGACTATAGTGAGCATCCCGTGGTCCAACCCGACAAGGCTCTCCTTCGCACCACAACCCTCCCTCCCACCAAAACCAGCCCGGCCACGCGGCTGAGCGCCGCAAAGCACAAACACACCCCTCACGCAACAAAAAGCCTACTCTGGCTAGTACTCGCATATACGATCTAAAGCCAAGAAAGCCTTGCCGCCACCATTTCTCCGGGATACAGTCCAAGCCACTGGTCTCAACTCGGAGGCCGGACAGACACGCATCATCCAGGGATGCATATCATCCCATTCCAACAAAATTAGGGCTTGATTTGTCTTCCGTGAGTTTGGAGCCGCCGGTGGCGCTCCACAGCAGCCTATTAGAGACGTTGAGGTTTGCGCCGAGAATATGCATGTTATGTACCCGTGGACATGTCAAGTTGATCGTGCTTCGAGTCGAGAGCCAGGCATGCTCTGCGGCTCTGCATGACTGGGGACTAGTTTAGGATTTCCTTGAGTCTCCAATGCCTACTGATGGACAGAGGTCCACGTAGCAGACGGCATTACTTAATCCTTTCGTCGGACGAAGAAGGGGCTCTATGCAGTGCTGCACCTGCGTCAGATTATTGACTGCTGACAGCCAGTGCATACCACCACTGCATGTATGTCTACCATGTCCAGCAGTGATTTATTGGCCCTGACGCTCCGCGTTTGGTTTGCGGTATGCGGGCGGGTTGAAGTCGGCTAGAGACGGTGGCTTTTTCACTCGTTTTCGCTCGTTTTCGCGGCATATTACCCTGAAGGGAACTCGATATGTAGATCTGCTTGAGCTTTCAACTGATGTCGCCTTCTGGGATCGTGAGACCTGACGCAATAAGCCCAGATGTTGGCACAAGTACAAAAGTGGAGTGTTGATGCACCATACTACACTCACTCACACCTATATCCGACGTCACATGGTGCGGCTGAAAGCAGAATTGCGTCCACTTATCTACTTATCCCCTATCATTGCGGCTTAGACTGATCAGTTCTACTGGCCTCTTCAGGGGAGATGCATTGCGAGCTTACTAGTATGGCAATGACGAACGAACGAACACATACTTGTGGTGGCGCGGCCATGTCACACGTGCTAGGCCCCAGCACGTCTGTACAACGAAGGAAAGAGCGACCCTGACTTGTACCTTCCATAATCGTGGCCTTGCAGATCGCTCCTTCCCATTGATATCAGGTGCGACAATGGCAGGCGCCACCCTGCGCCGGAAGGAGCTATGGGTCGCACCTTCCTTCGCCGTTAAAACCGAACTGACCGGATGTGAGTCGCGTGCGCGATGCATTGACTGAGAATCTCTCCTGACACTCCTCGTGCCTGGGAACCTGGGATGAATTGTCTTCGCACCGTTTCTTGCATTGCGATGGCAGAGATAAAGACGCATGGAGCCTTTGGCTATGCGACTGGTGCAGTGAGCCCGCGACTGGCTGGCGCTGCCTCGGAGGAACGGTGATTATGGAGGTGAGGAGTTATGGAGAGGAAGGGTCTCCTTACACCGTGTCTTCGGACTTAGGGCTACGTATCCCGCATTCTTGATCGAGAAAAAAAAAGCCTCAGAAGCTACCGTCCTCGCTCCTACTCTATGCAGATTTCGAATGATCTCGCCATTGGAGAATAAGGGAACCAATACAATTATGCCCACACACTTGATGAACGCGCAAGGCCAATCCCGTTTACTCAACCATATCCAACTGCCGATACATCGTCCGCCCCTTCATCTGATGAAACGTACTGTTCGACAGCACCTTGCTCTCCCTTGGGACACTCAGCCCGAGCACCCTCGACTGGCCCGACGTCGTAAACAAGACTCGCACAGGCCAGCCCACCGTATTCACATACGCGAAGAGGACGTCGACGAATTCTTGAACCATCTCGCGCGCGCCGCCCTCGATGCGATTCAGTCCGGAAATCATGACGTAGCGGAGCGTTGGTGTGTGCTCGAGGAGGATGCGGAGGATGCCTATTGCAGCGGCCCAGCTCTGATCGATTGGTTCTGTGAGGGTCTCGATCATTTCTTTGGGTATGAGGACTTTATCCTCGGGGGGCTGGAACTGGAGTAACTGGCGTATCAAGCTAAGTACCATCGCAAGCACACCGACTTTATCCTCCGCCGTTCGAAACTGTGAGCCGGCACCGAACCGCGGGCGCTGGCAGATATACGAGACAAACTGCGCCTTCGCCTGGATGGCAGTCCGGATGACACCGAGGGCGGCTAGCTGTGCGCTCGTCTGCGGACCGATTTCGTAGGGACTCATTATCCACAGAATCTGGGCGTCTCCGGATGTCGCTTGGGTCCATTTGCCCAGGACATGGACCATAGCCGGCTCGGCGAGGAGTTTCCCGGCTTGGATCGCGAGCTTTATTCCGTCGCCACCGCCGACTTGGTCGATTATGGACTGAAGGTGCTCGCAAAGCTGTTCGGCTTCCTGTCGTGAGACCCCGTCCGCCAGCTCGATTGTTTGCGTGACGGTGTTGTCGGGTGCCATGGCCATCATTTTATGAGGCGGTGATCCTGTTAATGCATGTATCTCCTGTACTTGTTTCTTTAGAGAATCCACTACAGAAGGCTTAGCAAGTGACCCTCATGTCCAGATGGCGAACGCGACTTACACTCCCTCGCCGTCTCCATAAGAAGACTATACATCCCTCTCCCAACCTCGTTCGTCTCCTTCCTCGTTTGCACAACCTGCGCGATAATCCTCGCCTCGACTGCATCCAGGGACTGATCAATCTGGGGAACGATCGCATTAATCTGAAACGCATTCTGGATTTGCGCCTCTTCGCTGATGAGCTGAATCGAATTCCTGATAAGCTTGACTGTACTCTCATAGCCTGTGGAGAAATTTGCATTGAACGAGTCGAGCCACCGTGACGGTTTTGGCTTCAGGTACCAGCTTGCGACTTTGATGAAGAAGTCGAAGAACTGCGTGTAGATGTCCGAGAGCCGTTTCTGCATGCTGGGCTTTTGGTATAGGTCTAGCCATATTGTGCATATGCCGATGCTCTCAGAGAGCTCGGCGACGTAGCCTGATAGTTGTTCGGCGATGTTGGAGTAGCTGACCGTGGCCTTCAACAATAATTAGACGACTGATAGGAAGAACCAGGAGAGGGACTGTAGGTACCTGAATCACCATCGCGACAGCACCGCATAGCGTTGACGTATACGACGTTTGGTTCGGAAACCACTGGAAGATCTGCTTGTGCCCGTCGAGCTTCTGACAGACTTTCATGAAGTTGGTCGCTACCTGTTGTCCTCGTTAATAGGTTTGTTGGACTTTCTCCACACAGTCATGTATGCGACTCACCTTACTATTCGACTCCCTCCACTGCGTCTCAAGCTGCTTCGTAATACTATTGACTTGCGCCACGGTAAACTCTCCACTGCCGCGGAGCTGCGTAGCGACTTTCTGCTCCGTCTGATTCCGATGCCCAAACCGCAAAACAGACGTTTTCTTCTTCTCTGCTGCCTCTTTCTGCGCGAGCGAAGCAAAGAACTCGTCGCATTTGGATTGGAGCGCTTGGCGTGCGATCTCAACTCCGGCGAATGTGCTGGACAAGCCAGGTCAGTCATTCGGAACATGCCAAATAAGTATTTCAAAGGAAATAGTGACACACTTCTGCTGCCCATTCTGGCCGTTGTAGATCCGATCCATGCGGAGCCTATCCCGAGACTCGACTTCGTCGTCCAGGCGCTTCTGAAATTCTTTCGTCTGGATTGCCAAATCCGACGCCGGTTCCAGCTCCTCGGTAAACCGGCGTACGATCTTGGTCGGCGTCATCTGGTCTGTGCTGCTCATCGTGGTTGTCACTGCATTCTGCGTTGTACGGAACAGTGTCCAATGTCCAATCTCGAAAAGGGGATGAGGCTTATTTTTGAAGGCAGCGACGCTGGAGCGAAGAAGGACTCAGCCACAGACTGTGGCTGTAATCCAGGCTATGCGAACAAGGAACCCCGCGATGCAGGCTTCTTGCGTCAGTTTGGTCGTGGAACAGGGTCTGTTTGACCATGGCATTGTTCTCTGAGCCCATTGGAGGAAGCGGGCACTGGCCTCCAGCTGAACTTCCGCAAGCCCGCATTTCTTACCAGTTACCTGGGCTATGCCTGTTTAGGGTTAATGCCAGTGTCATGATTGGCTAACTCCTAGTTACGGCTTGCATTAGCGTCTAGCAAGTTCTTGGATTGGGTTGCGAGGACTGGGTGGTCAAAATAACAAGGCACGGAGCGTTCCGAGACAGCCGCTGGGACCGAACCAAAAGGTTGTTATGTTTGTTAGGGCTAAGGAAGCAAGAATCTTCCAAAACTAGCAAAAACTCCAGCGCAATGGACAAAGGTTGTACAATAGCCCAGAGGAGTTTCGATCGAATGAATCGCGATCCTCCTTCGCAAGTCTCGTCTGGGACTAGTTGAGCCTTTGGCGCGACCAGACCCTGATTTAACTGGCCACGGAAGCGCCCTACTGCACACCATGGCCCGCGCTGTGACGTGGCTTGTCACCAGCACGTTCCAGCCTTTCTGAGCTGAGCATTGTGGGGGCCGTTTCGTGATCTTAATAAGCGATGGGGCGCAGGTCTGACTGGACATCTGGTGCAGTCGCAAATATTGGAGATACCGACTTTCCATCTTTGACCGTATCCACGAAGACATGGAGGTCCTCACACAGGCTGGAAGTCAGAGTCACGCGGTGCCGACAGCGAATGGCGCGAAGGATCCTGTGATAGCAAGACTGGAGGCGACCGGAGGTGAGCAGAGCCATCAAAGACGCAACATTTCAATTGATAAGGGCTATAGCTAATGTGTAAAAGGAATCGTTCCAGCCGTCGCAGAACACGACAAGGACAGTGGTGTGGAAATCAGCGAGGCACCCGCCGAGGAAGAAACAGGCCCCCTTCCAAAAGATGGAGATGGCACGCAAAATGACTCGGAAACGAAGCCCGGGGAGAATGTCGGCCATGAAACGGTCGTTGAAGAAGCGCCACTGACCAACCAGATTCCAAAAGCCAGAGCTGAACATGTTGTCTTTGTCGATCCCATCGGCACACGATGGATATTCCCGTACGAAGAAGCTAAAACCTGGACTGTAAGCAATTCCTGAAACCAAAATCACCTTGCTAACAAGGCTCAGGGACTCAAAGCGCTGGTCAAAATGGTCTATTTCGACACCTACCTCCCCAAGCACTACGCCGGGACCCTCGACGACTCAAACGAGGGCCCCGAGGGCGAGTTCGCCATCATCAAGCTTCGGCCCGAAGAGTCATATGTCTTATCTAAGCACTGGGACGAGTCGGTATCGCCGGGGTGGGAGTTCAAAATCTGGATGCGAGGAGCCTGGAATATACTGGAGGAGGTTCGCAATGCGAAAAAGGCCGCAGAGACCACCGTGACTGAGGGAGAGCCCGTAGAGAACAAGGAAGTGCCAAAGATTTCCTATTTGGCGAAATACTTTGTGCCCGACGACGACGGCGACCTTGTCTTTCACTCTCAGCAGCAATTTCAAACCAAGATTACCGACAAAAAGTCCTTTGGCACAGACAACACGGGGACTATCCTTGAAGAGCAGAGAGAGTTTTCTTGCAACAACAGGGACCCAGATGCTCCCATCGAGAACAGGATCGACAGTGTGGGAGTTCCGATATTATATATCCGGTCGCAGGTTCTGCTTGCTGCTCTACGAGCAGTCATTAGCTTTCAAGCTGTGCCAGACGTGTGTATCGAGAAGCGATGGCGCGGGAGAGACATCACGACCAGCCTCGATCAAGGCCGATATGTTTACCCATTCACCGACCTTTGGCATTACCGGCAGAGGTTGATTGAGTACCGAGATCAGGTAAAGGAGACGCACGACCCCGAGTACAGCGAGAGCTGTCGCGACGCCATTGATGTTCTCCTCGAATACCTCCAAGACGATCCCCCCGTTCCCGTAGATGAGGCCGAACTCATGTGGCGCCATCCTATCCCGAAGACCAAGTTCAACTCATTTTGGATGCTTCTAAAACCGGGGTCAGATGTCTATGTGAGAGAGCAGGGACATCTGAATGCGTACGTGGTGGAGGGTTATATAGGAGGCCCGCAGTGGACGGCGCCCGAGTCGCGAATCTTGCCGTATAAAGTTCATGTCTGGAACCTCAATTTCGATGGTGTCGTTCTCACACGCTCGATGAAGGAGATTATCATCCCCGTCTTCGACGGCGAGCGTGAGATTCAATCGCTGCCAGTATTTCCGACTGAATTCCACAAAGACGATAACCCTGAGAAGCCTCTGCGTCAGACTCTCATCAACCGGGGTAAGAACTTTGTCGAGATGGTGAAAAAACCAACTTTTCGCGAATATACTGGTCCGAGTAATCTGCAAGGGATTCGCGAGGTGAGTGTTGCTTTCTGCCATTGGTGTGCAATCCTGACTTGGACAGTTTACTCGGGCACGAGTCGTCATCGACCACACCAGTCAACCCTGGTACCTGAAAAACGCGATCGGGGGTGATTACAAGGATGAAAGAGAGCCCCCGCTCCCCGTGACAGGCCTGGTCGGGATCGAGTTGGGGGAGCGAACCCGCGTACCCAGTTGCCCATGCAAGAGTTGCCACGAGAACGAATCGCACCAGCGGGAGATTCAGCGCCGCAGATTCGATGACTATGATGACATTGACCTGAACACTCGGACTGAGCTGACGGACCATCAGTACATGCTCTGCTGGTCGCATGTCTATGGATTTGTGCTAAAGGATCGTGCTTGGGGTAGGTCATCTGTGCATGTATATCTGAGCGGCACTGACAACGCATCTCAGATCTCCTCGAAGTATCGGGACTGGAACCACCACGTATCCAGAAGAACATCATCGACCTTCTGGTAATGAAACCCGAGGGCAACAAACATATGATCAAGGCGATTTGCGAAATCTATGGTGGAACGTACACACAGACCTTCACATCGGACTTTATCAGCGGCAAGGGAGAAGGACAAATTCTGCTCCTTCATGGTCCGCCAGGAACAGGAAAAACGCTTACAGCCGGTATGTACAGAGTACTCTTTGAGCTTCTACTAATAATGCGGAGCTTCGAAGAAAGCTAACAAGTCCGCGCAGAATCCGTCGCCGAGTACTCCGGTCGACCCCTGCTCAGTATCACATCCGCGGATTTAGGCCAGGAGCCGGAGACTCTCGAGCAGAACCTGCTTCGATTCTTCCGTGATGCAAAGAAGTGGAACGCTATTGTTCTGCTGGACGAAGCCGATGTTTATCTCGAAGCCCGATCATCGCAGGATCTTCGACGGAACAGTATTGTGTCGAGTGAGTTTGCCAGATAATCACTGTTGCATCGCCTGGAGACTAACTTGGACGCAGTCTTCCTTCGCGCCCTTGATTACTTCCAAGGTATTCTCTTCCTTACGACGAACCGCGTCGGCAGTTTCGACGAAGCCTTCATGTCGCGAATCCACGTGCAAATAGGATACGATCCGTTAGACGAGGGTTCGCGACAGCAAATCTGGGACAACCACTTCAAGAAGCTTTCTCGAAATCGCGAGATCAATGGACAGGAAATTCGCTGCTCCTACGACGCGAAGGAGTTTGTTCGAAAATCAAAAGACCTTCAGGCTCTGAAATGGAACGGTCGCGAGATTCGTAATGGTAGGTGCACTGAGGAAATGAACGATTAGCCTGAGACTGACAATGACCAGCATTCCAAACCGCCGTTGCCCTCGCATGTTACCAGGCAAAGCAAGAAGGCAACGACGTCCCCGAGCTGACTGATGACCATCTACGACAGGTCGTCTCCATGTCGCAGAACTTCAAGACGTATTTGCATAACGTTCGCGGGGCGGAGGAGGAGATGGCGTATATGGCGAGGCTGAGGAATGACGAGGTCAAGGCGTCTGGGAGTGATAATTGAGTTAGCGATTGTACGTCCTAGCGAGGCAGATGCATAATAGCATAAGAAGAATACCTTGGGACCGGAGAATCGTAGACGATGCGTTGAGAGTTGAAGCTGTTTTCGCTGGTTGTTGCTCCAGTCTCGTGTTACTTGGTTGGACGATGCATGAGCGGCCAGACGCCGCGGGGCGCGTGCGTGTGCCGGCCTGAGTCCTGAGTGCTCAGTGCGGTCGTTTCGGCCTGTCGCTGCAACTTACTGCAGGTTACACAGACTTCCGAATCCTGCAAATCAGGCTGTCGGACAAGTGACAGGTCAATCAAGGGAATCATGGTCGGGCGCCATCGAATCCATCATCATCCCCGCGAAGGCCATACGCCTGCTTCAGAAACGACATTTTTGGTATGACCCATGATGGTGATGCGGAATGGAGTCGATTCGAAGACGGTCTTTCCACTCATGAAAAACGAAGGTCTTTCCTTTGCTAAAGGCTGTGAAGTTTGCTGCTGGCCCAGCCTCCCACAAAGCTGAACCCAGAAAAAGCAAAGCCTGCAGGGAACGAGCCAGGATACTTCGTATGGGTGGCTGACGTGAGGATATAAATGGTAGGACTGGACTGGCTCCTTCGGCGGCGAACTTTCTGAAGCTTCTCAACTCTCTGCATTCTGTTGCTCAGTCTTTCTCTGCATGGCGACCCTGATCCAATTTTTCCTCCTTCTCCCCGCACTGCTCGTCCACGCTCAAAATGAGGCATCTCCCAATCAAGAGCACGATCGCGTTGGATGGGTCTCTTCCCCAGATGTCAGAGGCACCTCAGACATTTTGTGGAGCTGTGGGACTATCTTCCTAGTGTGTACCGCATGCATTTCAACCTCCCCAGTTACGAGGAAAGCGAGGCACAATGGCATACACTTTGGGGTTGGCTGCCATACCGGCCGACTCGGCTTCGTTGGAGAGTCATTATCCGCCAATCAAGTGGATGTGCATAATCGCCATCGCGCCAGAGTTTGGAGTTACAATGGCGGCTGATGAGTTTTGGCAGGCCTGGAAACTGACAGGAAGAGTCGGCTCGCCAGGATTTACCGTCACACATGCGTTCTATGCTCTGATGGGAGGCTTTCTTATTGGGGTGCCTGTTCAGAATGATGGCGATACTCAGCTGAATGAGGCCGAAATTCAAGCGGCGACAACAGAAAGTGGTCAGGCTCGGTCAAAACGGCAGAATCTCGGGTACCACCGTCACCACCCAGAGACAGTTTCCAAGACCTAGAGAGATACGAGCTGATCGATTCAGTTGCGCTGAAGGGTTTCCAATCTATTACGCAAGAGAAGGAGAGTTCTTTGTTCTTTCCGCGTGTCACAGAGGACGACATAAAAAACCAAGCAAAATCAGATCCGCTTACGAAGGCATTTGCGATTCTACAATGTACATGGCTTATTATTCAAAGCACCGCACGCAAATCAAGAGGCCTACCACTGAGCGAGCTTGAACTTACGACCCTTGCCTTTACCCTATGCGCGTTTGTTATGTATGGACTTTGGTGGTGCAAACCATTTGATGCTCAACAACCCTCCCGGGTGCTCTGCGTGGACCCAGAAACAGTTATTCAGATTCGTTCAAACCTGGACCCATGGAACATACAAGCGCGTACCTCGAATTCCAAATCATCGGGAGACTATGTCTTGGGGCTACTAGCTCTAAGGTATGAAGGACTGTCATTACGTACTGCAAAATCAATGATATTTCATACATCGGCGGTCGCCTTTTCAGCCATCCATCTAATTGCATGGAACTGGCAGTTCCCCTCACCAGTGGTGCGTATCATGTGGAGATCTTTCAGCCTGGGTGCAACATGTATCCCATTGGCGGGAGTAGCCATTGTGAGTACTATTGCTCGATGGGGCCAGACACATGTCAATACACTTGCCAATATTGGGGGAACGGTTGCCTATTGTATGGCTCTACTCTATGGTGTTTGTCGACTTGGTATTGTTGTATTGATCTTCTACTGCTTTTCAGCAATGCCGGCCTCTGTCTATGAAGCGCCGAGCTGGCATAGCGTGTTTCCTCACTTTTCATGAGTTCGGGTTTATACCACTTTTACTATTGAGATTCAGTTGCCGTGAGGGTGTTTGCCCCATCAAACATACAGTTGGGGTCTGTACAAACATTATAACCATTTACTTCCATTCAATCCACCCCACTCGCAACACGCCTATAACTTCGCCACAACCCTTCCGCCAGCCCTCTTGATCTCCTGCCAATACTTATCCTTGAGCTGCAGAATCGCAAGCCCCAACTCGGCCCAGTTATCCCGATAAACCGGCAGCGCATACGCCGTCGTCCCCGTAGCAGCCGGCCCCGAAAACTCGCGCAACCACTCGAAATACTCTTTGAAATCCGGCTTGATCTCATGGAAGATCGCACTGTTTCCCTTGTACTTCAGCCTCTCCACTTCCCAATCGTCCTGCTCCTTTGGTGACGGAAGCGGCTTCGCGTTGTGGCCGGCAAAGTAGCGAGCCACCGCGACGGCTTGGTATTCGTAGACGCGGAAGCTCAATGCTCCACGGACCTGGCCGACGAGGGCAAGCGAGGGATCGCCGATCTTGAAGATGTGCTGGTAGAAGCCCGAGACACGGTTGCTAGGCGTGACGACGTCCGGGACCAGGAAAGGGTAGGAGAGTTTATACCCTGTTGCGAAGATGACCTTGTCGACGTCTTCGACCGTTGAGCCATCACTGAAGGTCAGAGTCACGCCATTCCCACCAGATGTCTCAACCTTGGTAATAGTCGGCTTGACCTCTACCCCAGGAAGAGTAAAAACATTATTCAACGCCTCATTCTTCCCCCTCTGAGAAAGCACTAGTCCCCCACGCACAACAGCATGCAAATCCGCAATGAGATCCGCACTCGAGATATTCCCACCGACAACAACAACTCTCTTGTCCACATACTCATTCGCATGCCGGAAACTCTTTGAGTGCTCAAACACATCTGGAAAGTGCTTAAACGCCCCATCCAACCCTTCAATCTCCGGAATCAGCGGGACATTATAGTGTCCGCTCGCAACGATGACCGCATCAAAGTCCTCGGCCCACCAGTACTCAGCGGGTTTATTCCGATGGAAGTGGCCGCGTTGCCGCGCTGTAACGCGCCACTTGGATCCGACCTTTTCGACGCGCTCGACGGTTGTGCTGAACGAGACGAGATCGAGGTACGGACGGAGTATATCCTCGAGATAACCCGCAACAACGCGAAACGGCCGACTGGGATTCGCTTTCCCCAGCTGCCGCACCGAAACCGCCGAATTCACCTCGGGAAACGCCCTGTGCGTAAACGCCATGACCTGCGAGCCGACGTTACTATCCAGCGCATCGTGGATCCCCGTTCTGGCAGTCAGGTCTTCGGGGACAGGGTCCGTGAAACTCGGTAATGTTTCCGGGATCCCTGGTCGGATTTCCGGGTCCACGCCCGGTGTCGGGAAGACGTCGGGGATCGGGTCGTAGTGCCAGAGGCCGCCGGGACGGTCGCGGCGCTCGAAGACGCGGATTCGGCTGAAGACATTTTCGTCGGACAGGGCTTTTACCGCGCTTATTCCTGAGGGGCCGGTGCCGATTATGGCGACGGAGTCGTAGCGCGGTGCCATTATGTATTGACCCTAGTTGAGGCGGATGCAAAAGGTGTGAGGATTGCCATTTTAGTTGGTCAAGGGTGTGTCGCGAGCTTTATACGTTATGGATTACTTTGTTGGAGTAGACATGGCTCGATGGATGGCGCAATGAGACCCCACGGTGTCGAGTGCAGGAGGGGAGCAAAGCGCGGCATTCTGCTTATAATGGTGCTGGAGTAACGAGGACAATTGTTCATAAGCGGTTGCACCTGGCGTGATCGATGCGGAGAGGCGATGGGGCAGAGCTTTGTGGGTGCCGGCTTATCAGTGGTATAACCTCATTTAAGCGAGGGTGACGTGATTACGCCAGCGTGGACCACACGGAATTGTCGGTGAGTTGTCGAGGGTATCTAGGAACATGGATAAGTGTATAGCGTACTCTATTAATTTGCCATGTGCGTGAGCTCCATCTAGAACTCTATATATTATTCTTGGTAGGGCTCGGCGTAAACAAGGGCCGGGTGACCAAGGCGCAAGTATATAGCCGACAGCTTTCACCTCCAACAGCCAGCCAAGATCCGACATCTCAACCACCTTGTCATGCGCGCCACGCTCTAAGAAGCAAATCTGAAATCAATTCTATTCACTGTGAGCCTTGGTCAAACATGGAGCCCTGGGAGGCGACATACCGTTTATTCGTCATGACGGGATTCTCACGGAGATACGTCTCCTTCTGTTCGGGGGTCAAAGCCTGCCACTTGGCGGCGTTTTGTCTGCGGCCATCAGCATCTGATCTTGGGATGGAGGAGGAGGGCATATACCTGTTCCGCCAGTCATAATAAACCTTGGCTGCCCCAAAGAGGAACATACTCGTTACAGCCAAGGCAATGAGGACCTTGTTACCGTGCTTGTAGTACGGTGCATCATTCGTTCGATAGACCTAGAAACACAATTAGTACTCAGCGGCGCACGAGAGGGGGATAAGACTCACATTCGCTCCAGCAATACTACTTAACTGCACCGACATATTATACAACGCCGACGCAACCGTCCTCGTCCGTACGGACCCCGCATTCCTCGAAGTGAGCGCCACAACAACAGGATGGATGCTCGGTCCTCCAACAAGCAGCGTGAGAATCGCCCATCGCGGCCAGGGCATACTCTTCTCCGGAAGCGTCTCAAGTGCAATAAGCAGAACGAGATTCCAAACCTCAACCCCGGCCCCAAAGAGCAATCTCTGATTCGTCCGTTCGGCCAACCACGTCGTGCTAATCATCGTAATGATCGCAAGCACCGCAGACGGGATAACCAGCAGATTCGTCTGAAACGTCGAAAACCCCTGCTGGCGCAGCTGCAGCGTGAGATAATTCGTCGCGGGCGTCGTCGGAATCATCCAGATGAGTCCCAGTCCATAAATCGGCCACATGTGGTAATCCTTGAGACTCTCCCAGAGGAGCTTCGGCGTAACGGCCTGCCGGTTGTGCATGCTGCCTTTACTCGGATCATCGCGGATCACGCGGTTCACCATGATTTTCTCCTCGTGCTCGTTGAACCAGCCGTCCTTGCCCCGGAATCCGCCCTTGGTCTGCACGGGGGAGGCGGGCATCCAGAAGGCTGCAATAATACCGATTACGCCTGTGATGAGCCCCTCGTAGGCGAAGAGGTATCGCCAGGATCCGCCGCCGTTTGAGTCCTTGATGTGCAGGAAGCCAAAGGCGAGAAAGGCGCCGATTATGCTGGTGAGCGTGTATGAGATCCAGAAGCATGTCAACCGTTTCGGCAATTCGCTGGATTTGTAGAAGAATGATAGGAAGAGGATTGTGTCCGGGATGAACCCGCCCTCGAGGAGGCCGAGTAAAGCGCGGAGACCCAGGTACGCGGATTTCGTCTTGAGAAAGGCCTGGCAGGCGGCGACGAGACTCCACGCGACCATCTGGATGGGGATCCAGCGGTCAGGACCGAGGCGTTTGGAGATGAGTTGCGAGGGGAGTTCGGCGAGGAGGAAGCAGACGAGGAAGATGGTCTGTCCTGTGTTGTAGTCGTTGCTGGTCATGTTGAGGTCTTCGAGGAGGGTGCTTGCCAGGGCTTGCCCGATGTTTCCGCGGTCGAGTTGCAGGGCGAAGAAGGTTACGCAGGCGAATGTGCACACGCGGGCGTCGATCTACGCATCTTGTTAACGTCATACTCCAAAGGAAACCAACAAGTAGGGGTGAGCCACCTTTCTCACAATCCTCTTCTCCTCCTCCCGCGTCCACTCAAAGTGCGGATCCCACCGGTGTAGGCCCTCATAGCTGTCGATTGGTCTGTAGAAGCGGTGGTCCTCGACAGAGTTGAATGTACTTTTGCCGTCATGGGGTGCGATTCTCTGCTCCTTGTCCGACTCATCTCCGTCACTGGTTCCACGAGAGTCGGACTCGATCTCGTTGGTAGAGATTGGTATTGTCTTGGGTTCGTCTGCTGCCATTTTGACGGGTGCAGTCTGGAAATTGATGTGATCGGCAAAGCATGGCGAAACATCGCGTCTTTATATCTTCTATCAGGAAGTACCATAACGACGGAGGCGAATGTCGTGCCCACCAAGGCAAATGAGTTGATACTCTCGCAGGAACGTATTACGTACCGTCATTGCGTGCGGGGGGATACTAGCGATGCATCATCGCCGTCTCGCTACGGAGTCCCCCATCCTGAGTTCGGCTGCAAACATCTCCCGGAGCAGCCGCAGGACTCCCTCCGCGGAGAAGCACATATTCCTGCTCCAGTGCCATCTGACACGATTCGGCGATATCCACACGCCATCGAAGCTTGGCGGTAACCAAATACACACTCTAGATTCCACATGCGTATACACAGAGCGAGAGCCGGAAGATGTCGCGTCCAAGCTTCGCTTCGCACACAAGCTTTAGTCAAGAGTGTTATTGGCTGCTCATGTTGGAAGACTGTGTCGCGACATATATGGCAATTGTTGCCAATGATGGCGTCAACAGCCTAAAGCCGAAAATCGGCGTTAGGACTCCAGACCGATAGAATCCTGGGGAGACTTAGGGCTGGGCGGACCTGTCAATTGTGGGTCCTCGCAATGTAAACGCCGATGGGCCGATGGCCGCCATGTGGTCTAGATGCAAGGCGTGCTTTGTCTGTTGTGTGCCGCGCATAGCGATGACTTGCGAATAGGAATCACATTTCAGGTGGCGATGATTGGAGGTTTTAGATGCCTCGCTTAGTCTAGATAGATCTTGATGCATACTGTACCCCGGGAATGAGTGACTATAGCCGACACGTCCATCTGCTGGATAAGCTGTGGTAGATTAGTGCAGATGAGAGAATATAACTACAGATATTACTAAAAGGACACTCTAAATGGGGTCAGAGTGCCAGAAATGGCAACGCGACTGCTTGACCTAGCGCGCGCAGTCTCGATTGTCACTCCCTACCCAAATATAACAACCGAATAATATCGGCTCTGGCGGATCTCTGGGAAGACCTTGGGCGCTAACCTTTGCCGCCCCCTTGATGAGCCACGTTTTTAATCAGCCCTACGGTGTCACTAATCCCGCTGGTAAAGATATTATCGAAGTGCGTAGACAATAGTGATAAGGGAATTGCCTGGAAGTCTAGTCGAGGCTCTCGAGAGAGTATACATATCCCCGCGGAAAGACCATCTATGATGCGTAGTCTCAATTGAGTCGGGTTTACTGGCGCGGAGAGTTGCTTCTTTCTACAAGTTCGAGTGAGTTAGGGTTTCATACTACATTCCTGTCTAGCCAGAACTTTATATTCACTATCTTGGGCGTCACAGAGTGACATCTGAAAGTACTTTCCAAGCCTCAAGGTAGCACCCGCCTCCACCTGGGTACGCCTAGTGGATCTTACTTTTGGTACGGAGGAATAGAAATTCGTCATCTAAGCTACATGGATGTGCTGCGTGCCTGACAAAGGTTCCCCCAATTCGGTAGCCGACAATCATCACTGCAGTGATCAGTTTCCAGCGAGACATCAGAGATTCAGTTCATTGCCCGGCAAAACGCACAGCTCTCCCAGACGTTATACCGTATACCATGAACATCCTCCGAGCTGCAACTAGCGAGCGCATCTTGCAGTGCATCGGCTTCCCCAAATCAACCACGAGTCTGATGGCAGAAAATAACAGCGCGTCATGAACTACCCGTAGTCAGCCCCTTCGGCCTATATAGCTCAACCTGGGGCTCTAGTAAGCGGGCGCTGTGCTGAGCAAGGGCGCTGCGCAGGGAGAGAACGATTCGTGGCGAAGCGATGAATGGGTAACGTAACCGAGTCTACGTCTACAGAACGACCCAGCGACCCTTGATATCTGAGCAAGTCTACCCAGTGCAAATGCAGGGCCAAATCGCACAGGTCAGTTTCTGCGTACGCATGCATTGCTGCTGTGTATCCAGCCTAGCTATGGATTCGGTTATGCGCCGGATGGCCACTAACCCTAACTCTACAGCGCAAAGCACCGCTCCACACTATCCGCATTATTCCCCCACCAATACACCATTTTGACCCCCGTTGTGCCCAGAAAGATAAAAATAAACAGCAGATTTGCATTAAATCCCGTATCCAGCGCCGCGCCGCTGATATACGCCCACTTGTTCCAGAAGACGCGGCGGTAGCGGTACAGGTAAAAGTTCGTGAATGTCCCCACCAGGAACGTCGTGAAGGGCCCCGTGCTCAGGTTCCCATAGAATGTCGCCGCGGACGCGAAGAAGATGGTGGTATTCCACAGGTCGAATCGGGTGCGGGGGAATTTCTTATGGAGGGTCCAGAGGAGGACTGGGCCGCCCGCGAGGAAGCCCAAGAGGATGGGTTTGAAGAAGTCGCTTGCGAAGAGTCTCTTGGGTCCGATGAGCGCATACTGGATGCCGGCTGTATTGTATGACTGGAATTCCTGCCCCGTCCATTGACCGAGCGGGTCCTTTTTCTTGCCGCTGACATAGTCGAATTTCGTTGCGAGGACCCAGCGCATGACTCCATAGTTGATCGGCAGCGCAAGCACATTCGCCACGATCTGGATCCCAATGACCTGCCGCGGCGGAATATGCAAGTAATGCCCAATCTTTTGGTCCTCGAGGACGATGCGCGCATCATACCAGACGTTCCCCGAGATGATTCGATACGCGAGTTGGCCCAGCGGGTGCCGGGAGGAGCCCTTTGCGTCAATCATGTAACCGTATATGAGCTCGTTGAAGAACCCGACCTTGATGGAGAACCCGGACAACGCGTAGACGAAGCTCATGGGGAGCATCGCGGCGGCACCGAAGCCCAGGGCCACAAAGTAGGTCCAGATGGGCATGTAGATTCTCCCGGATACGACGACGCCGAGAAGCATGATTATCGGGATCAGGGTCAGTGCCGTCCATTCCCTTCCTTGCGTGTTAGCCGCATTATCGCGAGGTTTAATCCGAGGACTGGGAGGCAGTGTACCTTTTACCCAGGCCGGGATATTGCTGGATGATGCGGCTCAATCGGTCCTGGTGGTAGTTCCCGGCCTGCTTCCTTGCCTTCCAGATCTTGTAGATCTTCGGGCCCAGAAAGAACGCACACCAGACATAGGAGGACATATATGAGGCGACCCACTAGCGGTAATAAGTGCTTGAGAGCTAAACAATGAGGGGAGAGTGTACCATGAACATTTGCCAAGTATACTGAGCGCCGGAGTAGGCGAGCCCTACTTGTTCGTACTTTGTCTCGTTGACGTGCTGGATTCCATTTGAATCGAGGTAAACTACAACATTAGCCTACGATCTTCCATACAGACTGGGATACAAACTGAGGTCATTGAACGGATAGGCGGATCCGTTCTTCTGGAACACTTGGTTCGACATGATAGGGTATGTCGGAGATCCCCAGAGCTTGCCAAAGTAGGCAATTGGGATTAATATCCAACACTAGAGGGTTACTAATGGCACGTCAGGGTGGGTGTTCTCCGCTTACCGTCATGACAAATGTCACAAAGACGATGACTTGCACGTGGTAAGGGTACGTGACTACGGTTGAGGTGATGTTGGACCAGTTAAGGGTGATGTTGAGCAGGCCCATTCCACCGCGACCGGCTCCAATAAAGTTGGCAGTATGGTTGCGACTGGCGAACCAGCAGAGTGGAGCCAGGGACGCAACAAACGGAAACAGGTACTCTGGGAGAAATTGCCAGACAAAGGTCGCTCCGAATAGGATCCAGAATCCCTAACCAGCGTTAGCCGAGTGGGGGGTGGGGTTGTGGAGCGGGTAGGCACCAAGTACCTTCATCTGCTGTCGCGCCCTTGTCTTTGCCGATGTATTCTGTGCATCCATGCTTCTATAGAGTGTCACTTGTTGCAGTGACAGAGGGAATATGAATTCGGGGTCGTCGATGAGAATGGTGCGGACTGATTTGTTAGCTCATGTCAGTGTTCGAACTGCAGTACGCACCCATCGCGGCGAACGAGAATCCGAGTAACGAGGCGCCCTGGATCTTGATTAGCATCTCACTTCGCGTGGGGCCACCCCACATACCCATCCAAAGAACAGTGCGACGGCAGGATTCATGGTAATCCCATAGTACAATGCCGCATTGGTCGGCAAGAAAGCTGAACCCTTAGCAGAGTTCTTTAATCATTATAGGTTGACCTACTAGCCCATTGCCCCTGGCTACCGGCATTGGCAGCAATACCAACAATCGCGTGTTCCTTGATTGACCAAGGGCCCGGGTTGAGGGAGAAGGAGAACCGGCCCAGAGGCACCTTGTAGTGCGGCAGAAACCGCGCGAGAAGGCGCCCAAGTGGATCAGAAGCGAGGATTACGAAGAAGACGGGAAACGGTGCGTATGTTGTGCGAAAACTGCAAGTTGCTTGTAAAAATGACACTTGACAGCAATGCAGTGGACCTACTAGGATAGTTGCGAGACGACACTGCCGAGTATGCAGAAAATACAGGAAAGAAGAATAGCACGCAGGGTCAAGACGGGAGTGGATGGATCGTCCTCAAAGCCGACGACTGTCCGTACTAGCTCGGGAATGCTCTTGAACTCGTCCGAGGTAAAGTCGTACTCGAGCTCGGTAGAGGAGAGCGGGAGGCTTGCCTCGCTGTCCAAGTTAGGAAGGGGGGTTATGTCGACGGTTGTGGCCACGCCCTTGACCTCAGCGGGTTGCTCCTTGCCAGGAGAACGCTTGCTTGTATTCGCCATGATACTTGCCGTGCTATTGATTGAATGTCGCCTGCAACCTATGTGCATATTTATAGCGCTCGATTTGACTTCCAATGGCAGATTGTGCAATACTATGTTCGGATGATATTCTCCACTTGAGGTAGTATAGACCAGAAATTTTCCTCCGCTTGGATCGAAAGACTTTCTTCACATTCCTTACTGATTAGGACGTGCATCTTGATAGGAGAATTCGGAGGGTTTATCAAACTAGTGCGAGACCAGCCGGGGATCTCGCAATAATTGGAGATCATGTTGTTTGTAGGCCGAGTGTCCCACGTACATTAATGGTATGCCTTGGCAACCTTGGCCACGGCAAGGATGTAAGTGGCCATTTCAGCAGTGACACGGGTCAAAGGGACAGTTTAGTGGATGCAGTTGGTTACTGTATACTACCCAGGTAACGCCCAAAGATCGGGATAACAATCTACCATGGCGGAGCAAGTACAGACAACGTAACCATAGAGGGAACAAAGTAGTTGATGATACCATTTCAGCAGCTCGGGGGGTTCTGGTAGCATTAGGGCTAAGGCATGGACCATGAAACCAAGCATCCGGAGCACGGGCGGCTTTACACGCCTCTCCCGCTGCTTATTCGGGCTTCTCCACAACCATGACTCGTACACCGGTCCCTCGCAAACACAGCTCTCCAGGCGAAAAGTATTTCAGTCGTGTCATATAGTACACAAGACATCAATCCGAATAAAGAATGGTTGTTGTTGGTCGAATATCCTGCCCTGCCTCCTCGCTTCGCCGGGCAGAACCACGAGCAAAGCCGGATATATATCAGGGCAAGCGGGTTCGAGCTGACTCAAGAGAAACGCCAGGACACTCGCAGACAGCAACTATACCGAGCAACTTGAGTGAAAAGATATAATCATGGCGCAATGGCTGCAAGCAGGACGTGATCTCTTTGCAGACAAAAGCAAACACCATCTTAGAGGCGATGACCTAATGCCGATAGCCGGGCGATCCCCACAAGCTGGCGGCGACTCCAACTCTTGATCTTTTGCCAACGCTCTTCCCCCATTTTCAATCTCCAGCTATCCCGACGATACCAAAGAGCCCCTGAATATGGTCAGTACAAGATACCTGCTCTTAGCATGCGGCATAACCGCCTCAGCTTCGATCCTTCCATGGTTCGAGCAGGTTCCGCTAGGACAGTTAAAGTCCAGTTTTCAATGCGATCTTCCGCCCGTTCTCGACCCCGCACGCGATGGACTCCCCTCCGCAGAGAGCCTCTTCACCTCCCACGAGGCATTGGAAAAACAGGTGAAACGGCACCAAGCGATCGTTCAAGTCCCCTCGGTCTGCTGGGATGACCTCGGTGAGATCGGCACCGATGAGCGATGGGCCCCATTCTATAGACTGTTCGGCGTTCTGAAGAAATCATACCCTGCCGTGTAAGTCAGCCATCCTTACCCATGATTCATCGATTAACAAAAAAGAAAAGCCACACTCACGCAAAAATCGACAAAATCAATACCTTCGGCCTCCTCTACACATTCGAGGGCTCGGATCCCACCCTAAAACCAACCCTGCTAACCGCACACCAAGACGTCGTCCCCGTCGCAGACGAGTCAACATGGCGATACCCGCCCTTCGAAGCCCACTTCGACGGTGAATACATCTGGGGTCGCGGAGCGTCCGACGACAAGAATAGTCTTACGGCGATTCTCTCTGCCGTTGAGGGCCTTCTCACCGAAGCAAAGTGGAAGCCGCGCAGAACGTTGTTGCTCGCGTTTGGATTTGATGAGGAGTGCTCGAGTAACCGGGGCGCGGGACCCATTGGGAAAGTTATCACGGAGCGGTATGGGGATGATAGCATCGCTGTTATCCTTGATGAAGGTGGGTTTGGTGCTGAGCCGCTTGATGATAAGACGCTTTATGTGCTCCCCGCGGTCACTGAGAAGGGCCACGTGAATCTGAACTTTGAGCTTCGCGTCCGCGGTGGGCATAGCTCCGTTCCGTTGCCGCACACCGGAATTGGCATTGTCTCTGAGATCGTGGTTGCGCTCGAGAGGAACCCGTACGAGCCGGCGATTATCGAGGATAGTCCCGTGCACCGCGCGTTAACCTGCCAGGCACGGTATTCACCGGGTACGCAGCCGCGGATTGAACAGCTGCTGAAGGAGGGGAATCTGGAAGAGCTGGCGAGCGAGTTCGCGGCCACGAGTCCGCTTGCGCGGTTTGTTGTCCAGACAAGCCAGGCGGTCGATATCATCGGTGGTGGTGTCAAGATAAATGCTATGCCGGAGGTCGTGACGCTGGCTGTGAACTATCGGGTTGCACCGCATCAGCGGCCTGTTGAGGTCCAGCGGAGGGCCGTGGAGGTTATCTCGGATGTTGTAGAGAAGTACGGATTAAAGGTCCAGGCGTATGAAGGCGATGATGAGTATCACGACACCTATCCTGCCATCGTCAAGAAACGGGACGATCAATTCGAGGTCGACTATAATGGTACACTCACCATCACAGCAGAAGGCAAAGGGGAAGCCGCGCCTGTGTCTCCATCTACTGGACCCGTGTGGGAAGTCTTCTCCGGAACTATTCGGCATACGTTCGCCCTGAAAGACAAGACTGTTGTGCCGGTAGGGTATATCATGACGGGAAATACGGACACGGCCTATTACTTGAGTGAGTGCTGTATCTTGCAAGGAGCCGGGATTCTGCTAACGGTGGGTGTAGATCTGTCCCGGAATGTGTATCGATGGACGCCGAGTGTCACCGGATCGCAGGGGAATAATATCCACACGGTTGATGAGCGGATTAAAATTGACGACCATCTAAGGGCTGTGAGGTTTTATTATAATTTCGTGAGGAACTTCGACGCGGCTCACCTGTGAAGGAACGTACCGGACTCACCCACAAAATGGGAGTGGCAGCATTAATATCTGTGTCATTTGTCCATAGCATGCGTTTAGATCTAGGATATAGTGTACGTACATCTAACTGAGAAACGATGCGGCAGACTTTAGTCCCTCCAGCGTAGCACATAGGGAGCCTGAGCCTCCTCAGGATCCTCGGAATCCTCTATGTCATCAGCATCAACAGTATTCCCAGGGTTCTTTTTATCCTCGGCATTCCTCTCATCTCCGGGTTCCTTTCCGTCCTTGACGCCCTTTTCGTCGTTCATGTCCTTCTCATTCTTAGGATCCCGAGCATCGTTAGCCTTGTTGTGGTCTTTCGTGCCTGGGGGCTGAGACTCATGGAGAATTTCGTCGGAGATCTCGGTAAAAACCTGCACACCAACCTTCAAGTCTCCCAGTCGCACAACGACACCAGGAGTATCCACGTGGTCTGTGTATCCCGGCGGTAGCTCATCTAAGCTCTTTTCCTTTGACCTCGGGGCGGCGAATGGCGGAAATCCCTCCAGCCGCGTCTTGTCCCAGAAGACATAACCCTGCTCCCGCAGCGCATAATTACCCGGGAGTCCGTATAGCCTGTTGTAGCCGGTGGCTCCCCATGCCCAGAGCCAACCAAAATCATTGATACCGTCGCAGTCCTGGGTGGGTTCAGAGTGAGTAAATCGGGGCAGGGACTCCAGATGGAACAAAATCGAGGGTTTATTATATGCAGTTTGCCACGTGTAGACGAAGATTTTTCTCGCTGCTACATACGGGATATGTGTCAATCTCCACATGGCCAACGTGCCCCGCGAGACGACGTAGGCGTTGTGTTCCCTTCGGCGTAGGGTTCGATGCGAGTCATGGTACCACAATAGGCAGTGGTAGTCTAGAAACAGACCCACTGTATTCTGCCACACATCTCCCCCCTTACTGGGACGGTAGGCTAGTTGCTTTGCCCTCACAAGTGAAACCAACTCGTCATCCATCTGGTCACATATTTGTTCGACGAGTCTCTTGTAAAACTGCAGGACACAATAGACTTGCTCGATTTCCCAAGTGCGTAGCGTCTTGATATATGTGGATGCCGGATCAGTTGTTGGAGGTGGAAGATGGATGTTATGATGGGTCATTTGCGAGACTTGGAAAAGGCAGATGTAGATCTCACAGCGAAAGAAAGCCCGTTTGAGGCGGATCTCTTCCGAGATGGAAAGTGCGGGTATATTGGAGGAAGGGGACAATTCCTGCAGCGCGGAGGTGGCATATTTGACGATAAAGTATTCGAACCTCCGGTAGAACGTCCAGATCTTTGGAAGAGTCTCGTGGTTCGAGATGAGTATATGGAGATTGCTGGGGCTCTTGATGGTGGTCTCTTCGAAGATTGCCGCGGTCTTCTTTCTGAGGCCGTCGATATCGAGCTCAGGTGCGCTCGAGAACGGGTCATCACTGCCCTCCGGTATTGCCAGATATCCTGAGCGCTGTATGCTAAAACAAAATCGGCTTCAATCTCCGCAGGAATCGCCCGCAGGAGGATTGATGCAGTTATGGAGTGCTGGTAGGAAGCGAGAAGCCGGTAGAAGAGGGAGGAGGCTCCGATTGCTGCGTATAGATCCTTAGCAGAGCTAAGCAACCGGAGGATATTGAGGAAGAGTTCAGGTGACAAAGACAGTAAATTTGTAGTCATCTTGCTCTTCGGGGGTTGAGCGTCAGTTCCTCCGCACGAGGAACTCGGAATAGTCGCTGCGCAGGTTATCTGGGAAGCTCGTGGCTCGTGTATCGTAGCTGGAAAGATATTAGAGGCGTCCGGCACAATGCTGAACAGCTTTGATAGACATAAAGAGGGTGTGCTCATAATCTTGTGGGGATGTTGTGGTGGTGGAAGAGCGGTAACACTGAGAGTCCGTAACAACTCGCGGCAAACCTGCCGTGGACTGCGAAGCATTTATACCTCTAGAGGGTCCTGGGAAGGAACCCTTTTTTCGAGAGCCAGTCTCTTCTCTACAACAGATAAGTGCTTCTCAGAAACTGCTGTTTTAGACCAAGTCATCCGCTACGACTTTTCCATTGCTGTTCTCATTCTGTTCTTGCAAGCGAGTTTCTTCTCCGCGACTCCCACATTGCACTTGTCTCAACCTGCTGTTTGCAAACCAATTTCTCACGCTATAAACCCTGCAATTCTATATTCTCCCCTGTTCCCTTGACCTGCGAGGCTGTGTCAAGCCCTTTTCCCCCCAAGCCCTTCATATTACTCTCGTGATTCACGCAGATTCCGAAGATGAACCCCAACAATCAGCCCGCGTCAGGCATCTAGCATTTCCCTAGGTCTCGCAAAACACCGGCTCAATATTCCCGCGAGAGAAAGTCCGTGATGACAGATACCCTAGAGGGTCGGGCCCTGAAGGAGAAAGGGAAGGAAGCACATCCCGAGTACGAGGAACTCACGAAGCAGTCCAATGCTGAGAGCAATGCTTATACCAGGGACAAAGATGCCGAGCAGACGCAATTTGACAATGACTTCCTCTTGACGGAGCAGGACCTGGAGAAGCTGGAGATGGAGAATTTTTAGAGGACACACCGGGCCGCTCTCCGGCCCAAGCAGCATGCGAGATTGGTCCAGCCCGCGGCTGGCAAGGCTACGGCGACGCTGAGGTATGTAGACACTTGGTGTTGGAGCTTTTCAGTCGAGCGATACAGAGCACTAACCTTTCTGTTCTACAGAATGGCGAATCAGCGTGACATGATGCTGAAGGAAAACCCGTACCACTACCGCAACCTTCACCAAGTGCAGGTCCATGAAGGACCCAGGGTCAGCGCGTTCAACGATGCAAACGTAGCCAGCCAGCAGTTTGATACACATTATGATTTTGCGGGGTAAGTCTCATGGCGTTCGTATTATGCAGTGCTAACAGTCCTTGCAAAGGGACCCCACGAGTTCGAAACGTGACCAGTATGGTCAAACGACGCCGAAATCTTCTTGATACTTCTTCCGTGCTCTTTCGGCCTTTCCGCACCACTCAGATCCTTTGCTTGATTTTATTTCCTCCTATTGGACAGCGCCTTTTTGCAGACCTACTGGGGCTTTGAACATATCTGTGGTCTGAGCTCCTCAATCTGCATCATTCGTTGTTCTTTCTTAGCAATGTATGCTCTTCTTGGAGTGGTAAATAGCAGCTGAACTTCCGTTGTTTTCGAGATACCTACAGTTAATCGGTATTCTAAATACACATACATCTACATTCGGAGAGTTTCAGTATCGTAAATACATGGAATAGTACTCCTTAGGAGGTAAAAAGTGTAGAATTTATACTAGGCTGGATAAATCTTCTCAACAAATCCAACAAAACACGAACAAGACAATGGCCCTACAGGAAGCACACCCAAAGAGTTCAGTACCCGTCCGAATCAGAACCAGTATCGGAATAATCCTGATACCGCGGATCCCAAATGCTGTCCCGGATCTCATCTTTCAGCCCGTCCATAAGGAAGTAATCCGCCGCCGCCAGGAGGTCTTCCGTGAGCTCAGACCCCTTGTCCAGACGGCAGCGCTCACCGTACACAAGCTCCAGTAGCATTTCCAAGACGTGAGGAGCAATCTCCCCATCGTCGAACGTGACATGATCACGATCGGACCATGCACCGCGGAAGAGGGCGGCAAAGTACTCGGAGCGATATGCGAGGACGTCCTTATGCGCCGAGAAGGTCTTTCCCTCGACCGTCAGGCGAATGTCAGCTGGCTCGGACGTCGTGAGTCGCAGACCCCAAATGTCCTTCTACGTTTCGGATAGCCAACCTTGTTTTGAAACCCTAATTCCGAAGCCCTAATTTATTGAAAGGGTTAGCCTATATTTCCGGCCTGTATCTGCCGTGAATGGTACCACTTGCGACATAGACCTGAAAATAATCAAACCATACAATGACGGCCAAGAATACACTCCGCCTAAGTTTTATGCCGTCTCAATTTCCAAATTCCAACATGCGCTTTGATCTTGCAACCAACCGTCGAAATGGCACGGCACCTCGACTCTCGACAACATAGGAGTACCTGGCTGTGGTGCCAGGAAAAGAGAAGTGTATGTTGAAAGGTTTTGCTGTCCAATATTATTCATATGCTCTCAATCAATATCTCATCGAATCAAAAAGGAAATTCGTCCATTGTGATGGCCAAGGGCAAGAAAGCAACCTTTTAACGCCAGACATGTTCGCGTTGGCCGGTATTCCGCAGGAAGCCACAGCTCTCTTTCACCCTGAACACAGATCCACTGACCATGTAGTATGGATACGCCAATATGATTTTCGGCCCAACGCCACTCAGAAAAGCCCTCAAGAGTCTGATGCAGCTCTCCCGTGCTAGAATCCCAGAGCTCAACGGTCCTATCAAAGGAACTAGAAGCCAGCAGCTTGCCATCTGGGGAGAAAGCAACTAATGAAACTGCATAACAATGACAACTAAGGGTCTTGAGGAGCTCGCCTGTATTGGGCTTCCAGAGCTTGACGGTCTTATCTTCGGAGCCGGAAGCCAGTAGTTTGCCATCTTGAGAGAAAGCTACTGAAAAAACTGGACTAGAATGGCCCTCAAGTGTTCGGAGCACAGTTCCTGTGCTAAGATCCCAAAGTTTGATAGTTTTAGTAGCATATCCTGACGCCAGTAGCTTATTATCTGGGGAGAAAGCCGTGGATAGCACTAAATATTGATGATCCCTAAGGGTCTGCTGCAGCTTGCCAGTGCTAGGGTCCCAGAGCTTAATAGTCGTATCAGCGGAGCCAGATGCCAAAAGATTGCTGTTTGGCGAGAAAGTAACTGAGCAAATTGAGCCAGAATGACCCTTAAGTGTTTTAAGTCCCTTTCCCGTGCTGGTATTCCAAAGCTTAATGGTTGTATCATAGGAGCCAGAGGCTAGCAACTTGCCATCCGGGGAGAAATTAACTGACCGAACTGACTTGAGATGGCCATCAAAGGTTTGTTGCACGTCATCTGCACTAGGATCCCAGAGTTTGATGGTTTTATCCTCAGAGCCAGACGCCAGCAGCTTGCCATCTCGAGAGAAAGTAAGTGACAAAACTGACCCAGAATGGCCCTCAAGTGTCCGGAGCTCCTTTCCCGTACTGGGATCCCAGAGCTTGATGATGTGATCCTCAAAGCCGGATGCTATCAGCTTACTGTCTGGGGAAAATGCAACTGACCAAGCAAAACTAGAATGGCCCTTAAGGGTATGGAGCACATTTCTAGTGCTGGAATCCCAGAGCTTGATAGTTTTATCTTCAGAGCTAGATGCTAGCAGCTTGCCGTCGGCGGAGAAACTTACTGACACGACTGGTTCAGAATGGCTCTCAAGAGTCTGGTCCAGCTTGCCCGTACTGGGGTCCCAGAGCTTAATGGTTCGATCAGTTCCAGAGCAGAAGGCGAGCAGCTTACTGGCTGGGGAAAAAGTAACTGACGAAACGACACCAGAATAGCCAGTAAGGGTTTGGAGCAATTTGCCAGTGTTGGGATCCCAAAGCTTGATAGTTTTATCAAGGGAACCAGACGCCAGCAGCTCACCATTGGTGGAAAAGGCTACTGAGTAGACTGCACCAGAATGGCTGTTTAGGGTCTGGTATAGTTCGCCTGTACTGGGGTCCCAGAGCTTGATAGTCGTATCAGCGGAGCCAGATGCTAGTAGGTTGCTACCTGGGGAAAAGGTAACTGAACAAACTGAATCTGAATGACCTTTAAGTGTCTGGAGCACCTTGCTAGTGCTGGAATCCCAGATCTTGATAGTTTCATCATTACTGCCAGATGCCAGCAGTTTGCCATCTAGGGAGAATGCAACTGACAGGACTGATTCAGAATGACCTTCAAGGGCCTGTAGCTGAGCCCCCCATAGCTCCTCAACCCCCGGAAATCCATGCCAGTTTAGAAGCTCACTCTTGAATAAGCCTCTGATAGTTGAGCGACTTGGACAAAATAATAGAGCTGAGGTATAAAGTTGAAGGGGTGCAATCTCCGCTATCTGTTGGAATTTAAGGATAAATCGCCTAGCGTCGTATAAGAAGTCTGAGATTTCGGGATGATCTCTATTCTACCTTCCTCAGTAACTCATATCTCCACTTACTCTCAGGAGAAGTACTTACTTGCATAATGGATATAAATCTCAGTATTATTCCCACAACTTCGGACAAAGAGCCCATGATACTCATGGCTTCTAACCAATGAAGGAGGTGTATTTTGAGAAATGAGTAGGCTGTACTCAATTCACTAAATGGGTTTTGGCACAAGCTCAGGTGCCCAGCCCAGTAACGGCATGCATATTGTAATTCTGGAGGTAGATGACGTTCAATGCACTGCAGATCAATCTCACTGCGGTGTGTCCCGTTACTTGTCAGGTTGCAGATATTCCTCTTGAGACCATGACCCATGATCATAATGCAATGATCCATAAGGGCCTTATGTATTGCCTTTTGGTCTATCCAGAACTTCTCACTTTCCTTGGCCTGCCTCGTCCTAGGGTCTAGAAGAAAATCCCTAAATGACTGGTGCAAAATCCTGACTGGTGCATGTGTGTTATCAGGCAGGTTAAGCACTGAGCGAAGCTGACCCAAACGATACTTGATATCCTCTGGTTGTCTGAGTAGAAGCTTGCCGAGGGCATTGATTGAGAGTGGGGTCCCGAGGAGAATAATGGATCCAACTATTCTTCTAAAATCTTCGACCAGCTCCCTGGCCTCCCATTCATCCTGACCAAGAAGCAGCTGCTTGAGTACTGGCATATATGTCTCGGCCATTTTCGATACATAGATTGAATGGTCTGACATTATTTTTTCAAGTCGTTCTTGAGGATTCCAGTTCTTTTCACCAATAAATCGACATAATGTGGCAGCAGCAATGAATAATGGCACAGCCCTGTCGATCAAGCTTCTGATATGGTGCTGCCCAGGCCAGTGCGCCGGAAGTGAATGCTCCAGTCTTAACTGAGAAAGCTTATGATCAAAATAGAGCGCGATATCATGCTCAATCATTGGTTTTGAGATCTCATGAAGCTCGACGTCTTGCTGATCCCTGGTTATCTGCTTGAAACCTAAGCAGACTGGGAGTTCGGGTCTGCTTGTTAGGAAGAACCGGATTCGTAAGGATAATGACGTTTGTACCTGCGGCAATAATCGGATAATAGCTCTGATCTCGCCTTCAGTTTCACATTCATCCAATGCATCGACCACAATAGTTGTTGTCACAACTTCGTCAATATCCACATCCTGGAGCGGCTGCAGAAAAAGTTTGTTGAATTGTTCTCCAAGTGCCCTGTCTGAGATGTAAGGATCATCCCCAATTGCCCTCTGTACGCTATTCTTTAATTGAGGAAATCTAGCCGCCAACTGTAGCACAACAGTCGGAAAAAATCTTTTGGCATTCCCTCGGTCGCCTTCGCCTCTTTTGAAAAAGAAGCTTCCGCCTAGCGAATTTTTTTGTCTCAGACGGTATGCAATAGTTTTTGAAATTGTTGACTTCCCAGTTCCCGCCATGCCATTCAACCAGAATATACACCTTCCGTTTGGCGAGTCTATCCACGATTCGATCTGGTCAAGAAGATCAAGTCTAGTTCCAGGAAGACATGTTTCATGCTGGTTGTCGTACGAATCAAATGCCGCCCCGTCCGCAATTTTCAGACGGTCCATGTTGATTTTTTGCTCGATTTTATCCGTGGCGCTGTTCAAGCTTCGAAGCTGTTGACTGATTGTCACTATAAAATAGTGATGTCAGTTGAATTCATAGCTATAGCCTATCATAACGAATTTTCGCAAGTATCACGTACTAGAAATCTCCGCAACCAACTTCTCCTGTGACACCTGGCCATAGGGCACATAACTTAGTAACTCTTTTGCATAGGAGGCAGCCGCCAATGCCGCATATCCCTGCCACTTTTCGTTTTTATGCGAGTCTGCATAGTCACAAATACCCCGGATCACAAGACAAGGGAAGTCCTGCATCAAGCCTGCAGCCTCCATTTCAAAGCATAAAGCTTCTGTCTCCTTCCAGAGCTGTTCTCGTAATATACCATGCTTTATAACAACATTCCCTGAAGCAATAATACCGTAGTGTGGCTGTGGCTCGTTATCGTCTCGATTTTCTCTTTTCACCTCCCACTCATCCAAACAGCCATCACAAGTAGCGGCATTTAAAGGATGTTCATAACGGATTTGGAAGAGTCGGTCCATTTGCTGATTTGGTCGATCAAAGTTTCGGCGTGTTCGGGTATTTCTCTGGACTGCTTGCTGGATATAAGACGGATAAAGCGGGTCTTCTCCAAGTGCTTTTGCCCTCATTTGGTTGACCGCGGCTAACAATAATCTGGGAGGGCTATTCAACGACCCAGTGCGGACAAACTTTCCCCCTTCACCCACTTTCCCCAAGTCGTGCTGGACCACACCCCCACACGTGCCAGTAGGATAACTGATCACAATATCACCGAGCCGTACATCATGGGTCGCAGAAGGAATCCCTCCCCCAATACCAACCATTAATCCAACCCGAAGTGACTTTGAAAAGGTTCGCATCATGTTATTAGCCACGGTGGTGGCTGAAGTCATCCCATATTGCCCTCCAAGGCATGCGATCGCAACCAAATGTCTGCCGATTCTGCCTAGAGTATATATATTGGTGTCCGAGTTGTCTTGCTCTTCGGGCGCCCCAAAGTTCTCATCCAGCATCTCCTGAGCAGCGGCTAGTTCGATTGGAAGGGCACAAATCCAGCCAATCTGGTACTCGTCAAGTGTCGGAACAGCCATCGCGACTATATCTGCAAAGACTGGGTTCTCAGGTCAAGAACTGACAAATGTTATCTAACAGCTGATCGCCAAATAAGCTGGGACAAATAGCAGCTATATTGTGTAATATGAGAGCTGCGACATGGGAAACTCATATGTTGACGCTCGAGGTTGGCAGGCTGATGAGGGGTACTGCAAAGTGAGGCTGCGCGAGGATACATGTTTATTGGTGTTTGAGCTCACCAATCATCCTGCACACGGTCTGACTAATCTATTTCATAAGGCGGTGGTTACTGGCAAAATGGCCCCTCTCCCTCCCTGCTAACAAGCCAGGAACGCGTATCATCCTTTTACCACCAGTGACCTACTATGGCGCCTCGACTTGCTGCCTCACACCTCGAAATCATCCGCGATATAATACTCAGCAGATCACTGACCACATCCCAGATGGCTGAAGCTGCTGGCTGCAGCAAGCGTTCGACCATCAACATTTCTTAATAGCAGTGTTAGTAGTAAAATCCGATCCATCACAATGGCTCGCGATAACCTTTAACTCTTCCGGAACGTTCGAGCGCCTTCAAATAACCTCAACCTTGATGGTCGTACTCTCAGGCCGAACCCGTTGGTTGGGCTTCCTGTTCGTTTGTACCATATTGTCAAGATCCGCTTGCAGATACTCCTCCCAATACTGACTGGGAGCTACGACCAGGTGTTTCTCGGTCACATTACCCACCGGCTTATTATTGAGCAGCAGTTTCCACTTGACCGTGTAGCAAGCCCCTTCTCCTTCTCTCCCACTCAGCCAATGGGAGAAATCCGAGTCGATCCTCCGGCGGTTGTGGCAAGGTACGATGTGGGGAGGGGCTAAGGGATTATCCAGTGGAACGACCGAAATTCCCTGGGGTGGAGGCGTACCGAGAATCGTCGTCCTATGTTTCTCCGGACTGTGAGGCGTCATAGATAAAAAGGCTGTCTATCATCACCGAGAGATGCAGGCACTACAACCTAGAATTCTTTGGATGAAGACGTTAGCATTAAGCTTATTAACGCCTGACAAGGCGGCTAGCAACACGAAGCTAAGCATTATCAGAAGCAGGAAGGAGTTTATATAGCAAAAGAAGGGCACCGCGAATTGCCACTGATTCTATCGGATTGGAAGAGCCTCAGGTACCGTATGCAGCAGCGGCTCGTGAGATACAGAAGTCAAGATATTAACAGATTTCCAGTTCCGAAGCTAGTGGTAATGTTTGGTTTGTTTACACTAAATATTTGAGAAAAAGGGAACGGGCGAACTAGTTAAAAACTAAAGGCTATTAGGCTGTTATTTTTCCTTGTGACTCATACCCCACTTTAGGTTGATGGGATCTTAATTGAATGTCAGGAGCCTTGTTCTCACCCCTTTAAAGCTGCATTTGTAGCGTGGCTCCACACCAGCTCACGTACTGAGAACCCCCGCTAAATCCGTCCACGGCCAGCAGATGGCAGAACGGTCGCTGGCCTTCTGTGAGTGACATGTGTTGTATAGCGCGGTAGCAGCTAAGGGGCCTGTGCCAAGCGAATGCTAATATAATTAAATGTTAGGCAGCCTTCTGATTCTCTCTCTTTAATATTCGAAGCTTGTAATGAGTTCTCGATCTATAAACCACTTGTAATTTATAGCTGGCTAAAAGCATCTACTATACCTTAATATAGGCACTATTTGGCTTCCACCAGACTATCGGGCAACATGTGTGGCTGTGGATGGCAACAGTGTGGTTCTTGGACTTGGTTCAGGCCGCGTGAAATTTTTGTGGTTGAACTAACGTGTCTTATCTCTATGCTATTTGCTATATTTCTAGTTGTCTGGTGGTCGTCTTCCAACTCTCTTTAACTTCTAATCTCTTTATAGAAAGAGGGCCTCAGGGCCGTGATCTCTATATACTTGCTATTTTGTCATTCGAGATAGAACGACCTGCTCAGGCTCGAACGCCAATCATCATTCATTAGTCTGGACCAATATATGATTACTTAGGAAAGCGGTGTTCAGGGTCAACTGTCAGCGTGACTTTTGGAGTACCAAGAATTTCGTAACTTTTACGGGGTTGATACAAAGCGTTTATTTCGACCAGGTGCCCACTTTTGTAACCGCTAGCCATTCCGGTTTAGCGTCACCCTAAGGTTAGGGTTTAGGAAAGTCTTTGTCAGTGTGAAGGGTAGAAGGACATTTCGGTGAGTCTGTAACTCTCAACGTAGCCCCCATTTGCGCAATCTTCTAGGATAGTTCCGAGGTGTGTATATGTGTCTCGAGAGTCCAATATCTCCGGAAGCAGCTTTTCGAGTTCCTTGGCGTTGGGGAGCGAGCGTCTGATGGCGGGTCTGAGTGATGTGAGCATTTTGACTGTTACCGTGTAGGAGAATACTTGACAGAAGGATGATGATAAATACCCTCGAGACTAGCTGCTAGCCACTTCGGTGCTTATATATCTGTGCCTTTCCTTTATCCCATGATCTGCCAAAGAAGAAGGAACCTCGAAACCGAGTACAATGGCCTAGGGTTTCGGACAATATACAATGCAACAAAGATTCTTTCGGCGATAAACATGGGCATGAAAGAACACGTACAGCGCCTGTCAAGGAGGTTCAATGGGAATTTATGTGGTACAGCGGGTCCCATTATGCGCTCCCTTTGTAGCTCTCACAACGAAGACCAGATTGGCCAAAGACCGGTCCTCAAATTGCTTCTATTATGGTCTACTGCCATGACTACTCCAGAGGTCGCCGCTGAATGCAAGAGCGAGGAACAGCGAAGTGGTATAACGAACCTGAATGAGATAATTACCGAATTGAAATTAAGACATGATGCTGACGGTATAGACAAGATGAAAGGGTCCCTTGAGAAGCCCAGATTATATCGTGGGCCAAGATTCTTGTCGTTTGATAGAAAGGGAGACGGCAAGGGCGATCAGTCCTCATCGAGAGAGTCATCATCGCTTGCATCCCAGTCAATGCAGTCCGATTCTGGTCGACGGACACCTGCGGCGCGAATTCGTCTTATCTCCTCCTCATCGCCCTCGGGTGGAACAACTTCATCCATGCGCGGAAACCAGTGATTGAAGACGAACTCATATATTCCGACCTCGAGATCGGCGTAAGACCGGTTGAACTCCAGTACTAGGTTCTCGAGTTCCTCAATCAGCGAAGCCTCCTCATCCCGAATCTCATCTATCTCCTCTGGATCCATGTGATCCCCTCCTCGCCAAAGTATACCATGACAAGTATGCGTCAGCTCGAGCGCTTCGAATGTCAGGCAGCGGATTGTTTGCTGGGCAAGTCTAGTCCATTGGTCGTTTGTCAATGCATCGGGCGAGTTATTCTGGCATTCATCCAACAGCACAGCGAGAAGTGACTTATGGTTGCTGGATGGTTCTGGATCCCAGGCTCTCAGTATCCTTGTCCATGTAGTGCAGCCAGTCTCCGAGCACGCGCACAAGCACCCATCAATGCTATCATCAGCCAACAGAGTATACAATAAATCTCTGCTATCCGGATGCTGCCTATGAAGGTCTGACCTCACCTCGGCCTGGTCCATAGAAATTCCAGTCCTCCAACTACTGCATGAGAATGTGGAAGCGATCTCCTCCGCCAGGTACCATATTGCACGATAGTCATCTCCCGAGTATTGATGGAGATTAGCACCTTTGCTGACCATCCACGCGGCCAGGTATCCGAGTTTCCCCGAATGCTCATCACCTCGATTATCCCCTCGAGGATTGAAAGGTCCGTACGACCAGTCTAACGTATCAATACTCATGAGTGCGGTAAGCCCATCCTCGTTGCATTGGTTCAGGTCGACAAACCCAGCTTCGTAAAGGAGCTTCATAGCCGTGACGTTACCTTGGACAGAATTGTACACTGATCCTCCGTTGAAGGAAGGGTCCGGGATATCAGAATCGTAATCTGTGAGCTGATCGTATAACATGGAAGCATTCATATCTGGGAGGGCGCTGGGTGTCGCCAAAAGTGGGCGAAGTTCTTCATGGCCGATATGTCGAAGGGCCGCCTTTTTGAGGCGATGACGCGACGCAGCTAGCAACGAAATTACCTCTCTAACGATTCGTAAATTTCCGCATCCAGCGGCAGCATACAACTGCCATTGTCCTACCACGTCCATGTATTGGAGCACATTTAATGCGCACTCAGTCTCTCCCGCAAAACACGCTCGGGAGAAGCATTGCCCCAGTGCGTACCTTGATGTTGATAAAGGCCATTCCAACAAAGTCGACAAACCGGCTGGCCAGCCCACGCACATATATATCAGCTCCGAATCTCCTGGAATCGGCGGACTGGTGGCGGATTGCTGCCTATCCTTGAGCATCAAGCAACGACGAAGTGAATCCGTCGATTGAGCCAGAATTGTGACATCGATGTCCGATAGCTCAAATCCTACGTCGTGACAGTTAGGTTAACGCTGAGTACCTATCCGTTTAGGGACCCACCTTCAGGATAGAGGTGGAATAAGCGCCGGGTCGCTTGCATCGCAAAATTACTCCATAGCAGGCTATTAACATTATAATCTGGTGCGAATGAGCTTATTGAACCACCAGAGCTCAATATATGTTGCAAAAATGACATCTCGCCATCTGATATACTTCGTGGGTAAAACTGGGTTTGCCGGCGAATGAATATATCCAGAGCGGTCCGTCCTCCGATACTGCACCCATTAGAGGGCACGCCAGCATCGAGCAATGATTGTATCAGCTCTTTAAAGGAGTCAATAAATTTTTGATTACCATACTGAAGCCAGTGCCCCAGCCGCGAGTCCACCAATGCCTGCACGACGTTCAGATTTGTTCGGAATATCTCGCTCAGCGGGCACTCAAGAAGACAAGGATGAATAAAGGTCTCGACATACGTGTAAAATTGTACTGCCACATTCAAGGCAATCGGTTGGTGCAGCCTGGCCTTCGCGAAATAGTCGCAGAAGGCCCGTCCTCATATCGGACAATATGACCTTAACATCCCCTTCTAAGCATTCTTGTACTTTATCGCGGATTAGTTTGAACGCTGGCGAATCCCTCGAAACGAAGGCATGGAACCGGATTGATTGACTGATTGACAAAGCGCCTGCTCCTGTTGTCAAACTCATCATGACTTGGACAGACCGACTCAGGAATTTGTTGCAGAACGTATAACTTCCCGCGATCCCTATTGTATGTTTTCCCGTCGCATAAAATGGGCATGACTGCTCATGGAGGGTGAAAACCGAAAATGACAATCTTGAGGAAAGAAGTGGTCTTCGACGGCAAGTGCAATACTGCAAAACATGGTCAGCCGGGGACGAGCGTATCCTTTGCTGTCTTCGCCACCAGTAGTTTATCAACTGTTGTTGATCGCAGAGATCTCGCAATGTACTAGGTGCTGGCATCGTAAGCGAGTTGCGAGCACTTGCTCCAGTTGCTGACGTTGTGCGTTGTACGAGAGCCTGCGAACTGACCACAGTTGGATTTTGCCCCTCAACGACAGTTAGGATTCTTGTTGTTTGCACATTGATTGAGGATGCTTTCAAAATCAGATCTTGTATCTGCTTCTGCTGCTCGTTCGCCCGGGCACTGTAATGATAAATTAGAATAATTGAAACAACCATCAAAGAAGCAGGGAAGTGTTACAGATTTAAGACCTGGAGCGCAAGACTCAAGTTGTCCTGCAAGCCCGAGACCAGGTCAGAAAGCGTGACCAGCGTCTCTTTCTTGAACGGGTAAGCCGCCCTCTTCAGCCGCAGCCAATCGTGCTTTCGAATAAAAGGGACGCTCGAGATATTGCTTGACTTGCAATCATCGAGTATCTTTTGGAGGCGAAGGCATGCTGTTTCGCACGCTGTTAGGTTCTTGGATACCAGGCCACTGAACTGATCGGATGGAAATTGCGTTTCGTTTTGAGAGGTAAGTAAGCTTTCCAGCATCCGTAGCGTCTGCAGAAGGCCATCAACCTTTGTTGTGAACCCTTTGATTTCATCGTCGAAGTCTCTCCACGGGCCATAATATCGGAGAAAACCTTGACCCAGTGTAAGCCCGAGGGACACAACCCCTACCACGCCGGCGCTGATGGAAAATGGATCGCTCATGATGGCATAGTTTTCGAAGTCCGGCTCGCGATGGAGCGGCAAAAGATTGAGGAGCGAGGATGGGGGATCTTCTTCATTTCAGTGTCAGACGATTTTTCAGCCTTGTCTGCCAAGGCTCTTGAGTGACCTGAACACTGGATTTTATTGGCGCCACGACACAACGAGGTGGCTTGGAATCCCAAATTTGTGTCGCACTTGGCTGAGCTTGCAGGAGGCGATGCGCCGACCGAGTAAACAAACTGGACTGGCCCAGGTTAGCCTGGCTTTTTCTGCTTCAGGTGCAGATGAAGGGACTGCTCACTGACCAAAGCTGAGTCCATTCGTCATGAAGCGCCGAAACGGCTTGTTCCTTTGGACCACAACTTGGTCACTGAGCCAACGCAGGAGAAAGCACAGCATAACAGGTAAGAAATGCGGCACCAGAATTCTGACAGGATGTTGGACATCCGAAGGGCAGCCGTTACGGAGTTGACGGCCGGCGGCGGTCACGTGCCACTGCTTCCCTTGTGTTACTTCTGCTCCTGCAGCTTCCACATCCACCCACCAGGCTGCCTCATCGGCTTGATCACGACAGGTCAAGGCTGATATAGTGGTACGTCCATCCTTTCCCCCATTTGCGTGCTTTCCCCAGCGGAACTTATTGCAATCGCTCAGAAATCGCCGCGAGAAGCAATCATGTTGCGCACGCATACTTGCTTGTGGTCGCGCACTACGAGAAAACAAAACTCGGTCCAGCCAATGGCTCCCACCCAGTTCCACATCGTCCTCGGAGCTTTCCCCTGAATCCGGCGACTTCGGACGACATTAGGAGCCTGAAGCTTTCTGGGTACGACCACATATCCCGTCTGGCTCTCCTCTCATCGCAGCGAGAACGCGCGAGGATGCCGTACAGTGGATTGAAATCCCGAACGCGCGAGGTGTACGCACAGTAATGTGCAGTACGCGAGAGGGAGCGACTGAGGCGATTTTCCGGTCCATAACTGTGCTTGCCGGCGGAAATGTACATGGCATAACTTACTCCAGCGGCATCGTTTTCTTCGACGACCTCGCACACTGGCCGGTTGCACCCTATAGCGTGAGTGATGTCCACTCAGATGCCGTTGCAAAATGTGCCAGCATGCCACTGGCGGCCACGGAAGATGTGATCGGTGTGTTAGGGGTGTATGTGTGGGACAAACTCGATGAATTGATTGACGGAGTGGTACCTTTCGGGGAGATCGACCCTAAGGCATGGTAAGTGTTTTGGAAGCTCGTGGACAAGGGGGCCGCGAGGCAGGGATTGGGAGTTGGTGACCTGGGTACCCCACTCGAAGCGCAGGCTACGGAATTTGAGCATATCGTTCGCGTACTGGGCAGTTTCACCCATCCCAGACAGACCGACGATCCTTCCATCGACGAACGGCCCGTTCGCAAGATGTCTAAACCGTTGTGGAATAGGGAAAACACCACATGCGCAGACACTACTTCGATATTGGTTGCCTTTTGGCCGTCACCATACGAGAATGGCGCAAGAACCCCCTCGGTGATGAGTTCAAACACAGCGCGCAAGACTTGCTCTGGGCTATGTGCTCGGCGGAAATGCGTCACAAACGGATCTATCTCACTCTGTTTTGGATTTTGTGTTCCCCCTACTGGCGTCTCGCAACATTCGTACTCTCGACAAACATGCTCTACCTCGACGACGAGGGCTGGTGTTTGGCTTGCAAGGAGATAATAGATCAGCAGCTGGTTTCCCTGGAACCAACATACACTCCATTTCCTCCGCCTACTTTATTAATGTCGAGGATCTCCTCGGTTATCCGGATTCGAATCATTGCGCCGGTGCTGTTTCAGTGGACATCCTCGAGGTTGCGGCTGGTAATCTCGACCATTCCATCCCATATGTCGAGGATTGTACATTCGAGGCGTACTTGCGTCAAGTCTCTGCCACGGCTGAGTCGCTTCTAGAGCCCATTGCATTTCCCCGGTAAAGCACTTACGTATAAAGAAGCCTTGGATCTTTGTCTTGCGTTCGCGACCGCCAGCTTATCGACCACGAGACCCATGTCGGCGACCGGTATGGCTGATCAACTGCCGGACGAGGCTGCGTTAGCGCCATTTTACAACTGCTCCCTCGTTGTCGGACTCAAGATAGGCACAACCCCAAATCAGGCAATCACCGAGCATCTTGAGCGGCTGGCAACCTCGTGCGGCCCCGACAGCAACCAGCACAATGGGAAGACCCTCCTGTGCTGGGACTGTCGCGCTTAGGATTATTACTTGTGTTGTGCGGAGAAGCGCCTCATATTGGACGCAATGGAGCGTTTGACTGATCGCTACGTCAAAGGCCCTGCTAGGGTCGATATCCTGGACGAATTGATAGACATCAAAGCCGACACTGATGAACTGATTCTTCAATCTCAGTCTTTCGCGAATGAATGCTACAAGACCGAAGTTTATCGCATAATTAACGGATCGGGCGGTCGCGACAAAGCGCTGGGGCGATGTACTGGTAAATTTGAGACCTCAGCGAGACTTCCAGGTGGGCAGGACCTTGGCCTAAGCGACGATTCTCTGGAGGACACTGCTACCCATCTGACAGTCCGAGATACCGAGCCCATACCCAACCAACCCACTGTCTACCAGCGGACCTATTTATTCGCCTGCAACCGCGCTGATGACGGGACTGAGGTTCTCGCCTCAATGCAGGCTGCGCATACCGCGGTGGATAACCACACTCAATCATAAACGCCGCGCTAACCCTAGCAGGCAAGTAGCGCAGTCCGGATCTATGGCATACCTACGCAAACTTCGGGCGAACGGCTCGATCCACGTCTTCCCCATCAGCTCAATCTTCGCCGCTGCTATAAGCCCTCCAAACACGCGATTGCGTAAACAACCTTCATCCATCAATAAGTTACGCGCCCTCTCCAAGGGCCTGGACACTTGGGCACGTCATGTCGGGTGGTTTTCGCTCGCGCGCGAGCCTTACGAGGATGCCTTGGCGTTCTTCTCAAATACGAGGCTTCGGTTACCCAAGAAAGAAAGCAACGCCACTTCAAACGTGCGCGTGTCTCTCGCGAGGTCATCGAGGTTGCACCGGAAAATGGCGGGCTTGGCATCTCGCCTCTGGGCGTTTATGAGTACGACTACAAGGTGAAGTGTTCGACACAGCAGTATTGGAAGGATGTGGCGAACAGCTGGAATAGGTGTTTAAAAATGGATGTATCGCACCTGACTTTGAACGAGCCTGATGGCGATAATGATACCACCCATACAGACGGTGGGCCCCACTATGAGGCAGCTGAAATATTGCCGAACACTGCCACTTTGGTACAGCAAAGCTCTGAGGATGGGACGAGGTTTTATAGAGCGTCAGGTGCAGACAGCGGCGGCAAATAGGCGTTGGCATGTCGACCTCAAAGGCCACCACTGAGACAATTTCTCGGATGACATGACTGCCAGGTATCCCATCCTTGCCACTCATGTTACTCAAAACTTTACCCCGTCGTCTGATGATTGTGTGTGTATAATATTCAAGATTCTTTGATGATAAATCCAAATCCGACCGGTTTTGCGGCGTGTCCCTCCGTGAGTAATCAAGATATCATCAGCTCGTTGCAATGCTGCGTGGCAAGTTCAAATGAGCCGCACAAAATGGTGTGGTTTGCAGTGCCTAACACCGGCGTAGCCTACCACGCATCGATCGGCGAATATCGTCCTCCAGTCACATACCCATCGTCAGCTTGTCAGATCGCCATGAGTGACCAGCACCACGCAACACTGAACGACCGTTGGCTCTTCGGAAAATTAGAGAGCCGCATGCCTTCGCTATACTTTCGAACCGCCTGACCAAATGATATCCACCGGAGCTATATTCAGACAGGCGTATGCGTGTTCCAGTTGATAGCTACAACGGCCCAGGTAGTAGTCCGTGCTCGCTCACCCATTAGGCGACCCGGAGTCCCGAAACGGGATCGATGATTAGTCGCAGTGTGAGACCAAGCTCAAGCACACCAACCAGAACAAGCAACGTCCTGCGCTCTGCTGACCAGGATCCCCCCCGCAGTATCCAAGCGGATCACTCGGCACGTATTGTTGCTGGCGAGAGGCGCAGCAACGAGCCCTAAATAGCCCGCACTAGCCCGCCAGGGGTGGATGATCGGCACGCACGATGACGCTAGCCAATCCTTATTTGCGAGACAAGGCCAATCGGGATCGCAGAGGGCGTTCTGCAACGCTGACGATCGGGTATTGCTTAGTTAGGCGGGCTGTTGTTACCGTCGGATTTGGTAGGCTAAAGGAAGGGGGTTGCGAGAGGGAGATGAGACATACAGACATACGAATCCTTTAGGATGGTGAGATGGGGATAAGAATAGATTAATGCAAGGAGGGAGGACATATAAAAGGCCTTGCGATTCCTCGAGTTGGGATCTCTATCAACAGAATCAACATCAGCGTTCAATCAATTCCTACACTTGGTCAAGCCTCACTCGAGTCAATCGCTCAAACTCGCATCCAATAACCACATTCGCTTCAACAAAACAACCCAATACAAAACCACCAAGATGAAGACCTCCCTCATTGCCCTCGTCACCTCCCTCGCCGGCGCGGCCTTCGCCGCCCCCTCCGCTCAGCCCGTGGAGCGCCAATCAACCCACTACCCCTACAGCATCGACACGCTCTGGCTCCGTCGCTACACAGACAACACCTTCCGCATAAACTTCAGCCTCACACACCGCACCGACAGCGGCGAAGCCCTCTCGTCCACAACTTGCACAACAACCTGGAACCCGTCGGTGCCCGCGGGCCCTGAGAACCCCGTGGCATGCGCGGATCCGACCTACACGTTCTGGTTCCCGAGTGGAATCTTGAGTCTGCTTGATTATGAGATTGCCACGAAGGGGCCGGATGGGGTAGCCTCTGCGGAGATTGTCGAGGGGCCCAAGTATGCTTGTGGTGGGTATGAGGGGGATCTTGAGGGGATTATCTACGAGTGTCGGACTACGAATGGGGGGGCGTTCTACTTGGCGCTCGAGTAAAGGCCCAGAATCCCCTCGGATCTCTCTGTGCGAGAGAGAAAGGAAGGAGATGGGATGAATAAGGCCGGTCGCTTGCATCGAGATGGAACCTGGCAGTGAAGCAGAAGCGGTGGACAGGAACGACGTGCCACTGGTTAGATCTTTCTGAATGTATTTAGTTACTAAATTGTACTCTTATTGCATCATTCCCTACGACTATGGCTACGTACCTTTGACGTAGAAATACCCTTTCCCTCTGTTGTTCTTGTAGACCGGGATATGTCTTTAAGATGCTCGCGTATTATACCACTCCAAACTACCCATCTTGCCCCACCCAGGTAGTAACTATGGACAGATCCAACTAAGCCTTGGGCAGGATTACGGTGGGAGCCGCGGACTCAACCAGGATTCAGGCTATGCAGTGGATTGGATTTGGTTCAAGAGCCTGGGTCCAGTTCCCGCTGGAGCCGTCGGCCGAACCATGGATCCAGGTCGCGGCTCAGAGGCTTGGACCACCCCGCTTACGAGCCAGTGTTGCTCTCTCCGAATACCCGAGTCCATATTTATGGCTGGGCGTTGCTATCGCAGCCACACCAGGACTTTATTTACCAATCTTGTTCTGCCTTGCCAGGCGCGGCCCTTTGTTCCTTGTCCGTTGTGGGGTACTCCATGCCTGAGGTAAATGCAAGGCAAGAGGGGCGAACTTCATATCCCTTTAGTAGCATGACTGTGGCCGTGTCTCTGACCACTGTTCCTACGATGTCAAATCTGGATTATTAAAGCATGGTAGCATGAGGTATGGTGGCTTTCTTCGGATGTCCTTGGACCGGACTGGAAAAGAAATACCACCATGACCGACAACCGTACAACGAGGTCTACAAGCTGGGGTATTCAGAGAAGGAAGTGGGCATGAACGAAAGGGACTATAGTAATGCACATTTGATAGTACGTCGTGAGGCGGATGGGACTCACATACGGCTGTATGAAGATAGGAACACGGCTGCGTGGCCGACGGGATATACTCCGCCTTGAACGTACTGCGTAAAGCACATGTACTCGACGACACCTGAAGGTTGTTTGGAATGCTGCTTGTGGCAGTCCTCGACGAACAGGTCGATTCGCTTAACCGTTATAACTATATTTCTACGGCCGCGCGAGGTGCGAGTGGGCCATTTATCTAAAGAGCCCCAGATCGCTTCGTCGGAGGATTCTCACCTCCTCTGCATCTAGAAGGTGCCACCCTACCTAGACCCTGCCATTCACTGGGCCTTTCCTCTATGGACCATCTATATCAGGTGCCCCCGCACACGAAAGGCCGTTCCGGGCCAATTATCTAATCCTGGCCAAGCGCAGCGAGATTGCCCAAGAGGCATCTTCTCGTTGCATCTACCTACAAGTATCCTGTAACCCTCTGAGCAAGCCGTATCCGCTCGCCTCGTGCTTCAGCCACCACAATGCAATGGAACCAGCGGCTTCCGCGGGAACGAAGCCACCACGGTGTGTCCAAACGTTCGGGCAAGCTAGACTCCAGCCCAGGCTAACTGCTGCAACTCTAGAGATCCAGAAGACAATCGACTGACCTCAAAGTCTCAACCATAAATCATCTCGGCTCGTGTACCCGTGTGCATCTATGAATCCTGTGTGCGGCGGGAACTTGAATAGATAATGCAAGGGAACGTTTATCACTCCTACCCTGTACAGTGTAGAGCCCAGTTCGGCATTGGAGGAAGGTGCAACCTAGCGCCGATAGAACAGGAAAGAACGACCCGTGGTTCTTGGGTTGTTCCTTCCTTGTGCAGAGCGAGGGACTTGAGGAAGGCGCCACCAAGGGTGCGCCTTCCAGTTACAGAATAGGAAGGAGCATTCATCGCCGGACGCTGGTTGCAACTTCCTTGTATACTTCCTTTAGCCCGCAGAGAAGGCGCGACGAAGGGGTTGGTTATCGCGTACCTTCCTACTACAGAACAGGCAGGGACGTGGCCTATTGGCGGTCGCTCCTTCAGTGTATAGTTGGTCTTCCATGTGAGGAAGAACGACAAACAGATCGTCGGTCGTTCCTTCCTCCCCAGTGTAGCAGTTACAAGGAAGGAGCAGATCAAGACCAGGCGCCCGCGACATCGCATACCGATTCTGAAAACGGTATGTTGGCCATTAGGGTATAGGATAGGCTCTGTGAATAGACGCCATCACCACTTGTTCCTTCTCAAATAATAAGGTGCCGGGTGATGGCATGTATAAGGATGCTGTTGGAGAGTACTGCGGGTCTTCGGGAAGGAGGCCAGTGCTATCATTGCATGTAAGGAAATACGAGGCGAGGTCAACTGATGGTTCTGCAGATGCCATGAGCTGGTCGGGCCTCCAAACCTGCCAAGACATGACAGTTTAATGTGTTTAGCCGTGTTCATGCATCGACCGTAACCCTAAACGCAATGCAGGAACCACTTCAAGGAAGGCAGTCTAGAAAAATTATATGGAAGAGAGAGAAAAGTTAAACGAACGATAGAATTCAATACTCTACCATCAAACCGTCTTGAATTACTACACCAAAAGTGAGTGTGCCTGCTGGTTCAACTTCCCAGCCACCAGAATAACGACCATGCAACCCCATTGGCGTCTCGCCCGGAGCCTAGCCAGCAACCTCGCTAAAAAGCAGTCTAAAAAGCGACGAACTCCTCAAAGCAGCTAGAGGATGATTTGTTTTTCCTAGCGGACGGAGTGGGGTAAATCTGGGAGTCGCGATGTGAAAGTGCGGTCAAGCAAGCGCCTGCCACCGCCGATGCCAGCAGCGCAACATCGCCCAATTCCACCCCCTCACTCGGACTCATGCGGTCTCCTCCCCTTACTTTGACCGTTGCGTTGCGAGAATAAATGTCTTTGTTTGATCATGCAGATGACGATACGGAGCCGTCGTTCGCATTACCGAATATCGGCTCGGAGGCGGTGCCCTCGGCTAAGGAGAGCGTCGCCGAGCAGATTCGCGATATAATCGAGGCGCTCAAGGAGATTCGGTCTCAGCTTGCCGATCAGAACAAATACCTGGATGTTCTTGCTGAAAAGTATATCAAGCCGGCCACCCCGCAGCTGCCGCGTATCGTTTACATTGATGATGAGGAGTGGATCGACCGATTACAGCCACTCCAAGAGGAGTGGCATCGCTCATTGATACCAGACGAAGAGCGGATGGAGTTCCTCAAAGATCGATTCATTGAGCAGCTTCGTGAACCAGAGGGGCTTGATGCGCTGCTAGAAATTTCTGTTCCTTTATCCACAGACCGCGCTCGAGACCCTGCCAGTCAAGGCTCGCTCGAGACTCTGGCTGCAGCATGGCCAGTCTACCAGGAGCCACCGCCGGAAATTGGCTTGAGAATCATGTTTGAGAATAATGATGCTTGGGCTGACTTTGACACCTTCTTTGCCTGTTGCCTGCGCCAGCACCGCCAGAGTGACCACGATTCAGTTCACCTACAGCACCCTTTCCTCCGCTCTGTTGAGATGCACGAGTTTGGGTACGATAACGAGGCTTCCACTGTGGTTGGTTCATATTCCGTCTTGGTAGGTCGAAAACATGGTACTGGGACTCTTGAATGGTTTAACTGAACAGGCTTGTAGCAAAGCGACAACTCCTTGGTGAGGAAACAGGAATGCTGGGATCTGCCAACCCCCTCCCTTCGACGACCTTGGAGCGGAAGAATCTGTGGCCGTATCATGTAAGTGGAAGAACTTTGTGGACATGCAATTGCCAACAAACGCTGCAGAATAATCGATCTCTATCGACTCCGCTTCATTCCGGTGCAAACCGTGGCATTTGTTTTGTGGCAGCTTGATAGCTTTGGTGCTCAACATCGATTGTATTATAACATGCAACCCGGACAACTGTGTCTCTCAGCATTCATGTCATCATGGGAGAGACAGGAGTCGCCAAGATGTTTTGTTCTCCCTGAGGTCGCGGTGCTGTGTCTCTGTTTCCAGGTGCGCTGGATGAAGTCTGGCACATGCGATCTCTCCGACAACCGGATTACACACGGAGTATTCCTCGAGCGAGATAAAGGAGACATCCCAAGTGCACAAGGCACTGGGTCTCGTGACATGAACATTCGCGAGGACCGTCTGGGCTTTGCAATGATCACAACAGTCGACAGGCCCCTGCCACTTTACACGCTGATAAACTTGACGGGCGATGTGACGTTTCAATACCTAAAGACGCCTCGCGACTGTCTGGATCGCATTATCCAGAGTAGGCCTGCGCGGTCTTACCTCACTGACAACCTCACAGGACTGGGCATGTTCCTCATCTTCCTCTCTTCAACATTAGCCTGGCTTGCCGGCGATTGGGTGCGCTTTCTAGATGAGGTCGATCGAACAGTGCATACTAGCGTGAGCCCGCCAATTGAGTGAGTGCCATGAGCCAAGCTGATGAGAGTATAGCTTGCCCAGATGACCCGCGAGAAACGCCAGGCCCTAATGTTCGATGACGATTTTTCAAAGTCGGATCAGTATTTTGCCGTCCTGCAGACACTGCACATGTGCACTGACTGGATCACGGGGACCCTTCGAGACTTCAGAGAGCTGTGCCAGAGACTCGAACCGGTCTTCGAACATGCGCCGGACCATGTCCGCGTGGATAAAGAAGCTCTAGCTGCACTGTGTGATGCTGTCGTTGCTGACAGCGAGCTCCATCTCCAGCCATTGCTGGATCGCATTGAGCGAAAAGTCGAAGAAGTCAAGGGTCTTCGAGACGGGGTATGCTATTCGTTCTGCTGCCGACAGATACACAATCTGACCCTGATTTACTTAGCTGTTCAACGCGACCTCCGTCAAAGAAGCCTCAAAGGGAACGCGTCTGGCCGAAAACAGTCGTCGACAGAACCGATACGTCCTCGTCTTTACCGTCGCCACTGTGTTTTTCCTGCCGATGGGCTTCGTGACTGTAACTGTTCTCTTCACCACTTGGTTGTCTTGCAGGCTTGCTAACCATCCCATCACAGTCGTTCTTTGGAATGCACCTATTCGACCCTGACAACGACGACCCTTCTTCCTCCCAGATACCCTTCATCATTACCTTTGTCGTCCTATCCATCGCTACATATGTCATTGCAACAGGGGCACTGTTTGCTGTTCGAGAGGACCAATGGGTCAAAACGACCCTCGCGTCTTGGAAGTTGGTGGCAGCCTCGCTGGGTTTTCAGGCGCCCTCAGGGTCAAAGATCCTTGACATACTGAACAGGAAGAAGGCCACGAACGAGGCGAGCGTATAAGGTCCAGCTGCGGACTATGGCTCGGACCTCCAGCGGCTTCAAGCTTTTCGCCGCTTTTATGACCATCTACGATACGATGTACGACTCACGACTCACGGCTAGATGAGACGAGACTTACGATCTTTGTACATATTTCCTATGTTTGCAACGTGTGTGTACTCTACCGAAAGAAAATGCAGAGGACAAAACAAGCCGTATCACACAGACCAGCAGCCGCGTTTGAGATATCTTATTTGGGTCAATTGCCCAACCCCTGGGACTCACGCAGATGGCTGCTCGTGTCTATGTATGTATAGTGCCATTGTGTGTTACCAGTAGCTTTCTTGTAGTTGCACTTTCTTTTCACTGCATACCGATCTCGCTGCTATGGTACAAGTAGTCTAACCCGATATTCCGCTGCTGAAAATAAATAGACAGCTCACTGGGCAATAGGCTCTGCTGGCATTCACCCTGTTCTTGAAGATTGAGATATATGTCAGCCAGACCTTTTGCTCCCAATTCACCCAAACGCCTGGTCAGATTCATCGAAACAACTCCAGAAACGGGCCTGGCCAGGAACAAGCAAAACCGGTTTCTGGGTAATCAAGGGATTCAGTAGCAGCAGCGACAGAAATCCGAGGTATATAAAAGATTAGACAGGAAAGTTCCTCCCAGGTAGTATCTAACCCACCCTGACTCGGGGCCCCCCAACTCAATCCCAGGAATTAACATGGCAGGCACATTGCACTTGGGTATCATTGGAATCCCGCGCTTCATTCTATGGGCTAGCGCCACGTGCTCCAGGTCCTTGATGTAGCCCGCTCGGTCCTAGATGGCTTTATTCAACCCGCACAACCCCCTGCATGCATTTAGGTACCATGCCTGAGCTCCCTCGTGCTTGTCAGAAGGTACAGACCATTCATAAGAATGTCATGTTTCCCCCCGACGGCAAGGATCCGGCCCTGGTTTACGCCTACTACAGACTGGGACAAAACACCAAGGAATGGTGTACTGTAATCACTGCAGTGTCAGTTCTCGTAGGCGGAGGAAAAGCCCCTTTTCTTTCCCCGATCGATTATCCAGTCTTGGTCGGAAAAAAATCTACCAAAAAAGGGAAGTGGACATCCTCGAACTTGATTAGGCCGGGTGCGGGTTCTTCCAACAAGAGATATCGAATCATTCATCCGGGACGTTTGATTAGCATAGAACCTAGTACCCCCAGCTAGCCAGCCCACGTGCGTAGATACACAAGAGGGCCCCCAGAACCCCTAATTCAAGGTGCGGCTACCTCGCCAAAACTGTGTCGGGGCTAACCTTGCAAGTCCTCAGGCAATTCCGCCCCAAACGTCATATGGTACCCACTGCACCCCCGGAATAAACGCATCCCTCACCACCCCCGCCTGCATCACGCCACTGCCTCTATTCCAAAACGGATTCGCGCCGTCCGCATACAAGAACTCCCCGACCTCCTTGTCGAGCCAGATAGCGTGTCCCAGCTGGATATACTCTGTTGGTAGGGCTATAGTCACGACCGGACGGTCCGAGGATGGACGGCTGCGCCAGTCGAGCTTGTCGCGCATGTCCTCGAGCAACGTGCCGTAGGTACCGCCGTGGTCGACAAAGTAGGGGAATCCGAGGTGGACGGAGCGGAGGGTGTCGGGGAGGGAAGAGAGGAAGGAGACGATGTCGTCTTTGTCAACAAGAAACTTGGAGAGGCCGAAGTGCTGGAGCGACCGCCAGGTTTCAGCGGGGAAGATGGTGTGGAGTGGGACGAGTTGCTCGCGCGATTCAGCACTCCCCGGCACGCTCGAGTCGGAACCAAGGCTCGAGTCGACGTTTGTGGTCAGGCCGATGTGCTGGATGTCCGGTGCACCGGCGAGTGTGCGACGAAGGCATCCACTGCGGAAACAGCGCCAGCCCGTGCGTTCCTGACCACGCGCCAGGAGGGATAGGTCAAGACGGGCGAAATCCGGTTTGTTGAGAATGGCTGCAAAGTCGTTTTATTGCTTATTTGGCTCCTCGAACATGCGGCAGTTGAGCCCTGTTTCCAGGGTATGGGCGTCGAGTCGTAGCTCAGTCATCTGGTGGTGCTGGGAATGCGCGGCAAGCGCGTGCATTGCGATACACACGCCGCGGTAGTGTTCCCTGGTTGCTTCGTCCTCCCATGGCTCTGCTTCCAGTGTATGAGTTCCATCAGGAACATTTGGCCAGCCACGCGGAATGTAGTAGTTGAACCCCCTTGGAAACGCGCGGATCATGGGAGTTTCATATAATGGGGAAAAGATCCACCCATGTGCTGCTGCTGTGACCGTCACTCTCCTTAATGCTGGGAACCGCTGGAGCGCATAGACAAATGCTTCAGCATCCTTGTTAAACACAATGGCGTCTTCCTGTTGCTGGAGGAGGTTCTGGTAGTACTGCCAGCAGATGCGCATGGGCAGGTGGTCGGACGCGATCTGGTCAGCGAGGAGGACGGGCTCCGGTGGGGTGCGCCGGCAATAGACGTGTAATATCTTGCGCATTTCCACATCCTCGATGTTCTCTTTGCACGCGTCGACGAACCACAAGGGAGTTCCGCTCTCCTCATCAGCCCAAACATCTTCGCGCGGATCGGCAATATGGAACTCGCCCCACGGGTCTTTGATGAGCCGGGCATCATCCCAGATGAGTTCTCTAACCCCGTGTCGGAACGTTTCGCTGTCCGCGATGGCGCGGAACACAGTGATGTTGAGCGGGTTTGCGGACAGAAAAGCGCGATCCAGACGGAGGCGCACGGTGTTGCAGAGGGTCTTGCATGTTAGTCGAAGGGTCTTGATGCCACTGTTGGGAAGACAGCTCGCGATGATAATGATGATCTCCGCAGGGAGATGTGCGAGGCTCCGTGCCATATTACGGGTTCTCTTGGCGAGTGATGTCTCGAGAGGATGTTCCCTTGCTTGGCTCACGGCAATCCCCCTTGTGCCACAAACACCAGGGTGCGAGTCCTAGCGGGGTTGTTCCTGGAGGCGGACCAGTGAGAGGATCGCCGTCGTCCAAGAGGGGTATAGTTGGCGCTGGTCAGCTTTGCCAAGACGAGTTAGGGTTCACCAGTCTCCTTTGGCAGGGTCCATCCCAGCGCCTGTGAATGTTGGCGTCACAGCCTCATCCCCATCCTGCTCCTACGAACCCCCAAACCGTCATTGACTTTGCATTGGCTTCAACGCTTTGCTCATGTTCCGCGCAACACGAAGCTTTCTCGCATGGATCAACCTACTCGAAGGGAATAGTCGAGTGGCATGCAATCCTAACTGACAAGGTGGACAGGAGGTTCCTGGCACATATTCTGAATTTCTAGACAAGCGTTTAGGAAGAAACTCTCAGGAGCCATGACAATCATATCCAGGGAAAGCAGTAAAAGTAGGGACAGAGAGGGTTTACTCGTCGCGAGGCTCACCAACCACACATAACCAAGCACCAGCATTCACCAGCGCAAGCACTCATTCCCCTCTGCGCAGGATAATATTGGCGCCATCAAATGCTTCTGATATTCCAGGGGTAACTATACTTGTCTTGCATTGGACAGGCTGTACTGCAGGGGCTTGGCTAGAATTTCAGGCATTATCTTCTGGTATTTAGAAAGATGTTGCCATTCTAGAGTTGCTAATATCGATAGTCTAGTATGTATCATGTACTTGCACGTCAATCTCCGATGAATAAAACTAACGCACAAGTCAATGCTAGATTCAGGGGAGGGGAAACTGCAGGGTTACGTCGCTACGCCAGGGGACTCCGTCCGGTGTTCAATGGCTATTCTATTCTATTCTCTAAGCTGTGAATATACCTGTTGACTGCCTAGCCATTATATTCGGAGTGGTAGCGAGGCGGCTTCGCTCGGCACTAGTAGCATAGAGCTGAGCCGTTGTAACAATGCGATCCAATCCAATCCATTCAGTCAGACAGCTCAGTTCCGAGGGAATACCTTCTCCGTACGGGAGCTGATACAAGGACGCATTATGTACATTATGAAGCGGCTCATGATAGGAAGAGTTGGTACAGGGTTATTTGATACACATTAATACAGTACAGCACTGGGAAGGGCTCGGCTCCCGCTGACACCCTATTATCCCAGACCCAGACCCGCCTCGTGCAGGCGCTCGCTTAGAGTCCGCTGCAACACCCCCAGTGACGGACTCGCCTCCGTGCCCCTCCAGTCCACAGTCGCAGCAGACGAAAGACACTGGTGGAGTGCTTCTCGGCTGGCACCAGCTAGGCTCGGGGCCTCTAGCACTTTGAGGGCGGCCATGGTTGTCGTGAAGAAGCTGTTTTAGAATTAATAACAGAAGTAGACAAAATGGAGTACGAAAGGGACAGTCCTGCGTCTTACCTGACAGAGAGAGTCCACTTGTACACCATACAATCATCCACGGCAAAAGTTATGCGTGGTAGAAGCTGTACGTACGAGTCGATGAAGCGCTGGCAGTGGTCGAGGAGCTGGGCGCTTGGCACGCCACTGTCCTGCATAGCCTGGAAAACCGCGGGCCAGTAGATGGACAGTTTGCAGCAGTAGTACTGGACGTTGAGGAAGTTGGACAGCGACCCGACGACGCCTCCGCCTCGGTCAGCACACAGCTGTTCGGGGCTACTACTTACCTGCTCCTGCTGGTGCTGCCGCTCTGGCCGCTCCCGCTCCCTGGTAAATTGGATATTCGGGGGGAGGTATCCGTACCACTCGTCGAGCTGGCGCTCGAGCTCGAGAGCGATTCCCGGCGCGTAGCGGTGTGTACCGTCCTCGGGCGACTGCGTGATGGCCCAGTTGCAGCGGTGCAGCATGCGGCGCATGGCGATTTCCGCGAGGAAGAAGGACTGCGCTTGGTCGGCTGTTGTGCTTGTGCTGGTGATGCTGTCGGCTGAGTGGGCGCTTGCGGGGGAGACGGCGGCGGCCAGGGCGAGACTGGCACTAGTAATTGTACTGCTACTAGTTGTGCTCTGTTGGGGAGGAAAGTGCCATGTGCGTCGGCAGTTGGGGAGAGGCGTGTACTCGTCCAGGGACCAGATGTCGCTCTTGGCAACGTCGAGCTGCACGCTTAGTTCGCTATTTGGGTTCCCTCTCTGTCAGCTTGGGTTGTCTTTATCATGGAATGTCGCGGTGGGCTTGGGGTGTTGGGTGGGCTTGCCTCTCCAGCAATAGAATCGCCCAGTATGCTCGGTGGGTCAGTTCAAGGCTGTCATTATCTGTGCTTTGGAGTCCACTATCAGGGTTAGTCTGGGAAATTACTTTTCTATGTAAACAGTGAGGTGTAGTGCCCACCTCTTGAAAAGATTCTGAATCTTGAATGAGGCGATCAAACAATAGTCGTGGGCCTGGCATGGTTTCAAGAGGCAACAGTAGTAGATGCTCAGAAAGATCAGGCATTGGATGCTCGTCAGTGTACACTCGGCAAGAACCACAGGCAGAGACTGAAGCGCCGCGTCAAAGTACGGACCCCGCGTCTCGGGGTCATGCGCAACGCAGCCGATGGCTGCGACGAGAAGCACGAGACATGTACGAGACGAGGGAGCCAGGGGCGCCGACAAGGTGGCAAAGTAGGCCTCGGAAAAGTCCAGAGGAAGGATAGGATAGTAGCCATGGATGCGGTCGGAGAAGGCAGCCAGGGCGTCGGTGACCTGCTGCTGGGAAAAGAAAAACATGCCCGGAGGTGTCGTTGCCCCGATGAGCAGGTTTGCGCGCTCGAGCCGGATGAGACCGTGGGCAAATCCGTCGTCTAGCCCTAGCACGCGCATGATGGAGTCGGTCGCCAGCAGGCAAAAGGGCGAGTCCTCGTGGGAGCCGAGCACGGTGCGGGATGCGGATCCCTGGTGGGACTGGACGAGGGGTGTGGGCTGCTTGGATAGCAGCATCGTTAGGTAGTCGAGGCGCAGGTTGACATTGGCCAGTTCTGTTTCTACTCTGCACTATCTTAGCTCAGGTTGCGTCATTAGTCTCTATTGGGTGAAGCGCACTTGGTCGCCGGGCTCTCGGGCAGCTGCTGGTAGAAGCAGTCTAGCCCCCGGATCCGACAGGGGGCGCAGTATGGTCGCTGTCCATCGCACTTGACCCTGCGTGATCTGCAGGTATCGCAGGCGAGCGTCAGTCGTTTCCGCGGCCTGGCCATTTTGATGCTGTTGGAGATGTGTGGAGGGTGCGGCCGGGCAGAGTGCGGAGTGGGCTTGAAATACCGCGCGGGGTCACAAGCGAACCCCGCGTTCCACGTTTTGGCAAGTTTTGGCTCGGGGCGCGGAGTCCATCTCCAACTCCGCGTGTCTCCAATTCGGGAACGGGGGATATACCTTGCAGTTCTATGCTCATGGACAATGTTATAAACGCTCTAGGCTGCTCATCCTTCCAAGGACGCCACACATCCTTCACCTGTTCCAGTTCCAGACCACCAATATGGCTTCATCCATCGAAAACCATCTCCTCGCAGACATCACCAAGCAACGGGTCGCTCGCAGCGCCCGCGTCGCCAGCTGGGATCAAAGCGGACTCAACGAGGACGCCTTTGTCGTCCTACCCGGCGAGACCGCTGTGCTGGCCGACCTGCAGGGCCCTGGCGCAATCACCCATCTATGGTTCGTCCAGACATGCCGAAAGATCCTGGGACCCGGCCTGATCCCATACTCCAAATCGGGAGTCGCCATGATGGAAATTCACAACGCGTTGGGCCTTAACTACGAAGTCAGCGACCCAGACTACTACCGCAAGGTCCTGATCAAGATGTACTGGGACGACTCCGAGACCCCCAACGTCCTGGCTCCGATCGGCGACTTCTTCTGCCTGGGCCACTCGATGGCCGCCAATTTCCAGTCGCTGCCCTTTACCGTCTCTGTCAAGCCGTCGGAAGAGAAGCAGTTTGGCGGAGCCGCGGCATTCAACTGCTACCTCACCATGCCGTTCAACAAGCGCGCCCGCATCGAGATTGAGAACCAAAACGACGAGGCCTACATCCAGTACTTCTACATCGACTACGAGCTCTACCCGGAGCCCCTCCCCAAGGACACGCTGTACTTCCACGCGTACTGGCGCCGCGAGAACCCGACCAACGGCTGGGCCCCGTCGGCGATCCAGACCAACAGCCTGGAAACGCAGGTGAAGAACCTCGACGGCGCGGGCAACTACGTCATCCTCGAAACTGAGGGGGCAGGCCACTACATTGGCTGCAACCACTCGGTCTGGCACGAACAGGGGACATGGTGGGGCGAAGGCGACGACATGATCTTCATCGACGACGACACCTGGCCGCCCAGCATGCACGGCACGGGCGGCGAAGACTACTTTTCGCAGGGCTGGGGCATGCAAAAGAACGCGTACCCGTTCTGCGGCACGATTATCCACGAGGACGACGTCCCCAACACGCAGATTAGCTACCGCTGGCACCTCGCCGACCCCGTCCGCTTCAGCAAGCGCATCAAGGTCACCCTGGAAACGGGCCATGCGAACCACCTGCGTGATGACTGGTCGAGCACCGCGTACTGGTACCAGACCCTGCCGGGTCCGAAGCTGGAGATTTTGCCAGTTGAGAAGCGGCTGCCGAGGCGGCCCGAGGTCGCCCCGATTCCGGAGCCGACGGAGGAGGAGATTGCGGCGTTGAGTGCGGACAGGAAGGAGAAGCTGGCGCAGCACCGCGAGCGGTATGCGGCGTTTGTCAAGGATCGGAATGAGTGGTTGGAGCGACGGGCGAAGGACTCCAAGGAGCGGGCGTTGAACAATGTCAAGATCTGTGAGGATATCCGCCAGCGGTTCTTGAGCAGCCTGAAGCAGTAGATGGACGACTCCAAAACGTGGTACCCAGGCCCACAACAGTGCATACTCAAGGAAGGGATGGAGATTCATAGGAAGCTAGCATATTACTTTGAATCAATAAATGTGCGCCCATCAATCTTGAACATTCCAGCTTTAGTAATTCAGGCGCATCACTGACGGTGTCATGTCACTCTAATAAACTTCTCACTAGGCCAGGGATGTTCCAACAACTAAAACAGGGTCATGAATATTAGATCAATACACGTTTCGCAGGGAAGCATTGGGGTGACTTTGACAATGATTCGCTCGAAAGGGTTCGGCCTCGTAGCGTTATTTTTTACGAGCGTTGCCCCTACCGTTAGACTCCACCCCCCGCCCAATCGTGCTTAAAAGTGAGAATGAAATGCTTCCCACTTTTAGGAATGGTTTGAAGAAGGGAAGGATTCTAAAAGGTGAGATAATTTAAATATTATATGTAAAGATATATTAGAAATTTAGATATAGATAGTAGATACCTCCTAGATACTCAAAAATCGCTTATTATATCAAAAAAGGGTGTCTTAAAACCATAGTTTTCTAAAATTTTAGACCTAGGTACTCTATTACGCAGGTTTTCATGCATCCAAAGCTACTTCCAATATAGCAAGCGGGGAGTGTTTTCTAGCGTCTCATGCTTGGATAAGTGGTAAGAGAATTTCATGGAGGATTCCTAGTGTAGAGCTACAGTTGTTAATCGTTCCCAGTCCTAATCCTTCCCTGCGAAACGTCTCTACATGGCCAAAGAGGGGTTACATCATCTATTTTGAACAGGGTAATGAATATTCCGTCAATCATCAGAGGGGACTATTTCCGAAACCTTGCGCCGGTCAGACATGCGGGTTAGAGCCTGGTCTCGAAGCTTAGCGATCCAGTCATGGCTTGAGTCCTCGGTCCACTCGTGAGCTCCCACTGACTGCCCACAGTTGCCAGCCTCGGCCCGGGCTTCCAATGGCCTTGCGACTTGCTGTGGGGACGTCCCGAGATTCATGCCGACCGGGATTCCTCGCGGAGAAATGCCAGACTCCGCGGCAGAGTTTCGCCACCGACAGAATCAGTCAAGTCCAGACTCCGCGGTCTGTCACGTCACGCCAGACTGTCCGGACTCTGGAATCAGACCTCGTCTAGGACACGGGGGCCGCCCTGTGCACGTTCCATACCCCATGGTGCCCCGCTTGCACGACATAAAAGCACTCCACACACCACTGGAGTCCGGGGCAATTGATATGATATGTATTACCGCATGATTATCTACTCACCCTGGTGGATTCAACATGAACAATAACTCAGCCTGGATCGACGGGTAAGCCCCTATACCTGCAAGCCCCTTGTTGGGCTCCGGCTGACTGACCGCAGGGTCGACTACTCGATCATCGACGCAAGCCAGCGATGGCGCATGCTCAAGTCGCAGAAGCGCTTCTTCTTCTGGTGTGAGTGCGCCCTGCACCAGACAATCAATCCTTTCCGAGAAGCCGCCGCTGACAGGTAGGAAACTAGGCCTCTGGGTCTCCAGCGGAGTCGTCATGCAGGGCTTCGACATCGTGGCCGGAGGCCAACTCGCCGCACTACCGGAATTCCAAAAACAATTCGGACGTCTGCAGCCGGACGGCTCGCACGTTATCCCCGCTCGCTACCTCTCTGCGTGGAACTCCATTGCGCCAGCGTGCGAGATCGCGTCGACCTTTATCTATGCCCCGTTGCTGGAGAAATATGGGCGAAAGCCGGGTATCTTGGCTGCGTCGGCGATCTCGGTTGCGGGCGTGCTTCTCCAGCAGTTGGCGACGGATTGGCGGGTTCATCTAGCTGGAAGGGGCGTTAATGGTTTGGCTGACGCTGTACGTGTGGATGTGTCCGGCAATGCTGATACGGTTTAGGAATTGCGATCGGAATCATGTTTACCATCTCGCCGCTGTGGATTGGCGAGACGTGTCGGCCGGAGCTGAGAGGGTTCTTTCTCTGCTTCTTCAACACGAGTATTGTCTTTGGGCAGTTTGCCATGTGAGTGTCTCTTTGGTCAGGCAAGGTACTGGTGCTGATCGCTTTCTCAGCGCCGCGGTGTCTAGGGGAAGCAGCTATCTCGATGGGAAATGGTAAGTCTAGCCGACATTGAGTAACCGAAGACACCCGTTTAACAATCGCACCAGGCAATGGTGGCTCCCAGTAGTCGGCATGTACATCTTCCCCGCAATCCTGACAGCGGGCTGGTTCTTCTTCCCCGAGTCCCCTTACTGGCTCGTCCGCCACGGCAAGACCACCGCCGCCCGCAAAGCCCTAAAGCGCGTCTACGGCTTCCAAAACGACGCCTTTTACAGCGTCGAGGTCCGCCGGATGGAATCCGAAAACGAGCAGGCCATGGCCATCCAGGGCAGTCTCGCGCAAGAGGATACCACCGGACGCCGACGCACGTTCGCGGGGCTCAACCTCGCCGCCGAAGCCGAGTGCTTCAACCGCATGAACCGCAAGCGCACGCTGACGGCCATCTTCGCCGCGAGCGGGCAGCAGATGATCGGCGCGACCTTTGTCATCGGGTACGCGACCTACTTCCTCGACCTGATCGGGGTCAAGGATTACTTTGACGCGTCGATCGTCCTGTACGTGGTGATGCTGCTCGCGAGCATCGCGGCCTTCCCGCTGACGGAGATCATCGGACGCCGCACGATGATCGTCAAGCCGCAGTTTGTTCTCTGCGTCATGCTCCTGCTGATCGGCATCCTGGGATGCGTTCCGGATCAGGGGAAAGCGAGTTGGGCGATTATTGTCTTCATTTATGTGTGGGCGATTATTTACCAGCTGTCCATTGGCGCTGTGGGATTTGTGCTCGCGTCGGAGATTGCGACAGTCAGGCTGCGGAGTACTACGCAGGGGCTGGTCACCATCACCAATGCGGCCTGGGGGCTTGTCATGCAGTTTACCATTCCGTACATGGTACTTGTTCCTCACTCAGCTACCCCGCACTTTGTGAGGCGGCATATTGCTAACACGATATTCTTCTCCAGATCAATCCCGACGCAGGCAATCTCGGCGGCAAGGTCGGGTTCATCTTCCTGGGGACGGGGCTAATCGCAGCCATTGGAGGGTGGTTCCTGTATCCAGAGACCAAGGTATGTGATGGAGATCAGATGGGCTTCGGAGTGGTAAACCAACTGACCTTTCGCGTAGGGCGTCTCCTTTGAGACAATGGACGAGCTGTACGCGAGCGGTGCTTCTCCTCGACATTTTAGGGCAGCGAGTGAGCAGGTACGAGCAAATCTCCAGACCCCCAAGACAGAGGCACCGATCCATTTGGAGGAGGTGGCCGTTTGAGGCGCTGAAGTTGGTGGATGTCTCGATGGCTGCCTTTGCTTGGGTTCTCTTGGGGTCGAGTTTGATTTGACTAGGGTGTGCAGCTGTGAGGCGCTGAAGTTCTGGTTATCGAGGGGTGGCTGTGGCAATATTGAGGGCAGATAAATGATGCAAGGTCCGCACAGGTAGAAATCATTGAAGAAGAACGAATTGCTGGGCATAATTAGGCTGTACGCAGAACAGGCCGGGTTATAGTCGTGCTGGCCGTAGATCAAGTACCTTGCGTAACGTATACTTTTCTGGTCAGTGCAAACGAGATCTTTTCACTGGCTTAGTACGAATATTGGAACTCTATAGTAACGTTTGATATATGGCATAGTGGCCCAGTTTTCCGGTTGTCTCTTTTTTTCCTTCAACTGCGCGATGTTCTATTGCATTTTTAACATTGAGACCCAACTGATGCGCCAGCTCCCGTGGCAGTTTGATGTGATCCATTAGCTGGAGGTTTCTACTAATAAGCTATCAACCTTCCAGTCGGCCAAAAATGTGTTATAACAACCAATCTAGTGATGGATTGTATGATACCTCCAGTGTTGGCACATTTCAGCTCGACATAAGCTGCCTGGACCGTTTTCTAATTGTGAAACAACAGGACACGAGATACCTCAATTTGTTCATTAAAATAAAGCATAAGAGATTGGTTCCCAGGACAAGTCACGACATTGGAGAATCCAGTATGGTCTTCAAGACCTCCGCCTATTACAAAACCACTACAACCGAGGCAACGGTGATAAGCAGAAGAAGACCCATCCCCGCCGTAAGCGACATGTCCCGATGTGCAGAATTCGAGTCCGTAGATTCACCGCTAGAGCCGCCACTCGTAGTGTCACCAGAGTCTAAGCCCGAACTACTCGTGCTCGCAGTCGAGGTCTCGGTAGCCGCCTCCTCGTCAGACGAGTCCGTCGTCGGGGAGGACGCCGCACTCTCCTCCACATCCCCAGCATCGTACGCCGCAGCCGTGAGCGTGTAAACAGCATCCAAAACCGTTACAGTCATGGTCTCTCCCCCGGAGGCGAGGTCAGGGGCCCGGGACCTTCGGTTGTAGTCGGCGCTTTGGTGCCTGGATCAGGGAGATTGGCGGGATCGGGATAGGCGCCGCCGTCGTCGAAGGACTCGATGCCGAATTTCCCCTGGCAGACGGATGAGGTCAGGTCGGGGCAGGTGCCTGTCATCTGTTCGGTGGTTGCGGCCGTGCTGGCGATGGCGGAGAGGCCGTAGTTTGTCAGGTCGTAGCCGGGGCATGTTCCGTAGAATCTGTGGGTCGTTTAGCACGTTCCATTGTCAGCCATGGGTCGATGTCTTCTGGTTGGATAGGGCTCGGGTTGGGATGGATGCAACGGCAAACTTACGCGGACAGGGCAGCGCTCCACGCACAGCACTGGCACGTCTGCAAGGACGAAACCGAGGTCATGTATTGGTTGCAGGTGGATTGCAGCAGATCCAGTGATGAGAGAAGGCCATCGTATATTTTACCAAAGTTACAGACGCAGCCTCCTGGTGCGTTGTCGGGCAGGCGGCCAGAATGGAAGGGGGTCCTCTGGGGGTGGATATTGTCGCGAGAGGAAGTCGACGGCCACGAGCTGGTACTCGCAGGAGTATACCTACAGAAAGGCGCACACTGGTCAGGACTGAAGAGAGGAACAAGAGGAAGAAGCAGTGTGCTAGTGACCAACCTTATTCCAACAGCTCTCGATATAACAGCCAAGGAGAGTAATGTCGTAGGTTAGCATACAGGCTTGCAGCTGAAGATCTCCTTAGGCATCTTGACCACAATCCCCCAGTTAGCTTTCGGCGGTGGTCAGGCATTTGTCCATACCAGACCTGTCCACACAGCCATCGGAGCTGGCGGTGATCGCATCAAAAGCGCCAACAGTCGATATCCAGAGCCCGACAAGGGCGGAAAGGGTTGCAAGACGACAAAACATATTCTTAGAGTCAATTAAACGAGCCTACACGGTAAAGATAAGAGGGAACCTGTTGTTCAGCAGGGGGTCCACGAAGGGCGGCGGCTGCGGCTCAATTTATGGCTGGACCCTTTGACAGCAGCATTCGCGTCGCCTAACTTTACCGCAAAAACAAATCCATCCAGGTCAGGCTGGTTAGCTGAAGCCATCGCACACGTTCCCCTCGACGGGGCTCTCTGCGATTGGGCCGGCAGGCGCTCAAATCTCCGGGAGCCAATCGCTTTTGTGTCCCTGCAGCATCCCCCAAGCCTCTGGGCCGCAGCTTAACCACAACAAGCTTAGCCAAGCTGAGTACATGCAGATAGTTCGCTGCAATGCGATACGATGATTCGCGCGGCATCCGAGGCGTAGCCTACTGTTATCACAACCGGGAAAAGGGAGACTGCCGGCAAGGCAGAATCACATGCAGGAGTTGGGATACCAACTGGGCTCTTTAATCGAATCAAACAGCGCCAGACTGGTTTATTTAGTTCGGTGAAGGTTTGGAGTTCGTGGCTCTAAGCACCACTGCATCTGTTGCGGCGTGTGGACCCTACTATATATAATTGAACTACACACGCGAAATAAGGTACGAGACAAGTACACCATCACAAAAGCTCTTAAAAGATAATATTAACAGTGGCCAGTGGAACCCGTGGAATGTAAAAGGGGTTACTTGTGTGGTATAATATAAATTGGGCGATTGACTGCGAATATCACCAGAGGGGTGGTCAAATGAGATCTGTTTGGCAATCGCTGGCACCATCATACAAAAATGTTTGTCCTCTATAGGACCTCTAAATGCATGTGACATTCTATCGCAGTGATTAGGTCAGGGCCGTTGTAGACTTGTGAGAATTTTCTATGATTTATGCACTTACCGAACCTGCCGTGGTTCGTATAGTATAAGTAGTATAACGCCTTTCTGGTAAAGAGCTGACTGCAGGACGAAAGGAGGCATATTACTAGCACGAATTGATACATTCACAGATCATGAACGGCAGAGGAACGGTAAAGATGGACTGTTCATCTGAACACCGGGGGAATTACTTTATCAAGAAATAAGCATTGGATTCCGTCGGAAGTCCCTTGGAACTCCAGGTGCGGCCAAGCTGCTCCACCGCCCTGTTCAGAATGTAGCAGCTATGGGTAACCGCCAGAAAAATTGACTTTCTTCCTTGGAGCCACTTCTGTTGTGAAACAAAGCCTGCAGTTGGCGAAGCACAGATACTTGGAGTGGATATAAAGGTGACCCGAAAACCATGTTATAGTAGATCCTTTTAGAACACCTTTTGGAGACAGGCTGACAGCCTACGCTAGAGCGTCTCTTACAGCAACTCCAAGACGACTTGAACCCCGGACCTAAGAGCAGATAAAATATCACCTAGCGCCTAGGAATGTTGATAAAGTCATAAATCTCCTCTTTCCACTCGACCGGACCAAATCCTTCCAGCCGCACGAGAAACCTCTGTTGAGCATACGGTGCATGCCTATACTCGGCCTTCTCTTTATCCCGCCAGAAGTGCGGCCAGAGTAGTAGCTGGACTTGTTCCCCACGCAAGGTTTCCGGCTTCGTAGCCCACTGCAAAGCAGGGAGATGGGTCTGGAAATGCTCCTTGAGCGGACCGCCAGGCCCAAAGGCTGGTGGGCTGATGCCAGCGAGTTGCGACACCTGGGACTGCAGGGATTCTGAGACGGGCGCGGGGAAGTAGACCCAGAATATCTCTACGAAGGAGTACTTCAAGCGCTGGAACCAGTGTGTGGAGCCGTAGATTGTTTCATGGGTGGATACAGGGGTTATTTCTTCACGCTGGAGAGTCTCCCAGTAGAGTTGGGCGGAGGGGGAGGCCTCGAACGAGCGGAGTTCGGATGTAGTCCACCACACTGCGGTGGTGGTTAGATTGTATTTAACTGGGAGTAGAAGGATTCTGACATGTTCCAAGGAGGACTACGTTTGGACTGTCAGGGACTCTGGCCCAGACTGTTTCTTTGTGGCCGACAGCGTGAATGTCAGCCGGAAATTTGAGCTGACATTCAACATCAGTCACTAGATTGATGTCATGGCACCTTTTTAGTCGACTGGTAAAGTTGTTAGTGGACTAGCGGCTGGAGAAGGTCGTTCTAGTAGTCCGAATTGAATCCATTCGCCCGATTGGTTTGGAGCTTTGTCCAGACGGCAATTCGAGGATGCTGCAGGTGAGGGCGGTACTCGATTGATTTCGCCATGTCAATATTATTTTCTGCCATGGTGGAGTCGTCGAATTGTTATGGGTCAGGGAATGAAACACCTGAGCAAGCGGCATCTTTTTCCGCCACAGTTCCATGGGTCCAGAGTGGTCACCTGATAGTCGAGTCATTGTGGGGCCACTGCAGACGCCACTCCTGCCTGCATCCAAGGTAGCGTCCTCTTTGACAAGGGCTAGAATGATCTAGGAGCAAGCAGGCTAAAAAAAGCCAGGATCACGTGGTGGTAGCCATACACGGAACAAAGGGGACGAGTAGGTTGTTTGCGATTATCACTGTAGTAATCAAGTAAAGCCAAGAAATATTCCAAACTCCTATAGTCAGATCATGGATAAGACAATTATCTCGAAAGAATATCTAAATGCACGCTTAGCAGTGTAGCAGTGAACAAGAGCTCTATGTACCAAGTATGCCCTTGACAGCATCACCCTTGGCCCCTTAGAGAAACTTTGTTTAACTCCGTACCATGATGGCTTTCCAACACTATGAGTGTAATCCTCTACTAACAACACCACACTCCCTACAGTTGCCCGCCCTCTGAATCAAACCCCTAACACATTCCTCCACCCATACATCTCACTTCCCAATCCATCAAGCGCCGTCTTACTCCTAGACGGACACACCATCCCCCTCCTTGACCTCAAGATGCTCACCAACGCCAACACCCCCCTTATCCTGCGCGCCGATCATGCCCGCCTCCTTGGCGCGTCTCTCCATAAAGGTGACACGGGGCTTCCACCCCACACTCTCCCTCGCACTCCCGACCTCATTGTACAGCTCATCGACCTCCTCGAGCGTGAGGCCCTTGGTCTCGTAGATCATAAAGTACACGAACCCAATGCAGATGAAGCAGCACCCGAACCAGATGAAGAAGATCTTGGACTGCAGGTTTGCGTTGCCGTCGCCGTAGTTGACCAGGTACGGGGTCGAGAAGCTGAGCGCCCAGTTCAGCAGCCAGTTTGTGGCGGTGGTCATGGAGAGGGACTTGGCGCGGGTCTTGAGCGGGAAGATTTCGCCAGTTACCACCCTGGAGAATTATGATTGTTAGCAAGGAGGCGCTTGGAAAGGGAAGATGGAGGAGAGATGCTTACCAGGCAATAGGTCCCCACGAGGCGGCGAAGAAGAAGATGTAGATGCAGATAAAGGCAATAGCCGCCTTTTGCGCCGCGTCGTTGTGCACGATGACATTGCCCTCGGCGTCCTGGCCGGTGGTCGTGGTTCCCACGACAGCAACGATGAGCTGGGAGACAGCCATGCCGATAGCACCGAGAAGCAAGACCGGGCGACGACCCCACTTGTCAATCGCGTACAGGCCCGGGATGGTCGAGCCGACATTGACGCAGTTGGTGATGAGCGTGATGACAAACTCGTTCTTGAAGCCCGAGTTCTTGAAGAATTGCGTCCCGTAGTAGAAGATGAAGTTGATGCCCGTCAGCTGCTGCAGCCCCTGCAGCGCACAGCCCGTGATCAATCGCTTAAGCAGGTTCCCGCGGAAACAGTCGAGATACCCGGACTGCCCGAGGCTCATCTCGTACTGGTGGTTGGCCTGGATCTCGGCGAGTTCCTGGCGGACAGCCTCGTGGTCCTCGGGGAGACGACGGAGCTTGGAGAGACTGCGCGCGGCGGCTTGCGTGTTGTCGCGCTTGACGAGGTAGCGCGGGGTTTCGGGGAGGATGAGCATGCCGCCGACGAGGATGATGGACCAGGCGAATTGCACGGCGATGGGGATGCGGTAGGATCCCGAGTCGTCGCGCTTGTGGGTTGCGTTGTTGACGACGGAGGCGAGGAGGAGGCCGACAGTGATGGCGAATTGGTACGAGCCGACGATGAAGCCGCGGATCCATTTGGGGGCTGTTTCGGATTGGTAGAGGGGAACTGCACATGTTAGCATCTGCCCCGCTCGAATCGACATAAGAAGTAACCTACCCAGCGCAGAAATCAAGCCAACACCCAACCCAGCAAAGAAACGACCGGCAAGAAACGGAGGGATCGAGGTTGCGATGGTCTGGAGGACGACTCCAAGGACAAAGACTCCGTTCGAGGCAATCAGACCCCAGCGGCGCCCGATGATGTCGCCCATGGGGGCGGCACCGAGCGCACCGAAGAAAGTGCCCGCGGAGAGGATCGAGACGATGGCCGAGGACTGGCTGGAGGTGACGTTGAGCTGGCCGGTGCTGTCGCGGTAGCCGGTTGAGAAGGTCTCGGCCCAGTGGCGCATGGCGAGGATGCCGCTGATGGTGCCAGTGTCATAGCTAAAAGTTGACGTGAGATTGGAGACGTGGAGAGGGGGCAGCGTAGCGGTACTCACCCGAACAGAATGCCACCAAAAGCAACAAACCCAGAGATGACAATGGCGGGCCATGCCTTGCCCTCGGTGCCCGCCGGCTTCTCAAACAAAAGACCCATTGTATGTACGATTCGCAGCGTGGCAGATTCGGATGCGTTGGTGGATTTCTGGAATCTGTGCCCTGATGCTGTTCGATGGGATGGACATCAGGGCCCTTTATGTAGTTCGCGGGACAACTGCGGAGAGAGGTGTCTTCCCCGTGTATTCACCCATTCATTTCGGTTTCTGCGCCCGATTCCGACCCGATGTCGCCATTGGCCTGCTAATCCCCGGTCGTGCAGTGGGCCGGGTCGAGTCTAGCGGAGAGGTGGGGATTCCTCCGCGATGGTGTGTCTCTCTCCGACCGGGGCTCCTCGTCGGGCGCAGACACATGTACAGACCAATCATAGCGTGAGGATAAATTGTTCGACGCGGGCAAAGTGCGTACCCCCTGGGCACCAACAGGTCCGGGGAATCCCCCAAGGGGATGGATTGGCTCTGAATGCAACACTAGGAACGCTTAACCGAGTCGTCGTTATCATGTCTATAATATCTATCTCTAATTACATCGATATAGGTGTATCCTCTCCTTTAGTATCGCGCCCATCTCATCTAACGACGGGCTGACCTCCGCGACGCCGTCAAAGACTCGAATTGCCAGGTCCAGACCCGTGACGGCCTCTGGCGGGATGATTCCCAACAGACATGGCTCCATCATCCCCGCAAGTGCCGCCATTGATATCGTAAACACACTATAGTTCGGATTTCAGTCAGCCCATCGGGATCCAGCTCGGGATGCTGCCTACGACTCGAAATGTGATTGGACGCTTGGGGTCTTACCTCGTGCAGAGAGTCCAGAGATTCGGCTTGCACACGGCCACGGCGGCCGACGCACTCGGAATAAACGCCGCATAGCTTGTAAAAAAATTCGAGCAGTGGCGAAGGAGCTCCATGTTTGCATGTCCTGCGTTAATCGCCTCGTAGACGGCCGGCCAATATATGGACGCCTTGAAGGCATAGTACTGCGCTCCGAGGAAATCCGCCTGCGCCGAGTTCGAGTTCCAGCGCGGGCTAGACCCGATGATGCCAGGGACAGGGGGCGCAGAGAACAGGAGGTGTTCTGGGAGGAACTGCACCCACTCGTCCAGCTGCCGCTCGAGCTCGGCCGCGACGATGGGCGCGTAGACGTGGCTCCCGTGCGCCAGGGTGCTTGTGGACCACGTACAGCGCTGGAGCATTTTGCGCATTGCAATTTCCGCAACAAAATATGAAAAGTCCCTGGTGGGTATACGGGGCTCGGGTGGTGGAGATGAATTCCGAGACCAGATGGGCGAGCTCGTTGGGGCCGGGGCGACCGAAGTCATGCTCCAAATTCCACTATCGAGTAGGTCCAGCTGCACAGTAATCTCACTATAAGAGGGTCAGTTCCGCGTATCTGCTTGTCTGGAGCTTGGTAGGAGGGCGAACCTTTCCATCAAGAGCGCTGACCAGAAACAGTTGGCTACAATCGACCTCTGCACGGGGTCGCTCTCGACATCCAGCTCACTGGGTGAATCGAGTGTCAGCCCTCGTATCCACCTCGCTCCGATACCCGGACTTACTTTGCAAGACAGTTCTGGACTTTGTACGAGGCCATTGCGACGAAATCATGCGCCTGGCAGGGCCGTGCATAGCACAAATGATATAGAGCGATCAACAGTAGGCACTGCGCACTCGACGGACTACTATCTGCAAGAACGCATGGAAGCATCCCCATAGCCGCGTCGATGTATACCGACTCCGGCCCTCTGTGTCTGGCATCCGCGATGGATTCGCATCCCACAACGCAGCCAATGGCCAAAACAAGCAGAGCAAGGCAGGATGACACAGAGGGGAGGAAACATGCACTTGTCGCTTGGATGAACTCGTCGGTGTAATCTGTTGGCAAGATCGGGTACCAAATGTGAATGTGGTCCATGTATGCGTTCAGAAGCCTATTAAAAGGTGATGCTAATGTCAGTCTCCCTTCAAACAAGACCACAGCCAGTATCCACCTACATTCCTGCGTCCTCCAAATTGACCACCACAATATTCGCCCCGCTCGAATGAGCGGGGATTGCTTCTCGTCCGCGCTCCACATGCTCGAACATCACTGACAGCGATTGCTCAAGCCCAGTCATGTTCATAAAGGCTTGACTCCGGAGGATCATGAATGGAAAGCCGCTCGAGGCGACGGAGGGATCGGATGGGCCAGGTTCGTGTCCCGCGGATTCAGAGGGCGAGTTCAATGAAGGCTGGCCCTGCAACACCGCCGTAATGTGGTCTAGTTGCTCCCAGAGCCTCGAGAGCTCCGTCTTGAGTCTGGATAAGTTAGAGACAGGCCTGTCTTTTGTTGAACGGGTAGAGCACTCACGGAGACGGGGTGAGGTCCTGAGCCTCCTGGTAGACGCATTCCTTGCCTCGTTCAACACAGAACGAGCACTTTGGCCGCCTCCCATCGCATTTCGTCCGCCGTCCCCGACATGTGTTGCAAGCGAGAGCGCTCCGTCGTCTCTTCGTCTCGTGGGCCCAGAGAGAGTCGGAATCCATTGCCTCTGTGAACGGTTCCGTTCTGATTCTGTCAAAGGCGTGCGCCGGCCATGATACGAGCATATTTCGCAAGTTAGAGCCAAGGAGTGTATGTGTGTGTGTGTGTGTTGGTGTTCAGGATTCAGGATTCGCAATACAAATCCGCACTCCCCTTTTACAAGCACCGGCATCGCCTGGTCAGCCGCGGGGGATCCAATGAGAGTCAGCACATGCGTCCCTGACTGCTTTGCCCCGTGGCGCCATCCTTCTAGAACACACCAAGAACATCTTTATCTCACACACTGCGGGGAAGGTCAGCGGGGGGAGGAAGAATAGCCGACGAATGGGCAGGCCGGACTTGCCCAATGACGGCTTCGGGCACAGCTAGACTTTGACTTGTTTCGCTGCGTGGAGCATCTGCAGCCAGTGAGAGAGCAGCCTCTAGGGATCGTCGTGTGATAGGGACGAGTGAGGGGAGTGTGACGTGACAGTCGGCGCTCGGGCTCAACCTCCCTCACTCGGTTACAGCAAGGACCCGCCCGAGGATGTCCCGGTGAGTGGTCAGGCAGCGTACCCCTCCTTCTAGTCCGGAGAGGAGGAGTCCGAGGCGGGTCGCCGGCCGCCGGTTGTTCTTTCCCAGAACCTGTCGGGACCCCGGTCAGCGTCTCTGACTTTGCGGGATCGGGCCCGAGGGCGAGAATTTCCCTCCACCGGGGCCCCGGGTGTCTGTTGAATGGATTGAAAAAATGTCTCTCCTCGCAGATTACGCCTGCGAACACGGTATGACCCTTTATTTCTATATACAGGATGTCGTGATTATCTACTAAGCAAACGGGACTATCCGCGTGGAAATAGCGCACTCTCGTCACGGAATATGTACCGCGCTGATTTGAGGCTTTGGATAATCATCCCCTCCGTCCAACTGGATTCCATGCTCCTCGTTGAATGTCGGGTGATCTCTCAAGGCTAGAAGCGCGACAATGAGAAGATGAACAGGAAAAACGGACAATCGAGGATCACAAACCTAGTGTATGTACAGTGTTCATCCCATTTCTCGCCAGCCACCTGACACTGAGCTTGTCAAGCGCAGTCTTGAAGTCGTCTAGGATAATCGTGTCGCAGAGGCACTTGAACATGAAGCAAAGCTGAAGACACAGGGACCAGTCAGCTCCATAAAAAGAGTGGTTTCGGGATAGGAGTTCACCTTCCAAAAGGGATTGATACCCAGTGGCATGGCCTCTCTGAGCGCCCCCGTCACACTAATCACATCGAGAGCGATGAATACGATGGACAGACACATTGAGCCGAGCATGAGCCCGAAGCGGGGACACTCGCGCACCAGCTCGATGAGGCCAAAGTTGTAGTGGGTCTTGACGACCCAGAAGAGATTGCATGTTGTATAGATCCACCACGGATCGCTGAATCAACCATTGGTCAGCCAACGCCGCTACAAGATAAGACGATCGGCCCGGGTGACAGTGCCTACCGGAATAATGCTTCCCACGGGCGAATCTTCTGGTAGACGGTGGGATTGATGTTGTTAAAGTAGGCAAAGTTGGCATAGATCTCGGTCGCCCAGTACGGCTGTGCCAGGATAATTGTGCCGATATAGAAGAGAGAAAGCTTGCGACCCATGAAGGGCCGATTCTTCATCCACGCAATGACATTGTGCAGCGACCACGAGATGATCAGTCCGATCGCGCTCGAGGCCAGGTACCATCCGTATACGGGGTCTGGAGTAAATATAAATGTTCCGTGGGCTAAGGCTAGGATCAACTATGCGAGGGTGCTCCAAGTTAGTGGTGTCCACGCAGCAATTGTGGCAGGACTACCTCGAGTAAAATCAGTTTATGCAGCAGGACACCGGGACGCATGTTTGCAAAGGTCACTGCAGCCATGATGACGAGTGAGCCAGTCATCAGGCCCTGCGACCATGCTTCTAAGATTAGAGCAGCGGGGTCCTCGGGGCGCTGAACGGTCCTCTTTGCATGGCGATACTGCTCCACCAAACGCGCAGGCGAAACGAAACTCTGCAAGCCCGGCATGGTGAGTCGCAATCACATTGTCGAGAGCAGTGTCAATTTTTGCGGAGAATCAGAAAAGCAAGAAGACGAGCCCGCATTTTCCGCGGTTTGGCGGGGATTTATGTAACAGATCCCCGCTTAACCCAGAGGGGAAAGAGGAGGGGGGGTCAAACTCTCTCCGCAAGACCGAGTGTGGAGAAGCTGGAGAAACTTCGAGAAGGAATCGGCTATGACAATAGACTTTTGGCCTATGGGGGCTGGAGGTAAATGATAGGCCAGGAGAGACTCGATCGAGGGTCTCGCGGAGCGGAGGAGCTGCTCCGCGATGCTGTGGCGGATTCTGATGCCTCTGGTTGGACACTTTCGCCACTGTCGCCCATCAGCCAATGACTTTGCAGCTGAGGGTCTGATCACCTCATCAATAATTCTACTCGGAGAAAACTCGGAGAAACTACACACTCCAGAGGCACGCGACGCTTCCTGAAACCGGGAGTCACCTCCATCCTTCCAGCCAGTGGGTGGCTTGACCCTGGTGGCTCAATGAGTCCATCATAAGATCGCATCCCCAGATCATCTCCACACAAATGGGTTGTACCCATTCCGCATTCCCAAGACAATGCTCCCATCTAGAACAGCATCGGCCTGCGACCACTGTCGCCTCCGCAGACGACGGTGCGACCGTGCCAGACCAAAATGCTCGTTCTGTGTGTCTCAGGGTGCCGACTGCATCTATGGGCAGGCTACCAACCCTCAGCCCTCGCAGTAGGTGTCTAATATCGTGCAAGAAGAACTTGGTGGCTGAGTGCCTGTTGCAGGTTGGTCCAGGAGCTCATGAGCATACGAGAAAGACTCGAATTCATCACCCCACTGCTGGGGTCCCGATCGCAGCCGTCCTCACAGGGTGACAAGACGCCTCCTGTGGTTGCCTTGCAGGATTGTCCTCCACTCGCCCTGAAATCGCCTTATTCCATGCAGGTCCTCGGCCTGCCGTCAAATCTAGCAGCTATTCTCTATCGCTTGGAGACTAGCACTTCGCGGTTGCCGGTGTCTCCGGCCAACTCGGGCTGGATCGAGGACCCTGATCCGGAGCTGTAGGTTTCGCACAGTGAGCCATTCAAACCGGAGACTCGGCTTACACAGGTGACAGTGTTCTCCGTTGTTTCCAAGAGTGCATCCAGCCATGGTACCCCATTCTACAATATGATTTCGCACTCGACTTCTCTCCTTACTCTACAGTATCGTGTCTCTCGCATCTCGTCGCCGCGATTTCCAGTCTCGTCGAGGATCGCCCCCATGCGTCACATTACGAGATCGCCCTCTCCACAATGGCCAAAGTGTTCCACGAATGCAGTGTGACCAGTGCCCAGTGTTTGGTTTTGTTCAGTATATACCACGCCTGCCTCCTGCAGCCCAGGCAGTCATTTGAATATGCTCAAGTTGCCAGTCTGAAACTGCAGCCGTTCCTAAAAGGGTACGTTTTACAGCCTCCTCCACTACCCTGTGATCAGTAGTCTAACCGTCTTGATGAGAGTAGTCCGTATTTTCCCGAGGGGTCGCCGGAGTCGCACCTCGTCTCGAGGTTGGAATGCACGATCTACCTAATAATGAGGTCCGTTCATCCCTACTCTACAACCCGTCCTGGCCTAACAGATACCCAGTGAGATATCGATGCATCTGAATCTTTCCTGCTCGGGAAAAAAGATACGCAGCCGGTCAGCCACGGCCCCAACAACAAGAGGCATGGATACTAGGAATTACCCCGTGGACTGGGATACTACCTCAAATTCGACCATGTCCAGCATCTTCCCCCACAGCGAAGCTCATTCCCCGGATGCGGCGCTGTCGGAGCCATCCAGCCTTGGGGTAGAGGTAAATCTGCAGCAGGCTCTGGACACGTACGCTACTTCCGCAACTGACATGTCGACGACATCCAAGGATGCCTTTTCCTATGCGGACAATGCTCCGATCGTAAACGGTGGCTTGCGGGATATGTCCGCGCTGGGTCTTACTCTGCAATTCCCGGCTCTGGCCGAGAGTATGCACGGTGCAATCCATCGGGTCAAGTACCACATGTATGAAGTAACAACCTACTGGCCGGCGCTCTATCGCATCATTTTGAATGGGTCGGCAGACCCGGAGCTTCTGCCCTACGCGCCTCTCTTCTTCGAGTCGGTATCCAGCTTCCTATGCGCAGGTACGGTTGCCCTCGCGTTATGTCGGCCCAAGGCCTGGTTTCTATGTGCAAGGTCTGTGCCCACATTCCTGTTCCCCGAGACTGAACCGTCCGCTCACATGGCGCCCCCAGTATATACACAGTATTGATTGCCACCCTCGGAGCGTTGGAGGTCCCGACCCTCAGATTACTCGCGCAGTCGCCGCTTTGGGAGCAGCTCGAGGGATCGGTGGACGCGTTGCAGGGACCCGGTGAGTTTAGTACATCGGTGCAGTATATGCACCGGTCGATAAGGGATCGTTTAGACATAGTCAGGGGTCAGAAAACTAGTTAGCAGTTTACCACGCAACTCAAGGACATGTCTATTTCACTTTCTCCTATTGTATCCGTTTTATTCTGCCTTGTCGACTGTTTGAAGAGGCTCGGAGGCTCGGGCCGATTTCGTTCGGGGACTTTTGTGTACCTGACACGTAACTGCCAATGATCATGGTCAGCCCTTTTGTATGCAAGCAATATAGGCCTGCAAGGGTCATACGAGCAAATTGGCGTCTTTCTACCTGTGGAGGACGTACACTACGTTTAGTAATCAGAAGAATCGTCATTTGAAATCTTTTCCGAAGCAGTCTCAATTATTGATAGTTCTCTGCTACGCATTCCACTCAAACACAGCTCCGGTCCTAAACTAACCGACCCCACCAGTTCTCTCTCGCCTGCAAAGCCACTGCTACTCTACCGCCACGCCGAGCGCACCTCCTTTACGCCCACCTTGACGTTGCCAGTTTCTCCGCCAGTAGAAAAGAGTCGACTATACACCGCGTCCTTGGACGGGAAAATCTGGCTCGTGATCGTTGCCTCCCCATCACCCCCAAAGACCTCAACACTGGACCAGTCAAGCATAATCCGCAAAGAGACACGCCCATCAGCGCCCAAGGATAGCGGCGCATAGTACCTGCTCGCAAACGTGCCATCAAAGCCGACTTCGCCCGAGCGAGATCGATCAACAAAGACCTGCCCCGCGGCAAAGTCGTATCCAACGCGGGTTTCCTGGCTATAATCCTTCGTGGCAGCGAGGGCAATTCCAAACTCGCCCTCCGTAGCCTTTCTCGAGAAGGAAAGCTCAATCTCCAGCGCCTTGCCCAGCCGGCCAAGCTCGCGCTCACCGTCCAGCCGACGGAAGGTAAATGTCCGCCCACCCTGTGTCTTCAGACGTGCCGCGGGCTCGCTCACAATCGTCGCCTTTCCGTCGATCGTCTTGAGCTCAAGGTGTCGCGGGGCCGACATCGCACTGCGCCACGGATCCGTCGGAATGACGCCGCCGTACTGCCAGTTGTTCATCCACGCGATGACCGTGCGCTTGTCTTGGGGGAGACCGTTGAATCCGAGGGCCGCGTAGAAATCCGGGCCGTGGTCGAGCCAGTTCGCGACCTGGGAGTCCTGATCCTCCGGGGTATAGATGCTCTCCGGATCCGCGGTGAAGGTGGTTCCGTTGAAGTTGCCGACGATGTACTGCGATCCGGAGCCGACTGTCCCTGGAGGCCCACCGGGGTTCAAACCGAGCATGAGGATCCATTTGAGGTCGTCGCCTCCGTCAAGCGAGAGTGGGAAGATGCTGGGACATTCCCAGACGCCGCCGACGGCATTCACTGGTCCGAACTCGCTCGCCAGCTTCCAGTCCTTTAGGTTGTTCGATGTGTAGATGAGGATCTTGTGGAGTTTTGCCAGACTGACTACTGCAATCCACTGGCGGGTCTCGTCGTGCCAGAAGACGTTGGGGTCACGGAACTCCAGGACTTGGTCTTGGTAGGGGGCTGGTGGTTCGGCGATGATGGGGTTTGCTGCGTCGTACGTTGTCCAGGTCATGCCTTGATCGAGACTATACGCGATGGACTGCGCCTGCTGGTCTTTGCGGACGTGTTTGCCACTGGGCAGCGTCTGTTCTAAGGGATACTGTGAAAAAAAAAAAAAAAAACCATTAGCCAAAGCCACCCCGCGAGCACAAGGACAATGCACATACATAAGACGTATACATCGCAACCCAGGGCACCTTTCCCTTTTTCCCAAACCCACTCGTATTCCGCTCATCAACAACAATAGAACCAGAGAAATACATCTCCGTAATATTATCCGGGAACCCGCGCGCCTGCAGCGCAACCGGGTGCTCCGTCCACTGCGTGAGATCCCTGCTCGTCGCGTGGCCCCACGACATGGCGCCCCACGTGGTCCCGCCGGGGTTGTACTGGTAGTACAGGTGGTAGACGCCGTCATGGTATATGAGGCCATTGGGGTCGTTCATCCAGTTTTTCGCCGGGCTGAAGTGGTACTGCGGGCGGTACAGCTCCGTGTAGGCCTTGTGGCCCGGCGGCGCGGCGCTGGCCACCTGCGGGGAGGCGAGCATTCCGTAGAGGAGGGCTGTGGCCCGGAGGGGGGTGCTGAGCTTCATCAGCGCGGGTCGTTCGCTGTGCTTGCTGGGGATGGAATGGGAAATGGAGAGGAAAGTTGAGCGTGGGTATACCTTGTTTGTGACGTGGGTTGGTGTCCCACCTTTTATAGTCTGCAGCACGAAGTAACCTGAGGTCCGTCTGGATACAGCCCGGGAATCGTCAGACAAGTGGAGGAAGATGGCACGGAGAATTTGCCCAGTCGAGTGTCGGATCGCGGAGCAAGGCGCTGAAGGCCTAAATAACTTCTCCACAGAATTAATCTATGAGCCTTTCTAGAAGGATGGAGACCCCGCAGCGGGCGGCAGAGACACAAAAATCGCGCACGGGGTCCGGAGTACGTCCTGCAAGGGCAGTTCAAGTTGTGGAGTCGGCGGAACTGCAGGAAATGAACCGCGAGGAAATCAGACGTTTCTCACCTTGAGGGGTTGATTGATCTCGCGGAATCCGCCAGCCTCTCCGCGAGGTGGAGTGCAGGCTCGCTTGGGGCGGGGCCGTGTCTGGGGTTACCCCAACGGTATCCCGAAATGATATACATACATAGGAATTGCTTCAACCCCGTGGGAAGGCCGGTTACTGTGCGGATGGATGTTGGATGGCGATCTCTATTTCCCTGAAGAATGAGACGCGTAGCCTATACTGCCGATCAGTCGCGGACGTCCGCGCAGACTGGGAATACCTCCGGGAGGGTAGAATGCGATCAGGTACATAAAGGCCTTGTAGTTGTAGTAGAGGAGTGTGTAGAACAGCACAGTCAATCTGAATCTATCACAGCACAGCTCTACAATCCATCGTTCCTCATGCTTCTCCCCGTCCTGGCTCTCCTGGCCGTTCCGGCCTTGGCCGACGACTACCGGCCAGTCTACCACTTCGTCCCCGAGCAAAACTGGATGAACGAGCCCAATGGCCTCATCAAAATCGACTCCACCTGGCACCTCTTCTACCAGCACAACCCCACCGCCAACATCTGGGGGAACCTTAATTGGGGCCACGCCACCAGCAACGACCTCGTCCACTGGACGCACCAGCCCCTCGCAATCACCGCGGAGAACGGCGTCGAAGCGTTCACGGGCACGGCCTACTATGATTCCGAGAATACATCTGGTCTCGGTACCGCGGGGAGCCCACCCTATCTCGCTTACTTTACGGGCTATTTCCCGTCCAATGGCACCCAGGACCAGCGGCTCGCCTATAGCGTGGATGCCGGCGACACCTGGACCAAGTACCCGGGAAACCCAATCATCTCCGCGGCGCAAGAGTCTCCGCACGACGAGACTGGGGGGCTGGAGACGCGTGATCCCAAGGTGTTCTTCCACGAGCCCTCTGGCAACTGGGTCATGGTCCTCGCGCACGGCGGGCAGGACAAGCTGACTTTCTGGACCTCGCCTGATGGCTTGAAGTGGAAGTGGGTGAGCGGTCTCACCGCAGACCAGGTCGCTGGTCTCCCATCGGGTGTTACGGGGTGGGAAGTGCCAGATATGTTCCAGCTGCCTATTGAGGGCACAGACGAGACAACCTGGGTGCTGATTGTTACGCCGGCCCAGGGGTCTCCGGCCGGTGGCAACGGTGTGTTTGCCTTGACGGGCTCTTTTGACGGGACGTCGTTCCAGCCTGATGATGTGGACACGTCCACGCTGTGGCTCGATCACGGCCGGGACTTTGACGGCGCCTTGAGCTGGGAGAACGTCGAGGCCTCCGACGGTCGACGCATCCTCGCTGCCATTGCCAACAGCTACGGCGCCAGCCCGCCGACCAACACGTGGAAGGGGATGCTTTCGTTCCCCCGGACTCTTGCACTCCACCAGAGCGGATCCAGGAAATACTTTGTCCAGCAGCCCGTCAGCGAATTGGGCACAGTCAGCTCTTCGCTGGCCACGATCCAGAACCAGACCATTACCCCGGGTCAGGTCCTCCTCTCGTCAGTGCATGGAACGGCGCTGGATATGCAGCTTACCTTCACGCCCAACACGGACTCCGTGCTAGAACTCGCGGTGCGCAAGGCCGGCTCGCAGGAAACCATTATTCGGTACGACAGCTCCAACGAGACCCTCGCCGTGGACCGGACAGCCAGTGGAGACACATCGTATGACCCGGCCGCAGGAGGTGTCCACACCGCGCCGCTTGTTCCAGATGCCTCGGGGGTGGTCCGGATCCGGGTTCTCGTCGATACTTGCTCGGTCGAGGTTTTTGGTGGGGACGGCGAGGTGGTCATCTCGGACTTGATCTTTCCGGACGAGGCGGCGGATGGCCTGGCACTGCAGGTCATCGGGGGGTCAGCGGCGTTGCGCTCTGTGCAGGTGAACGGGATCGCGCTGGACTAGCTGGGTGGGCGTGTTGTCATTGTTGGAACTCGTCCACTTGTCCTATCCGCTAGCACCGCGTGATACTGGCTTCATATAGCCTGATTGTTCCTTGATTGGTTCCTCGTTCCTATACGCATGCATCCATGTATCATGCTATGCTTTCTCCTTGTTTTCGCTCAATCTCCTGTCAATTATCGTCGGCCTGCAGGTGGGCCGGGGTTTGTCCTATTCCTCCTCTATTTTGTTTCCAGGCGATTATTGGAACTGTGGTATGAAGCTGTTCTTTCAGAGAATACCATCCATAGATTGCCTCGCATGTTTCCAGTAGCACATATATATATGCCGTTTATGAATATGCATTAGCACGCCGCTGTTCATGTGGTCAGCTCACTGATGGCGCAAAACCCACTAGCGATGCCTGTCTAGATTATACACCTATCCTTGAGCTTTAAAATAAGATTTAACCTCCTAGAAAGCCTATTACCTAATTTTATAATATCCATGGCAGGCATCCCTCTACGCGCTTTAGTAGCCTAGCTAACCTTAATAACATCTATAAGTACTAGTAGTATTAGGATTAAGCTAAAGATAGCTAGAGGAGTATTTTTAGGATTATTAAGGATTATATAGATATTAAGAGCTATATTACCTATAGTACCTAGGAGCGAGATAATTGTCACAGCGGATGTGGCAGATCGCCTGATTACGCGAATTAGGACCTGGCTGAGCAAGCTCAGCAGTGATAGCCTTTTTGGTTGTAGCTTCGTGCCTTGCCTAATTCGGACGTCTGTTACACTCTCCTATTTTATACTTATAGTACTTATTATCAATATATAACCATAGGTTTACGGCCTAATTAATTATTCCTATAAAATTATAGCCTCCCTAGTGAATGCGCCTGGTCCGTTTTATTATTAGGGATATATATGCCACCTATTGAGTGTCTGAGCATTATTAGCGGAAGATCCGTTGTTACACACCGAGCCTGTGGGTACGTACCATTATACACCATGATATCCGAGTTCGGGGCCCCAGCTCCATGGTGAGTCACCCTCTACCGGAGATTCCGTCCGGCAACTGACGTCAGAAAGGCCAATGGGATGCTGGTAACCAGTATGCAATGGAAGGTTGCCTGACAGGAAATGTCTGTAAAGTCATGGTGGGCCATCTCATTGTTTCCAAAGCTACCAGTGCGTGTGACTGACATGCTAGCTATACATAGTTAATCTTACTGAGACAACCTACGCTCTGTCTATGAGTAAGCTGCCCTACCTAACTATCACTTCCCTTTCCCACGCTTAATTATACTTGCGGGGCCGCTTATCCGCATGCAAGATTAATATTTCTGCTAACGCGAGGCGTAGTTACAAAAGCGGGAGTTTATACAAATAAAATCTATGTGGGGGAGTCTAGCTATGGGTGGTCGTTCCTAATGAGCGAGGAAGGATACACGGGGCCTGACTGCTTCTTCAAAGGGGACCGGCTCAACTCTCCAGCAGCCAAGGGCGTCTATACAGACACCGGTGGCTACATCTCCAACGCCGAGATTGACAATGATTGACCAGACAATTGCCTTAATACTCGGCTGGCTAATAGCGCTTGATAACAGCAAATGTTTGGTTGACCTTCCCAGGGAGGCCATATAAGAGGATAAGATGCTCCCATCCACGCGAATCTTTAGGGCTAATATAGCAGTAATCTTAAGGCTGCACTAGATCATCACATATAACGCCACGTCTAGCCACAAAACAAAGGACAAGACTATCTTAGAAGCTATTAATAATAATCTAAGCAAGTGTTGGCTAAACTATCCTAAGTAATTTAGTAATGCCTTGCTCCCCGGCGCATGTAAGCCACATGTTTAAAGATATTATTTATTTTGCAGCAAGCATGCCTTATACTAATGCGTTACTTTACTAACATTAGACTTACCAGCGACTTTAGAAGATGGTGTTTCACAAAGTTACTAATGGTTTCTAAAACAACAGCATAAATCCTTAACAATTTCTCTAATTACCCTGGACTAGACGCGTCTATTGCTTACAGGTGTAATGATTTGGTCTGTGCCCACACCTTCCAAGCTTTGGTCATCCTTCTCCTTGGATATGGACCTTGTGCACACCTATCCAACATCACGGTCCAGAAACTGGATCTTCTACCACTATGGGGGTTTTGCATGCATCATCAGATCGCCGCACATCGGCGCAAAAGTATCTGCAACTGCTTCATATTCTTTCAGGAGCTCTCGGCTTCAAATTCAATAACAATTTCCAAATTTTCCAAGCTCGACATACGCAAACAGACAGGAGCTACTTTGTCCGCTCCGGAACAATTCCCAACGACTGCGATGACTCCTTGTCTTGGAATCCACGAGATTAGCCTTGGCCACTTTCGATTCCCGATCCAGAAAGGACTTGAGATTCCAGCCACGGCAAAGATCCTGAGGAGACATGTTCGGAGCCTCATGGACTGAAGACTTCTGACGCCTGCTGCTCTCTCCCTCTCTTTCACACAAACTAAAGTAATAGAGGGGACTTGTCTTAGTTTCCTTGGCTTTTCCATCGTGTATATAGAGGCTCATTACTTCGCTCTTTATCAATTAGCTCCCTTATAATATCTTATAGGGAGGTGTATAATAGGATAAGACGCTGGATTAGTGGTATAACACTGCCGCACACGCAGAAAGAAAAACGTTATTTTATGCATTAAAGATTTCTATAGTAGCGGTAGAGGGCTATTAGGTTTATCAAGATAGAAGCTGGTGAAGACGTTGGTCCCGAATCCAGATATTCTCTATTATAGCCAAAGCTATACCTATGATTTAAGGGGAGAGAAATGCATCCAGCAAGCTGTTCATACTGAAACCCGCGAAACAGCCACTTTGTTTCAAGGCACTGGCCGCCTTCTCGTAAATCGAACAATCAAATCAGGAGCTGGCTTTGCATAGACCGATTCTACCGGCACATATGACTGTTCTGGGTTGTCCAGCGAAACCTCATACTGATGCACACACCCAGCGGTCAAGCAGGCCAACACCAACCGTGAGATGGACCGGCCAGGACAGGCGCGCGGGCCGTGAGAGAACGTCATGTTGGCACAAGGATACTGTCGGCTGTTGATCGGCCTCTCCGACAGCAACCACCGATCGGGATTAAAAAGCGCCGCGACCTCGCCCCAAACTCGGGGGTTCGAATTCGCAGCTAGAGGCGGGCATAGTAGTAGCGTCCCCTTTGGGATGGGCGTATCTAAGATCATGGTATCACGCGTTGCTTCGTGTTCAGTTAGGATGACAGTTGGATGGAGGCGGAGAACTTCGTCGATGACGGCGCGCAGATACGGCAGGGCTTTGAGCTGGTGGAATACTGATGATGATGATGTGGACGACAAGAGTGATGACCAGTGCGATTCGACTTCTTCGCGCAGGCGTGTCTGCACCTCTGGGTGTCTGCAGAGCTCAAGGATCATCCACTGGAAACTCGCCGACGTAGTCTCCGAGGCACCGACCAGGAATATGAGAATGTGGCCGATAAGTACTTCGTTATATTCATCTCTGGATTTACATGCAACATCATCATGCTCATTGTCGCCATCTTCGCCATCGTCCAGCAAGACGGAGATAATATTATGCGGATACGGACGACCAGAGTTACCCACGTCCTCTGTGAGGCCCTCCTTTTGCATATTGCTTGCGAACTGCTTTTCTTTCTCGATCCTTGCCAGATCCAACGCGACATCGCGTATGTACCGTAGATCCGCCAGCTCTCGCCTCCCGAATAGCGTCAGCATTAGCAACGAGCGAATGGACCGCGGGAAGATAGCAAGTACCATCTTCTGGATATGTCCAGTGGCCACGCGTCGCTCTAAGGTGTCTCGAAGCTTAGAATACCGGGCTAACCATCCAGGATCCTGTCCAAAGACACCGATGCCTGAGAGCTCGAGGACGGAGACCGATGACCACTGAGATATGTTTACCGCCGCTGCTTCATGCCCCTGTGGATCATAAAGTCTATCTAGCAGTCGCTGACAAGAGTCCCAGAGGGGGTTGCCTATCTTGGATAACGTCGCCGGACTGAATACAGGCGCGAAGAGCTTTCGGAGGCGCTGCAGCATATACCCATGAGCGAAAGAGCGAGGTTCCACAAGACATCAGTAAACACCAACCTTGTGCTCATGACCCCTCATTCCCATCAACCCCGCATACCCCAGTCCCGCCTCGGCGAGGAGCTTCATATTCGCCGAATGCGCAAAGTCGTCCGCGCGGGTGAAGACCAGCTCGGCGATGGCCTCGGGCCCGAGAACAAGGACCATTTCCGCGCTGAGAAAGCTGTAGTAGCGGATGATCTGGGCGTCGCGGAATTCATGGCAGAGCCGCGGCAGCTCCTGGCTGACTAGTTTCACAGGGCGCGAGTGGTTGCCCAGGAGGGGGGTTCGGTGCTGGAATATATTCGGTCAGCGCACGGCTCTAAGGCAGAGTTGTTGCAGTTGGATGAAGGAGGGGCGTGCTTCTGGCGTAGGTAGAGCCCGAAAGGGCGTCGTGTAGACTGGGTAGATGTAGCATTGGTACAGGAGAGCGATTGCCGCGGTGAGTAACAGGCTTAGTAGATACCACCACTTGTCATCTAATATTTTCAGCAGATAGATTAGGCTTATCCATGGGACGGTGCTGAGGAGCAAAGTTTGGTATATTGAGTGAACCATTGTTGTGGATATTGAGAGGAGAGAAATAGAGCTCAGACGGGCAAGGCGGATTGGAAATCTGGGAAGCGTTTTTTTTTTCTTCGCTTACAGTAGCCCTTGTAACACATTGCTCATGCAGCTCTGCAGGATCAATGCTGTGCTGACTGCAGATCAAATCAACATTTTTGGGTTTATGGCTGGTGACGATCTCATGTCGTGCAATAGTGACATGTCATCAATTGGATTCCTTTTCTTTTGTTCTTTCTTCCTTGCTTTCTTTTTCTTCGCCCTCGGCGTGTTTCTCCACAAGCTACAGAGTATTTAATGCGAAAACATTACCTGGTAAAGAATCCGTCTCTTTCATATCAAAGACTAAAAAGCCACAAGGGAAATCTCAGCCTCGTAAATGGCCCCTCCTCCTCATCTCTCCCCTCCGACCATCCAAATCGGTCTCGCATCCGCTCTGATCCACCTCATCCTCGGCACCACGACAGCCTTCACCCCGGCAAAGTCGCACCTACGACAGCCAGCATTTGCTGCGATCCTGGCCCTCGCCCTCTCCATCCAAGTCACTGCGCAGAATGATAGTCTTGCCACCAGAAGCAGCATCCCCACCCCGCTCCGCGGGATGCTTGCAGCGGACGCCTGGATCCAGGTATTCAACAGCTTCGATATGCTATTCCGCTCGCGCATTAGCTACGAGGAGCATATACGATGGAAGGAGAGGAAGATACGGGAACGAGCCATTCAACTGCGTTCGACAGAGGTTGATGATAGTGGTGGTGGCGGTGATAATGCGCTCTGGTTCGCGCTGACGATGCCGAATAACTTCCGGCGCATTAACACGAAATGGCAGATCCGACCATTGTACAGCTTTAGTGGGAATGCCGCTGAGAAGGGCTCAGACGAGGTTCCCTCGCGAGCGGCGTTCATCGCGGGGAGAATGAGGAGCGTCTTGGTCACTTTTGGTCTGGCGACCTGCCTTTCCCGTCTGTGTTCATATCTAGGCTGCATCCCCGGGCAGAGCGCGCTGCGAGCGACGCTGGAAAACCACGGCCGTCTCCTTTCCTTCTTTTCTTCTTCTTCTTCATATGCAACCTGGAATTCGCTCGTCGCTCAGGTCCATCCCACGGTATTTGCCATCGTCGACCTCTTCCTCGTCCACAGGACCGTCTACGCCCTCTCGTCCATTGCAGCGGTCTCTCTGCATCTCTCCTCGCCGTCGGACTGGCCGCCCGTCCAGGCATCCCCGCGTGAGGCATACTCGCTCCGCAGGTTCTGGGGGTAAGTGCATACATTGCCAAGCGCAAGCGCTAGGACTTGCTCTGACTACACCAGCAAGCAAGCAAGAAGCACTGGGCTAGAATTCAAATAGAACGAAATGGTATTAAGTAAAAAGATAATAATCGAATATGCTAACACAATGGTCATCCTACGATGTAGACATTTCTGGCACCAGTCCTTCCGCGCCTTCCTCTGCGGCACCGCCGACGCCCTCATCGCAGCATTCATCACCTCGGTCACACCGTCCAGCGAAAGGCAACAACCTAGAAAGCGGAAGCAAAAGGGAAACACACTTCTCGCTCTATATGCCCGCTATCTCATCGTCTTCCTCGTTTCGGGCCTCATCCACCTCTTCCTCGATCTCGCAGTCGGAATCTCCTTCCGTGCCTCTGGCGCTCTTCCCTTCCTCCTCGTGCAGGTAGTTGGCTTTGGGGTTGAAGACGCAGTCGCGTATTCGGCGAGGCGATTTCAGATGAGCACCAATCGGCAAATCCCAGTGTGGGCAACGCGAGCTGCGGGGTATACCTGGGTCGCGGCGTTTTGCGTCTGGAGCTGGAGGCCGTGGGTGTTTCCGTTGTTACTGAAGGCGCTGGAGGGTGGGGATCCGCTTACGTCGACTTGGTTTGGATACTGGGTGTAACTAGGTAACTAACTTGGTTGGGTAGCAATCATTTCCAGCCCCATTGGACGAAGAGAAGATAGGCAAGAGCGCGATACGCGGTTCCGATTAGGATGACGAATCTGTCCCGAAAAGAAGAAAGGGATTAGCCAGTCAGTGACAAAGCAAGCAAATCGTGCAATGACTCAAGATGTCAGCTTAGTCGCTATATGCGGTTACATACCCAACGTCCATTCCGTCCTCCCCCTCGTATACCCCGTATACCGCGCCGCAGCCTGGATATCGTACAGATAGCCGAGTGGGGATGTATTCGCGTGGTAGAAAGCCTCGGAGAACCAGGTCTGCAATAGAAGACATGAGAAGAAGCTCGGTAGATATACAACCAGGACACATGAAATGGGGTAGGAAGAAAGAAAGCCGAATAAGAGTAGTCGGTGGATAGGAAAATGACGAAGGAAGTCATACCGCAGGCCACGCATACCAGAACCAAGCAAGATGCCACGACCGCACGGTCGCCAGGCGCGGCGCGCACCCGCTCAGCGCAGAGATTATAAGGCACAGGAGCATACAGAGCAGCGGGCCGTCTTCGCGGCGTGTGACGGCAGCGGCCAGGAAGCCGAGGCCGTAGATACCTGCAATATTAGCAAGAAACAAGATATTAGCAGGCGGGTGGGTGTGCCAGGGATAGGATGTGATGAAAAATGGAGCAACCTACAATAAAAATACAAAAAGCTCAGCGCAAGCTGCATGGCGAAGGAGATCATCGGCGCCGCGAGGAGCAGGTAGAATGCGGTGAAGTGCAGCGAGGCCAGCAGCATGCGCGCGGACGTGGAGAGGTTCTTGCCGATAAAGTAGGCTGTCCTCGAATGGCCCGATTGCCATTCGCGATGGAAGGTGGGCTTTTCTTCGCCGGACGGTGTGCAATACTCTGCTTAGTATTGCTCATCGCCGTGGGGTGGGCCTTGAAAAGTTGTTATCCACTGCTATGCGATTGGGATTAAACTTCAAGGTGTAGGGAACATACAGTAGAAGCCGTCCAGACATGAGGGTGTGGAGGACAGCAGGATCGGCTGCCCGCCAGATGGACATGTGGTGTTGGAGGTGATTTCCATCTGAGGTCTTGGATTTTACGTCACCGCATGCGCCGGCCTGCTATTTATCAAGTACTAGATCGCAAAAGTGAGAAATGGGCGGTTTTTGTTTTTAAAACGGAGCGCCACATACCGCAAGGGGGTTGACGATCCCTGTCGGCTTCGTCACAAAAACACAAGAAGAGGGAAAAGCAAATACAATAACCATGATTTTATAAGCTCATTGTCTCATGATGAGAGGAGAGCGTCTCAATAATGGTGGGGAAACTGTTCAAAATGCCGCCCACCACACTGTCGGTGGCAATTATGCTAATCGAGTATTTAGTGTCTTCCACGGCGCTCGCCTTCACGACACGCCAGGGCGCTGAGGCTCCCCGTGGAAACAACGCGGCGATGCCGTTTAGTTTTGTCGAGGCCTTTGGGCTGCGCGTAATGGCGGGTGTTGTGTGTTTAAGCTGGCTTGCATGGAATTTTGGGCAGGTGTGCAGACGCGAGCTCAGAAAAAGACGAAGACAACGAAAGTGGGCTGAATTTTTTTGGGGGGATATAGATGTCAATCTTCCGGCCAGAATTTGCGCCGGGGGTGTGGTTGGACATGCTAGGATGGGATGGGATGGGATGGGATTGGAAGCTTGCATTCTGCTGATCTCTAGTATCAGATGGACACTTGTGCGACGTAAGGTGCTCCTGCACCTGCAATGTGACTCTGTGATAGCCTCGATATGGATCCAGTTGCATTCATCCAATACCGTGAGACGATACCGCCTGTTCTGGCAAACCCTAACTTACCTCGCGAATCAAAACCTGAACGTTTACTCGACGGTTTGATCTAGTCCCAATCTGTCTTATCTCCGGGGAGATTTATAGTGGTGTGAGCCTTGCAGATACCATACCTAGAATATCCACCAAGCTCGCAATATCTCTCAAACAGAGCGAGATCTGTGGCGAACGATGCTGGCAAATAGGCCTAATTCAGGCGAGCTGCTGAGCAGATTTGAAGACATTGCGGACTGGAAGCCGCGATGGTCAAAGCGAGGCTGGACGTTGCAGGAGCTGGTGCTCAGCAAAATGGCGTACTATGCTGGCCCAGAGGTTGGAATTCAGATGGTTTTCCATGGGAGGTTATACCAACAGACTGCATCGTCGTCAAAGCTTCGTTGTAGAGAAATTGGAAGGATCGGTGCGGATGCAAGCGGGTCGAGTTTATATGGACGGGAATGGCTTGCAGACCCCCGCCATGGATTAAGAAACGTGGTTCTCGCCATCATTGGCCCGGACAGTCTCTTGTTCCCGCCCCGCAGCTGGGCCAATCCATTCTCCGTAGCAAGATCTACGACGGTTCTAGAAGGTTGTTCGGGTGCCAAGGTTCGAAATTAGATCCTCGATACAGTTTCCGGTCGCAGTGTCCTGAAGGTAGAGCGGTGCCAGGCCAGGCCCCAGCCTTCAAGCAGCTGATATGCCCTTATCTCGCGTTCAATGCGAAGGATTTCCCACTCGAAACGGGCTATTTTGGCGACCATGGTCGTCGTCGACGATTGAGGAGTGTTTAGAGAAGTCTAAATCCACAAAGCCTCGAATGCCATTGCTGTGAGCGTTTTGGTTTTCTTCAACTCGAGGCAGTTGAGCCAAGATGGGATGCCACTGGCGCTTGACGCCAGCGAGTGTTCGGTTCGTGAATGAGGTCTTCAGCTCGCCGCTGGTTCCGTCGCGCGAAATGTGGGCTACCGTCTATTCATCGGACCAGGGGAGATTCAGTAGGGGTGGTACCGGGACCAAATTTCTGACGCGCAATCGATATTCGCTTTCGAAGTTGTCGTCATCGTCCACTTGCATGGAGATGACAGTCGGATGCATTGGGTGCTCTGAAAGCTCGTCGGCAGGTATAATTGTGGACGGTTCACTCACGGGCATTGAAGGCTGGTTTTTTGAGGAAATATTTGTTGGAATCATCTTTACCGCTACCGTTTTGCCTTTTCTGAACAGGCTTGTGAGACAGAGACTGTGTTGACCCGCGGTCACGATAGGTGTTAGTAAAGCCACGATAAGTGTTACCTGCATTTATCCAATCATTTCAGCCACAGAACACGGTTGGGTGTGGCGTGTATGCATGTGTTTCGTTTGCCAATTGGTCAATTTTCAGTAACACTGAGAGTCTGCCTGGTTCCGTTGGCTGTGGGTTGGCTTTCAATTAGCATAGATTGAGAGACCCTCTAGTTTCCTTTTCTTCTTCTTTTTTTTTTTTGTGTTGCTGACCAAAGGGTCGAGTATCTCTATAGTAGTAAACAAAGTGGGCTAGGCGATCCAGGCACAAAGGTGGTAGTTGGACTTAGGAACAGTGTTGAGAAACGTGTGGAGGCTGGTGTGTCTGCAGCACGTCGCTGAGGCATAGCACGGCTGACTCTCGCAACTGCTCTTGAGGCAGATATAGGAATTCAAGTTCAAGGCTGACATTGCTAAGCACTGCGGCACGGCTAGCGCGGAGCGTTATCCCTGCCCACTTGCGGCACGGCTGGATTGATTGGATTGGAAAGGATGAGCAGATTGCAGAGCTGACAGTGACCGAAATCTTTTTTATTTAAGGAAGGCACTATCCCTCACCTGCACCCAGTCTTTGAGAATGCTAGGAACTCACTATTGCTGCTACACCTCGGCTAATCCTGCTTCTATTTTACTTCTACCTGACGCTGGTCACCGATTAAAACATGAACGCCCCGCCGCAAGCTGACGTCCTCTGGTGGAACGCTAGTGATTACTACATCCTCTGTCCACATTGCGAGGAGACCCATCGATACAGCGTGAACCGGAACGGCCCAAAAACACGCACACCTCACTGTGGCGCCGAGAAGGACTACCCCTGCTGTTTCCCCTTTACCTCCACCGACAAGGCGGCTTACGGGATTGACAAGAAGCGAGGGCGATATGTAAACATCTGTGCCGAAGCGAGCCTGGTTCGCGATGCCGACTCGGATGTCGAGCAGATAGACGTCGATATACTGGCCGAGGAATTTGCTAGAAGGGAAAGTCACGTTGATTCTAGATAATCAAGTCTGTACAACAACATATATCAAGTATTTATTGCCAAGGGAAAGTTGAACTACCAATTATTTACTCCTCCGGAACATACGGTGTCTCATACGGCCTCTCCGCCTGTGGTGTAATGCGCGCCAAGTGTCGGCGCTCCCCTGTCGTCCAGTCCACAATAGCCGAGTGTGCCGTGACGCGGTTCTAGACGATTGTCAGCTAAACTTTCACCTCCCAAGGCTGAGAACAGAGGCGAACTTACATCCCAGACGACAACTGTCCCAGGCGCCCATTTGACTCGGGCCTGGTAGTCGATCCCACGGCCGATGTGGTTGAGTAGGAACTGGAGCAGCGCGTCGCTTTCTTCTTTCTTCAGGCCGACGATGCTTCGGGTGACTGCGGGTGATTGTTAGTATACTTGCTTGACCGGCCGATGAGGCCGCGGGAAACTAAAAGAGAATTGGATGGGGGAAAAAAAAAAGGAAAAATAAAAGAATGGTAAACTTACACCCCCCATTAACAAACAAGGCCTTCTCCCCCGTGGCGGGATGCGTCCTAACAAGCGGATGCTCATTCTTAACGGGCTCCCTGCGCACCACACCTCCCCTTTGTCGACTAAACTCCGCCTGTTCAAACCCACTATGCACAGCCTTGAGCCCATGAAGCCGCTCCTTGATCGCGGGAGACAACCGATTATACGCCTCGACCTGATTCACAAACGCCGTATCCCCGCCGACTTCCGGTGTATCCAGGATATACAAGAAGGTTGTCCCGGGCGGTTGCTGCTCATATGTTACATCAGAGTGCCATCCAACAGTGCTATTCCGCTCCGCGAAGATGGCGTCAAAGGCACCCTTGTTCCCGTTTCGGTGGACCAGGTGGATCTCAGGATATCCCTCGGGAGCCCCAGATGTAGGATGGATATGATGGCGGCCAAAATATCCCCCGAAATTGAGTGCGTCTTGTATGGGCAGGGAGGCGAGGTCCTGGTCGCGGAAGGCGACGACCTTGCGCTGTGCGACGAGGAGGGCGAGTTGGTCTTTGCCTTTATCGGAGAGTTTCGAGAGCTGCACGCCGGAGACCTCGGAGCCCGTGGACGGGGTGAGTTTTTGGATCTTCGAGCCGGGGAGGAGCAGGTCGGGGAAGGTCGGGTCTGCGTTGAGGCCGTGCTCGGTGTGTGTGAAGGGCTCGAGGGGTGGGTATTTCTCGCTGTGGTCCCAGACGGGGAGGTAGTGGGGGAACTGGGGTCGTTGAGTAAGCAGCTATGGAGGGCTTGGGTGAGGGAGATGTAAGCATACTGTAGCGGTGGTGGTTCCTCCTTCTTCATCGATGATGCGCCGGATCTTGGGCTTTGTTTCGGTGGAGGCGACATCGGCCTTGACGGGCACGACGACCTCGGATTTGGGTGCTTCGGCAATAGATGGGGCCATTTCGGATTATCTCTCTTGGAATGGGTATATCGCTGCGTATCGAGTACCCCTCGAGCATCTTGAATACTCATATATATAAACCCCTCACCCCCTCTCACACCATCACGCACCGCAATCGCGCGAAGAAGTCATGCAACGTTCATCGGCGATAAGCTCCATCACTCATAAGCAATCGCATTTCGGAGTCGTCGCGGTCCATCGGTGTTAGGATCTGACAGTCCCTGATTGCCATTCATTGGCAGAATCACGGCGGTTCTTAAATGACACCATATACTCCAACAATTGCGGGGGGCCAAGTCCGGCACGCGAACCATTGACAGACGGAGGGAATGCAGCCACGTGGATCTTGCGTGCTATCGGTCATTTTAGCGTCATATTAGGCGGGTTGACAGCTAGAAATACGATGTACGAAGGTCGCGGTTTCTTCAGGGTTCGAGCGTTGGCTTGGCGAATGTGCGTACTACCTAGGGTTGGGCAATGCTTGAACATAACTTCCTGCAATATCCCTCAACGGCGGTTTCATGAGGAGTGTAAGAGCTCGCAGTCTCACTCTGACACGCTTCCAGCGGCTTTCTGTGTAGAGAAATTGTTGACGGTTTCTGTTTCCACGTGCCCTGTGCGGATGAGAATATCAGGCAGCCAAAGCACTGGCCATGGGTGCCTTGAGTGCGCCGCAGGCTCGTCATGAGCTTACGTCTAGCCTCTAGGTATTATAATATCGAACTTGCATGAGAGGAACTCGGGATGCAAGTTCGATGTGCTGAGTTCCGACCGACGATCAAACCAATGTCGGCCCAGTGTGCTTGGTCGATTACATAGCCGCCCCCCAGTCGTGCATATAGCAAAACAGCGATGGAATTATACAAACGTCGGCAAAAGCGAACAGACACTAACAATCGCGTTCATCTTCTCCCGATAATCCAGCTCTCGCTCCCCGGCAAGGTCGTCCTGCACCCAGACGGCCTTGGTCAGCGCCTTGACGATGAACGTTGACCGTGAGGACGCCGCGGCCTCTGTCCGGTCTATAAGTTCGAGGATAATGCACCGCTCTTCATCCGTACGCGCCTCGCAACCGATGATAAATAGCGGGAGTTGGCGCGGACAGGACTTGAGTGTGGTGAAGATGGTGAAGGCGCGGGTGATGCGGGCTTGGGTGGCGAGGTTGGGTTCGAGGGCCGAGTTTGTCATTCGGTTGAGGTAGACGAGGATAGATAGTTGGAAGAGCTCGAGGGTCGGGTCTGGACTGTCAAGGAGGGTGGTGTCTTGTATTTCTCGAGCCAGGGCGCGAAGGGGCTCGATACATTCAGCGGGATCCGTGGATGACGCGAGGTGATAGCAGCCCTGCTTGAATAGCCATAGCAGCGTGTTTGACGGCGATGGTACTAATTTGTCGACCTGGCATTGTTAGCACTGTCCACAGCCGACCTCGACGAGTCACATACAAATATACATAGACCCGAGTCCACAGCCGATTGGGGCTCTTCCTCCACGTGCAGGGTCGGCCGCCAATGCAAGAGACTAAACCGCCCCAACGTCTCGTGGTAGAATACCCAATCCAACAACGCAGAAAAGGTACCGTCCTGGCGGAACTGCAGCCAACAGGAAGCATTGAGGACCTGCCTCACGCCGGTGACGAAGCACCACCACTGCGACGAGGTGCACGACGCCTTGTGGATTTCGAATGAGCACAGGAGAATTCCAGCGGCGACATGCTGGAGGGCCTCCGCAGGACCGATGGCGGAATGCGAGGCTTCACCGAGGGCCTTTATTGCGGATATCTTGAGCTCGAAACCCTGGGGTTGGAGGCCGTAGCGGTGAATGGAGGCGAGGGCGAGCAGGCCGCGGAGGACGGCGGTGGAGGAGGGGGAGTTGTTGATTAAAGCCATGCGGAGGAGAGTGCGGCCTAGGTCTTTTGGGCTGTGGCTGAGGATGGCGAGGGATTTCGACGCGGTGGATTCGACTGGGGCAGTTAGCTTGGTTCAGTGCTCGGGGAATGGTACTTGCAGTATTCGAGTAGCTGGGCATCTGTATCGGTATATGTCAACGCAGTGAATGGAACGGGGATTTTGAGAGAAAGTGAGCCGCCGTCTGCTGTCGGTAAGCGTCTGTTTCCAAAGAGCAAGGAGAACCACCTACGGGACGGGCATCCATGGGAGAGCAAGTAGTGCATTTTGATGTCAAAGTCGGACACATTGACCAGAGTAGAATAGGCCAGCGGGCGGGCTGTCCTTCGGCCATGAGACACCCTCCCCACCAAAGCTCGTCTCGCATCGTTTGATTTCGGCCATGATAGACGGATGCCGTACCCCTTGCAGACCCGGTTCGACCGAGCGCATTGCGTACAGGTGGGCGCCGCACGATCGCACAAGATCCGGCGGTCTGCAGTATTGGTCAGCAGAGAACAGTTTCGTCGCAGTTCCAGAAGATACCTCTACAAGTCCCACAGCTCCGAGCCATATTTATCAACGATGAAGTTGAATCTCGCGCAAAGTTGCCCGTCCTCGAAATGCGGAGGCCTGGGCTTATTTAACCTTAGATCAGCGCTAATTTAGGGCGCCGCAAGGTGGCCGATTTGTAAGATGAGCAGCCAATAAACTAGTAGACAAGATACTTGGCGCCCCACGCTCGAGAGCTGCGGTTGTGGGTTTGGGCAAAGCAAGCAACTTTTCGCGGCGCTAGCCCGAATCAGAGCACCTGTTTCCACGATGGGAGTATGGTCGGGATGCACATGGTCTGCGCTTGCGAGCGTATCTGAAGCTTTGAAATCGAGATTGGAAATCAAGTATCTATCAAACAGACATACACTATGTAAAAGAGTATGGCCGGTCTCTGCTATAAATACTCGACCGTTGTAGGTCTCATCGTTCAACAGCAGCAGCAACAGAACAACACAGCACAGCAATCAACAGCAACCACTCTCCTCAACATGTCTTCCTACGCTATTACAGGAGCCTCGCGCGGAATTGGAGTAAGCAACAAGTAATCCATCGCTAATACACGAACCACGCTGACACTGCACAGTGGGCATTCCTCTCCAACCTCTCCAGCAACCCCGACAACACCGTCATCGCCCTTGTCCGCAACAAGGCAGGGACTGAGAAGCGCATCTCCGAAGAACTCTCCGGACGGACCAACATCCATGTGGTTTATGCTGACCTGGACGACTACAACTCCCTCGAGGCCGCAGCCGCCGAGACCGCAAAGATCACCGGCGGCAGCCTCGACTACCTCATTGCCAACGCCGCATACCTCACGACGTATGACCAGTTTGATCCTATCGGTGTTCTGTAAGTCCGCATCCGTTCTTCTCCTCTACTGAACCCCCGAGTCTCCTTTCCGGATCTAACAGATGAATCACAGCGGCAAAGATCCCAAAGGCCTCGAGGAGAACCTCGTCGCAAACTTCAAAACCAACACCGTTGCGCAGATCCACCTCTTCAACCTCTTCACTCCCTTGATCCTCAAGGGAACCGCGAAGAAGGTCATTGCGATTTCCAGCGGCCACGCGGACGTCGACATGGTCACGAGCCTGCCCCTCCCGACCGCGACCTCGTACGCGATCAGCAAGGTCGCGCTCAACATGGCCGTTGCCAAATTCAGCGCGCAGTATGCCGAGCAAGGAGTCTTGTTTTTGAGTGTCTGTCCCGGGATGGTTGATACGGGGCTTTTTGAGAACTGTACGTTGCCACTTCCCGTCTTGTGTGGATGAATGGATGGCGATGTTGGTGTGCCGAGGACTAACTTTGATCAACCCGACAGTGACGGAGGAACAGCTCGCTGGCGCAGGGGCCGTGTTTGCCAAGTTCAAGGAGTACTCGCCTACCTTTAATGGGGCGAGGCAGCCCGCGGACTCGGTCAAGGATATTCTAAACGTTATTGAGAATGCGACTGTGGAGAAGAATGCGGGTGGGTTCTTGTCTCACAAAGGGAACCGCACTTGGCTCTGAGCTCTACTTGACTAAATTGAGGGTAGGGTTCGAGTGTTTAACATTGTTTCAGTGTGTGATTTGATATGATATATTGTTGACAAGACATGACAAAGGGAATGGAATAAGTGTCTATTGAGCTATCCCGCAATATATAGCTGATGATACAGAGATTTAGTTGAGAAGGAAACTCAGATGAAGACGCTGGTTAGTGGGTAGCCAGGAGCCCATGGCTCTTTCCAACCATATTAGGAAATATGATCTGGATTGTAGCAATCAAATCCCTGAATACTTACGATCCTCAAGGGCCCTCATGACATAACCATCACTAGGCAATATACCTATCATCTCAGACCCATCGGGTCAACCAAGCGCAATGTTTACTTCAGAGAAACAGTAAGACTCCCCTCACCCCCCTTCACCCACCGCCCCTTCGCCCCCGGAACCTCCACCCAGCCCTTGGTCCCATTGGGCGTATTCCAATAAACCTTGGCCCTCTTCAAGTTCTTCTTAACCTCAAACGCCGCACTAAATTTGCCAAGCTCAGTGGTGAACCCCGCACTCGCACTCCCCAACCCATCCACCTTGAAAGACGCCGGGTTCAACCTCCACTCCGCACCCCGCGGCTCCGTAATCCTCAATCCCACCGCATACTCGGTCAACGCACTCGTCGGCCCCGAACTCCACCCATGCGCATGCGACATGTACCGCGGATCATTCCTGTACCCTCTATCCCCGCGATACGTCCACCTCCCATCAACAAGGAACCCCTCGGGGACGGTCGACTCGGTCCCATTCGGATGGTTGAGATACCACCCCCAAAGCCGGCGGATCAACTCGATAGCGCGCTCCGGGTGTCCGGCGGCAAAATGGCCCTCGAGTTCAATCGACGAGATAAACGGGGAGATGTTGTTCGGTAGTTCGGGGACCTCGGGACCGGTGGGCGTCCAGTTTGATTCGAGGTAGGTGCCTATCGCTTCGGATTCGGCACTCCCGGGTTCGAACAGGGTGTAGGCGAGCGCCATGCTGTTTGCGTCTTGCGGGTAGAGGGTTGCGTTGGGGGAGTCGCGCAGGGCACCGACTGACGAATCGTAGAGGTGCGTTGTTATTGCGGTGCGGAGGCCCGAGGCGAGCGAGGTGTAGTCGGTATCGTCGGAGGCGAAGGGAGCCAGGAAGGCGGCTGTTGTCAGGGCGCGGTAGAGGCTGTATCTTGTTAGTCTCATCGTAGTAAGATAGATAGATAGATAGGGAGGGGAACGCACAGCATATTCGCCGAAGCAGCCACAGTCCCATAATTCCACCTCCCCCAATCCGCCGTCTGCGTCGCATTGAGCAGCCCATCACTCGTGATCTTCCCAAGGCTATAGCTGAGGGCCCTTGTATACTTTGGCCACAAGTCGAGCAGAAACTCCGTATCCCCACTAAACAGAAAATAGTTGTACGTCCCGATAATCGTCCACAGGTGATACGTATCGCTATCGGCCTTTAGATACGGCGGGCCCGCCTTGGGTAACAGTCCGCTCGACGTCTGGTAATTCCAAATCGCCAGCAGTGCATTCTTCGTACTCTCAAGATCCCCCGTGCTTACAGAGGCAGAGGGCACGGCGACACCCATGTCGCCGATCCAGACCCACCGGTCGCGCTTTGCGCCGTCGAGGAGGAGGCTGTCTCCCGGACCGCAGTAGGCATTATTATTCCAGCCTGTTGAGGAGCTTGGGTTGACGCGGCAGGTGTTTCCGGGGACGGAGTTTGTCTGGAGTGTGTAGGCGCCTGCGTACCAGATTTTGTTGAGTAGAGTATCCGAAGAGTGGAAGTAGCCCTGGTAGGCGCGGAGGTTCGACCAGGTGGGTTGAAAGGCGAGTTCCAGGGTAATGTCTTTGATTTCGAGAGTTGCGTCTGCATCCGAGTCGAGGAAGACGGTTAGATATCGGAAGCCGCCGCGGAGTTTGGCGTCGGGCATTGTGTAGGAGCCTTCAGTTTCGGAGAGAGTTGTGAGTAAGGCAAGATCAGCCCCGGAGCCGCCGTTGGAGTTGTCAGACTTTCGACCGATAAAGTCCTTTGCTTCGGTGAATGCGAGGCCGAGGGTTGTATTCGCTGCGGAGAGGACATAGTCGATTGTGACAATTCCGCCGACCTCGATGCCAAAGTCAAAGACGAGGCCTTCATCGCTGCTATTGATAGAGGGTATGGTATTGGACGGATAATCAGAGATGGATTCGCCGGCCGGAAGAGAGAGGATGGACTTGGGCTGCACAGTCCGTGATGCAGGCGCAAAGTTGTTCTCGTCCCAGGGTCCAGAGAAGGCTGCCGCTGTAGGGCCTGTACAGGTCGTATTGCGCCAGCACGAGGCCAGCGCCCCAGATGCAAAGGCCAGGGTGCTGGGGATAAGCATGCTGAGCCAAGTGTGTCCTGCTTCGGGGTGGGAGAGTTGTGGATGGTAACCAGGTTTTATGTACGCACCTGAGACTACGCTTCGGTGGCGGCTACGGTTGAACTAATTCTGCCGATCTCCAATTCCCCGTCTTAGCTGGGCCTACTCCAAAGCATACGTATTCGTGGAGGACTGGGGTCACTCCACACTCGGTGGATCTTACCCCGACCTCCCTCTGCCACCTTGGTACCACGCCTGAAGGTTTGCCCGATGTACCGTCCGTGTGGGGTAACCTGGCCCTGGTCAAGATTTCAGTCCGAGATTACTCACGGATGTTGTGCGCTTTGCTCTCGAAGATAATTAATCGACTAGGCGTGGCCCATAGAGGCACACTTTGTCACATGGTTACATTTGCCTAATGTCCAAGTTGCGATGCCAATTGTCATTGGGTCTATAGTACCACAGTGCACTATCCATCTTAAGGCTCGACACTTCTTCCAGCTCTGTCCAAGCCAGCCAAAAACAATCTAGCACTCCCCCGTCGCACTCCCACCCACACAAACCTCCCCGGTACACTCAAATCCCCTCGGATCCTTGACATTCCCACAAAGATACTCCTCAGCAGCAGTCCCATTCGCAAACTCCAAATCAATTCCAAACATGCCGATATTCGTGCAGGGTGCTACAGCACTACACTGGAAGCTGGTAACACGCTCCGACTTTGTCGTCCCCTTTAGGTTTGCGATTGTGATATCTCGGATCTGGAACTGCGAGTTTGTGCAGTTGCCCTGTCCCGGGGCGCCGCTGAAGCGTGTGCATTGCGAGATTGCCACTGCGGAGCCGCGCATGTCGGTTGTGTGGAGGTTTTTGAAGAGCATATCCGAGGCGTCTGCCATACGTTAGTTTACCTATTATTTGGAGTAAGGATGTCCGCGTCTGGCGAGAGACTCACATCCAAGCCCACCACCACCGCCATTAGGCGGATACCCATTCTGGTCGTCCGTCCAGGTTTTAAAGTAGACCTGTTCACGTTAACCCTGTCCTCGATATCTATAGTACGTCTATATGTGGACTCACCGCGTGTAGCGTATTCTCAAACTTGACATTCTCCACCCTGATCCGCTCAACGGTCTCGTACTGGTCGTTTAGCTGGCCAATGCTACCGATTGCCACGCCGAGCCCGTTGTAAAAGTGCGAGTTCCGCAGAGTAATGTCCGTGCTGTTTGCTTTGAACGAGATGCTGTCGTCGCCGTTGTAGACGGTTAGGTTGTTAAAGGTAAGGTGCGAGGAGCGGATCGTGTCGGCGCCGTCGGTGTTTGCTGATATCGTTAGCAACCACAGCGAATGTGAGCCTGGGAAGGCGAAGAATAGGGCATACAGCTATCAACCCTGTTCCCGGTATTGTTCACAAAGATATTCTCAAAGTCGACGTGGTGCGAGTAGATGATCGCCAGCGTCCTACCAAGACACCGTTAGCCCTCCTTCTACCCCAAGCATCACCACATGGAGAAATAATGACAAGGAAAAGCTGAACGTACCACATCTGACTGCGCAAAAAATTCACCCCCCGCACAACCGAATTCGTCAACCCGTTAAACGTCAACGCGATCGGCCTACCGGGGTAATTCGACGTATTCTCCTGCTCCCGAATCCACTCGTACCAATAGTCCCCGTTCCCGTCGAGGGTACCGACTCCATGACCGTTGAAGCGCACATTATTCCCGCCGAGGATCCACGCCGTCGATTGGTTCTGGTACCCGACCTCCAGCGAGTTGTTGAGCCAGTAGGGGATGTCGGTGCTCCACTGCGCGCTTGTCAGAAACGGTGGATTCCATGTTCTATTTCCAACCGGAGTGGACAGACCAGTAGGTTTCCTCGAAAGTCAATCTCGACGTCCTCGAGCCAGCGGATGTCCATGACCGAGTTGACATGGTATGTCGTGGGTTTGAAGACGACCTTTCCACGGCGACCGCAGCGCTTGAAGGCTTGGATGATTGCCGGTGCATCGTCGGTGGTGTTTGTTCCTGAAGCCGGGACGACGCATGTTTTTCGGGACCAGGGGATGGTCCCTGCGGAGACGGAGATCGCTGCTGCGAGGAACGTGAGGAGTTTGGACAAATGCATTTCAACTAATCGAAAGAGCTTGGTCTAGCTCTGGGAAACATCTTGAGCGCATTGAGGAATAAGTACAATCTCCACAGTCCTGTACTGACTCGGGATGCACTGTCGTATGGTCCAGCCATCGCAACAATCCAACACCTAATTTTTGCACGAATGGAGTCGTTGCGTTCAAAGTTACTTGCATAGTCCCCGCACATCATTTCCCGAATGCGACGATCAACGGGCTCCTTCCTAGATTTGTGGGGAAATGCGGGGTTGCGCTAGGGGAATTCAGCCGAAGCTTCGGGTGAATTGCCAGCGAAGGGTCTTGGTTATGCAGGGTCATGTCATTCTTTATGAATCCTGATGAAATGTAGCTCAATTCTCGCAGGGCAAGACGGTGCTCAGTTAGTTGAGTTCCACCTATTAGATGCTGTCTCTGTCTCTATACGAATACCTACTACCAGCTGCGCAAGAACAGGAATTGTGGCGTCAGGGACGTGGGGTCCAGCGCCAACCGATCCCGGGTTCGGCGGAGCCTGTGAATACAGTTTATACTCTTCGAGCAGGATGTTTCGTTTGCCTGAAATATTATCTTTCTATAAAGTAATCCAAAGGTTTCTTTTCAGCTCTTTTACGGTTGCGTACAATGGAGCCAATAAAGTCCCACTGACGCACTGCTATTTCCGTGCATATCAAAGTAACGTTGCCGTGGGGAAGGGAGACTTGGAACCCTGAGTACCCTGAATACACCCCTTTTTTTTTATCAGAGAAGGAGCAAGCCATATCTGAGTTCATCAGATACAGAACGTACGGGTAAATTACCAGTCGCGCCTTCCCTGAATTGCTTCTACCGTAAAAGGAAGGCACGATAAAAGTCCCCCCTGGCCGCACCTTCCTCCCTAGTGCAACCCATCCTCGAGAAATGAAGGAGCGACCCATATCCGAATCAAACGCATACAGAAGGCACGATGGGTCGCTCTCTCCCTAGCTGTAGTATCAATCCCGTGAGGCAGGTGCGGCTCTGACAAGCGCTAGGTCGCACCTTCCTTGCCGGGTACATTGTTACTGGGAGGAAAGAGCGACCAAGTACCGTACCTTGTACCTTCCGTCTCTGTCAGGTCACCCAGTCACACCTTTCCTGCGATGCACCTTGCCATAAGGGAGAATCGATCAGTATGCCTTCTCCTATGCCCACTGACAATCTGTCCCTATCATTCGTTTGAGAGTCCGACCAGAATCTTATTCAAGCAAGCAACGGGCAGCACCGCACGACTTGGACCTTCCGAGAAGTATCATATTCAATTACGCATTCGCTTTCAGCAATCGGGCGCTGCGGGTTGTTGATTCACTGTTCGCTTTGGCTCCGCGTGTTTGGGCTTATGTGCCCTTTATCCGTAGACCAGGCACATGCTGCCGATGGTTCTGTACAGCCAAAGTTATGGATCAGATGGGCTGGACCTCCGAGGAACAGACTTTCCAAAGCCTGACGTCGGGGAGTGGTGCTTGTTTCTCATCGAGATGTTCTAGTCTCTATTTATTATTTGTCAGCGGCTCGGCCTCGCGCTTCGGCATCTTGCATCTTAAGACCGAGGGCGCGACATTTGTCATCGCTGGTAGATCCACTAACTATACCATACTAAGCGCGATATATATACTTCGAAGAGTTAGATAGATAGACCTAGTCAAGCGTCCAGTATCTTTCTAGAAAACAGCACTCTCAGTTCTCGTCCGACTTACACATCCAACATGGAAACCGTCCTCGTCATCGGCGCAACAGGCAACATTGGCGTCTCCGCCGTGAAAGGTGCCCTAAACTCCGGACGAAACGTTCTCGCTGTCGTCCGCAACCAGGCTTCGGCTGATAAGCTCGTTCGGCATATCGGATCGGATGAGGGGATCACCTTTGTCGAGGCGAGCGTTACCGCCGACGATGGGGTACAGGGTGTTGTGGATAGAGTCCGGGCAGGCGAATTGCCGGGGTTTCAGCATGTTTATTCATGTGGTAAGGAACCTTGCGTATTTGGATTCCGAGTCGAAGATTTTACTCCCATGGCTCAAGCTGACCGACCTATTTCAATGCTAGTCGGCGGCGAGTACATCACTCTCCCGATGACGGACATCACAACCGAACGGCTGCGCGCCAATATGACCGCCATGTTCGAGGCTGCGTTCTGTAAGTCCCGCCTCCCCATCACCGTCTCTACTCTCCCACAGCTTCCCTATCTAACCAACATTCAATCGCCAGTCGCCTACCGCGCCACCCTCCCCTACCTCTTATCCCAACAAAACCCCACAACATGGACCCTCTGTACAGGCGCGCAGGGCGACATCGGCACGCACGCTCTTCCAGCCATGTCTCAAGGCGCCCTCTTCTCCTTCGCGACAGCCGCCTGTCGCGAGACCGCCGAGACGAATGTGCGCTTCAACGAGGTATACCTCGCGCTACGGGTTGAGGTGGATGAGGATGCAAAGGCGCATGGGGTGACGAGTGCGTCGGAGTTTGCGGGTGTGTACGAGGCAGTTCTGGGCAGGGAGGAAATTCGCAGTTCGAGGGTTTGGGTCGAGAAGGTGGAGGATTTGAGAAACGTTAGGTTTACGAGGAAGTTCTGAGCTTGATGGTCGTGGTTGTACTGCGGACCAGCGCGTCAGTACCGTGGGATTGTCAGAATAGAGTCTTATGCATATTTTGCTTCGCCCATGCAAGCCAAGTACGAGTGCAAAGGGAGCGAAACCCGGTCGTGCCTTGCTCAATAGCCTTACATAGTCCTCGACAATAACGGAAAGAACGGGCGACCAATCGCGCCTTGCTCATTTAGCTCAATCTCATGGGTCGTTCCTTGCTCACTTGATCCTTGACTTTCACTATCCGAATCTGGCAGGTACACTCATAAAAACTGGGTCGCACCTTCTTTCGCTGTCCACAGTCTTTGTCCAAATATGGCAAGTACCCTCCCGGGTCGCACCTTCCTCAACAGTGCAATATAGATTTTCTCCCCAGAAGGAAGGAGCGACCTCACCTGGCCGTCCATCGTATCTTCCATATGAGGCAGCTTGACGCATATACGAGGCAGGTGCGCTCCTGACGAAGGGAGGATCGTACCTTCCTTATTTGCCGTATACACCATAAACTGCGCATCAGATCGCGAATCGTAAATGGGGTCTCTAAGAGGTATCAGATACGATACCCTAACGCGGAGTCTTATCAATATAGCCGACGGCACTGAATAGCACCCTCACAGGGCACACGACAGATAATGCTATCGATCCGAATCAGAGGGTGCCTGATCAATGAAATATCTGTTAAAGAGAACAGGGCCCATATATTTATATTTCCGGACATTCTATGGGCTATCTTTATGGCGTATATCGGAAAATTGTGAATCGTTCCGAGTCATTGGCCCGGTATCCGAGTCTATGCTCCTATTCACTGATACAGAATACCCCGTCTCTATTTCGTCTTTCTTCCCTCTGCATCCGCTTGCCCCTTCTTGATGAGCACGCCCTGGATCCTTGGTAGAAGACTGACCAAATCCTCGGGCTCCTCGATATCCTCCGGATTCTCCCACTCTCCACCATTGAGAATATCGTCCAATACATTCCGCGTCAACCGACATCCGACAAATGTACTCCAAGCAGGGTTCCAAATAGCTTCTTCACGTTAGCCCGCAGTTCACCAACACGAACTCAGCCTTTCAAGTTGGGATCGGCCCACCGGAAAAGAGACTACAGAAAAGCACACATACCTTGCACAAGCCTCGTAACCACCCCCTTACTAGACCCATGCTCCCAAAAGATAAACTTCCCACCCGGCCTAAGCAGTTTCCAGACATCCCTCATGACAGCGGCGAGATCCTCAACCGCACAGAGAACCTGGATACACACCACGGCATCCAGACTTCCCTCGGTAATCCCCTCTTCCTTCAGCGCATCGCGATCTTCAACGCCGGAGAGGATAAGCTTATACCGACCCCGGAGACCGGCGTTCGCTTCGGCGTCTAATTTGGCATTTATCGTATCCGCGTAGTGCCGGTTGGGCTCGACGCCGTATATATACTTTACCCGGCCAGTGTCGAAGCGGTGGATTTGGTTTCCTGGGCCGGGGCCCAGGTCGAGGATTACGCCTTCAGCGGCGCGAACGAGGGTGGGGACGATTGTTGTGTCTTCGAAGGCGACGAAGTTGGCGGCTAGCGATTTTTGGTGAGTGGGTTGATCATGGGGGCAGGTAACATTCGAGGCTACTTACAGAGCATACTAAACATCTTCGCTGAAGCGGCATCCCGAATTTGTCTTGGGTGTGCGAGAGCTGCGAGGCCGTCTTGGCGAAGGGCGTCTTTGAGGGCTTGCCAGTGCACTGCGAGGAGTAAATGCGGGGTTAGTAGAGTGGTGGACGGGACGAGTCAGAAGCACATACGCCCGATAGATAGCCATATCAGACCCCATGGACGGAGAAGGGGGGTAAGGCGGTCTTTAAGGGACATGGTATCTCGGTGGGATGTTCTATAGTGTTGAACGTTCGAGATAAGGACAGAAGAGAGAGACCCAGGCTGAATATGCGCAGGAACACAGATTTTGGGTTGGGAGAAAATGAAAATCGTGGACGTTGGCAGGAGCAGCATTTTATATGCACGCGTGTTGCCCCAGGCCACGGAGAACCAGACGATCTAACCCTATGTCACGCCTCAAGGAGGGAAAGCCCTGCCATATGCAGTCTAGGGCTTATGGAGCGTACAAGTTCACCAATGAAATCGGTATAACCCCACCTGGATCCTGTTCAGATCGCGTCATTTTGGGGCTAGTGTTCGAATGCCTACTCAGTACTATTTCCCCAAGGATATCATACGCGGATTCAGTGTGGTGACTTCAGCGGTATAAGAAATTGGGATTCAAGGACGATTGATATGATAATGAGAATGGATGTACGCAGGATCAGCAGATGCTGGGGGCTTTCCCCTTTGATAACAAAGCCGCGTGGCATATGTGTTGGTGGTGAGACCCCCGCACGTATTTGTTGTGAAGTCTTCATGGTCCGCAAGTAGAAGAGCAGAGCGTCAAGCTTGGTGCTGAGATTGGAGGCAGACGAGCATGCCACATGGCACGCAGCTGCTAGGGGACCGCTTGACTACCGCTCGATATCCGGCCAGATTCGGCCTGACCCCTTTGGGCCAAATCCCAAATGGCGCCTTCAACACTGCTGTGTATATATGACCTCTAGGAATCGCTGGTTTTCCTGATCTCCAACAATTCATTTCTGAATCCCTTAGCATACAGCTTCTCCCTCCTCTTTCATACATCCTTCGTGGCTCTGGAAAGCGAGAGATAACCAAAATACTGATGGATTTAAATGCTCCCCATGACGCGGAAGACAAGGACGGAAACACTGCCCTCCCCACTGCTATTAAAAGTTCGAATAAGGGAGCAGTCCAATTTCTCAGGGCTTCTGCGGAGCGGACCAGGCATTTCCAGAGCGAATCAAGCTGGCTATACAGCCTTGGGTAATAATCTCCATTACTTCGCGCTTATAGTGGCGCTTGGCGACATCCTGAGCAAGGTGGTTAAGCAATTAATTAGTCGTTTAACAGCAAAGTAAGTCCTAATACGATTTCAATTGACACGGCTTTATGAAACGCGCAAACTTTCCGGGCGGTTTCAAGAACGTCGTGAGAAAACGACCGTTCCTCAGCCTCCAAAAGTTCCGATAGATGTTAAGTAGACATCCTGCGCTTCCAGTGTGTGTCAGGGAAAACAAAGGAACAGGACTCAATCATCCCATGGCGAAAGGAACGAGAGTTACCCATCTACAAGCGAATACGGCCCTCCCGCGCTCTAAGCCCCAGAGCGACACATAGAACCAGCAACTGACAAACCGCGAGTGCTACCCACCCGGCTGCGAGCCCCGAAACGAGGAAAAAGTCCAGCCACCATTCCAAACTGATGATCTCCACTCCCTCAGGCCTCATCCTCCATCCCTGCGGAGCGCTCAACGCAATAAACATTGCAGCTTGTAACCCAAGGCTAAGCAGACTGAGGCTGCTGGGGTCAAAAGTATTCCCATTGTTGTAGTAACGCGTGACCATTAAATGGATCTGTGGTATCGCCGCCGTGAGGGAGGTAAGAATGCCGATCAAGCGGAGCAAACAGCCGTAGAGAAAGTTATTAAAGAAGGGCTGGACATAGTCGTCTTCGTCATGTAATAGAGGAATTAGAAGATATATGGCGAGTGGGAGGACAACAGCTGCATGCGTGAGTACTATGGCGAGGATTGTTATGTTGCGGGGCGAAGAAGTGGTGGTAGTGGTCAAAGCAGGACCCGCCCCCTTGGTATCATTTTGGGGGGCCAGAGTCTGCGTGCGGAAGGAGACGTAAAATGCTAGCAAGATAATTGCTGCCGCCCAATGCGTAAATGCCTGGAGGTGGACTACCAGCGCAGAAAAGAGGCCAAATCCCTTTAGTTCGCCATGGCAGGAGCAGGACCAGACAGTGCTGCTAGTTAAATTTCTTATTCGAGTGGCACAGTGTGAAGTGGTGCTAGTTGTGAGGAGAATTATATACCAACCGGAGATCCCTGCATCCCCAGTATTGCTCGTACGAATATGAATAAGCTGGGGGATGTAGGACGCGGCAACGAAGAGGTTAACTAGGCTAGGGATACCATATATCGAGATTAGTATTCGGACATCAATGAAAAAATGGTGGTGAACAAATACAGATGAATGCCGGTGTCAAGGGGGCTCTGGATTTGACTGACGCAGAGCTCAGACATGATGTTGAGGAGAAGGAGGAAGGGTGCAGGTGGAGATGAAATTATTGAGATGTTGGGCTGCCGGGCGGGGTTTTATATAATTAGCGCTAGGCAAGTAAGAAAAGTAAAGCTATAATATAAACTTAAAAAGCATAAATTCTATGTCTCCTATTGTCTTGGCGCCAGTATTTTTTTTGCTCAGTAGGTGCTGTCTTTTGGAGGACGGGACCTGGGGAACTTGTTGTTATCGAGATTTACCGCGCAGCCAAGCTAGACTTCAAATTGCCCCGTCATATCACGATGGAAGAGGCCGGGCATAAGAGCTATTCTACGCAATTAGCAGCAGCAGGGTGTGGTCAGTGTGATAAACTCAAAAGGCAGAAGCCATGTATTATCGCTATCATCGCCTCGCCTTCTTCCTATCCGGCTCCGGCTCGTCATCATCGCTCAAGTCCCGATATATCGGCGTGGGCTGCGTCTCCTGCCATGCTTTTGTAAAGATCGGATCCTTCTGCGCCTTCTCAGCGTACTTTAGCAACGCTTCGCGAGGATCTTCATCGCGCATCGAACTGAGCGGGATATTCTCCCGGATGTGCTTTTCATCAGGCTGCGACTTGGCGAATGGGGTTTGCGCAGGGAGATGCGGTCTCCGTGGGTCTCGTGACCGGCCTGAGGCTGTGAGACCGATTGTGGGATGGCGCGCGGACCAAGTGGCGGAGGTGTAGTGTGGGACGCCGTTTGAGCCGACGACCACCGAGTCGCCGGAGATTCCCTGTGAAAGGTTCATGGTGAGAGTCGGATCGTCGTCAATGTGCCGGCGTTTGGGTGCCTTGGACATGACGAGGGCAGCGCCCTTGGTTGAGATATTGGGGTTGTAGAGAACGTGGGTTTCGGCGTTGGCAGAGCCGGTGAGGATTTGGTTCAGCTTTTCGTGCCATTGCACTGTGATTAGAGGTGAGCCGGGTGTTACTGGTGTTACCAGCTCCGGCTTGAGTGTGGCCGGGTTCAGAATGTGCAGGTGGCCGGTTTCCGAGCCAGTCACGACATTTGCAGATGTCGGCGAGAAGATAATGTTCGAGGTCGGGAATCGAGACGAGCTCGAAGTATGGGCAACCGTGGTGATCGGCTGTTTGAACTTTCTCGTATCCCACAGTTTGATGGTGTCATCACCACCCTTCGTGATTACAAGCCTCCCATCACTGCTAATATCAATGCCGCTCGTCCAGGTATCTCGCGTGTGCGCGTCGCGAACCTCAGCCGCAGGCCGCGTAAACGGCCCGTTCCCACTCCACATCATCAAGCTGCCATCCAACGCAGCAGCAACAAGCACGTTCGAACCACCCTGTTTCGGAGAGCCCCATGCAACAGCAGTCATCTTGCTCCGACCAGCGGATCCCGCAGCTCTCGACTTGTGCATGATAACCTCCTTCTGCGACCTTCCAATGTTCGCATCCCATATCCGCACCGTGCTGTCCGTTCCCGCGGTCGCGCACAGGTTCTCATCAGTCGGGCACCATACGCCACTCGTCACTTCTGATATATGGCCTTTGGTGTTGTGGAGATCTCGTAGGTACATGTCGCCCTTGACGAACTCGGTGACTGTTTCGCCATCGCGGTCGAGGATTCTCGGTTGCGGTGTCGCGGAGACGACTAGGACGTATGACGGAGTGATCGGGTTGAAGGCGGCGTAGTGGACGGCGTGCGTTTCCTGCGCCGCAGACGTCTTCTTCGCCGAGGGATCGACCGACTTGAACGAGCGCACGGTCGAGGGGGTCATGGAGGAAAAATCGTGGAGCTTGAGGGTACAGTCCGTCGAGCCTGTAATCAATCGGGCCCCTGAAGGGTCCACGGTGATAGTTGTGACTGCGCGCTCATGCGTCTTCAGAACGAGTTCATGCGACACGGGGAATTCGTCCTCGTCATCGTCGTCCGAATCCGAGTCCGAGTCTGAATCGTTCGAGGCACCTGATCCATCGCTCTTGTTCCCACTGGGTACTTGTGGACCGACATCGTCGTCTTCGGAATCAGATTTCGCACCGGTATTGCCATCGCTGATCAATTTTGCCTTCGCATCGCTGCTCTCGGGCTTGGTGGTGCGTTTTGTAAGGTCGATTTGGGCGTTGACATCGGTTTTTTTCTGCTGCTTCCCAAAGCTGGACGGGAAGAATTGCTTGAAAGCCTCCTCGTCGAAACCCTCCATTGTTATGAACTGATTGAATAGTTTCTTGATGTTTGCGCGGCGATGATGAAGCTGTTGAAGTGCTCGGAGTTTGTCAAGTTTTGCATGTTTGCACCATTTGCCTACCCCCTGCTCTCTTATCTTATCGCCCTGTGGGTCTGCAATGGATGCCCTTCTCTTCGATCAAGACTGCCAAAGCCCAACCTCTCCTTCATAATATGGGGATAATTTGCATTTGTTACGGCTTCGACGTTATCCCTCGGCCAGATTTTGACAGGCCAAATGGGAGTATACACTACTCTCAAGCAACTGGATGACTGTGTCTGGCTTGCTACGTGTGCTTGTACTACTATTATCCGCGCGCACTACTAACATCAACACAGGAACGAGGACCAGGATGAACTATGTGAATACTAATTGCTATTCTAGCAAAGCTAGAACGGGGCGAAAGTGGTGTATAACCTCGTACTGGACAGGACTTCTCTTCCTCCCGATAGGTGTTACCTGGGCTGAAAACGGAGCCTTGACGAAAAGTATATAACGGTACCCGCAACCAACAATTAGCAAAGCGCGTCGAGAATTAGATAGTGCCTCTCTAGATATGTACCGATCATCTACTCAAGAATCGGAGCATCTTTACAAACGGGGCACATAGGTGATGGCTAAATGCATAAACTTGTCAGGTTAGAATACACTAGTCTATGGTCACGGGTGAGAGCGCCTGTAAGCGAAACACCAATACCCACGTGCATCTACAAGTACAGTCCCTCCACTGGTCCACCGTCCTGTTTCGTCTTCATGATCCGTTCACGAGCGGCACGGAAGTCCTCCATCTGGACCCTCATACGGCGTTCTCTCAGAGCCATCAGACCGGCCTCAGTACAGATGGCGCGGATATCGGCACCGGAGAGATCGTCCTTCTGGTTGATGAACTCATCGAGGTCGACGTCGTCTCCGAGGGACATCTTCGAGGTGTGGAGCGTGAAAATCTTCTTCTTGGTGTTTTCTGCATTTCATTAGTTCAGCGCTGATGTCTGTAGGAGAAAGCGAACTCACGATCAGGATTCTCAAACAGAATCTTTCGGTCAATACGTCCAGGACGAATCAAAGCCGGGTCGAGTGTTTCGATCTTGTTTGTGGCCATAATAACCTTGACATCTCCACGGTCATCGAATCCATCCAGCTGGTTAAGCAATTCAAGCATGGTTCGTTGAATTTCACGCTCACCACCAGACGTCGAGTCATAACGCTTGGTACCGATGGCATCGATTTCATCAATGAAGACAATAGAAGGAGCGTGTTCTGCCGCCACCTGGAAAATCTGGCGCACCAAACGTGGACCATCTCCAAGGTACTTCTGAATCAACTCACTTCCAACAATACGCAAGAAGGTAGCACTGGTCTGGTTGGCGACAGCCTTGGCAAGCAGCGTTTTGCCAGTTCCGGGAGCTCCGTAAAGAATGACACCCTTGGGCGGCTTGATACCCATTTCTTCGTACAACTCAGGATGCAGCAGCGGCAACTCGACCGACTCTCGGACCTCCTGAATCTGCGACTCTAGACCACCAATATCCGCGTACGACTCAGTCGGAGCCTTGTCGAGCTTCATCACCGAGACCAACGGATCCGACTCCTCCGTCAGCACACCAACCACCGAAACCGACTTGTGATGCAGAAGGATGCTAGCGCCGGGTTCAAGGAGGTCCTTGTCAACAAAGGACATGATGGACACGTAGTATTCCGGCCCAGTCGCGCTCGAGACAATCGCGTGGTCGTCGTCGATCAACTCCTCCAGGTTACCAACGCCCATGGGGCTTCCTCTCATATCATCGACACGGCTGCGCTCATCCGCATTTCGGTCTGTGATGTCCAGATCGCCTTGGCTAGCCGGCCCAGAGGAACCTTGTGCCTTGGCCTTTCGCAGCCGCTCCATGTTTTCGACGTACTCCTCCTCTAACAGTAGGTGGTCGTGGACGCGCTGCATTCGGAGATATCGTAGTTTGCATCGTGACGTAGGATAGATATCTGGAAGCTTGGAGGCGGTGCTGGGGCCGGCTGCCTTGCGCTTCTTGCGGCCGATGCGGGTGGTGGGTGGTGGAGGCGGCTCGTACTTGGGCTTGTCCTTCTGAGGAAGCTGTTAGTGACGGAGAATGAGGCTATTCAGCCTTAAAATGGTACCTTCTTATCTTTGTCGTCCCTTCCCTCTCCTCCGCCGATGTTGGACTGCTGGTTACCCTATGGTTGCAGGTTTGTCAGATGAAGCACGGTGAGGGCAGACAAGGAGTAACCAACCATTGTCCGGGCTTAAAACCAAGGTGTATTCAAAGAGCTTCAAGATCGGGACAATATTACTGGTGCAACAGAGTGGTTGAGCCTGAAAAGAGATGGAAATGGGGAGGAGGATGGTTGAACAGGAGCTTGATACGTAGCTTGGTCAGGTCTGGGAGCTGTTGCTGTTGCCATCCGCTCGGCTGGTCTTGGCATTGATTACGTGTGAGGCACCACGTGACTTGACTTGGGTTTGTCTACTACAAATGCACCGATGCAGAGTGGCTTGGAATCCAACAGAATCGAGCGAGGAACCAGTAGTTGGGTATTGCAGATTTCTACGATCAGGCATATGCGTTAGTGCTGCTGGCTGGTGGCAGGCGCAGGCGCTGCAGCGTGGTCGAGTCAAGGCTGGTTAGGCTGGAATAGACATTTGCTCAGCCTATTAAATAGTCCGGGCCAGCGTCAGTCACCAGCGAATGCGAGAGGGTGTCGTGCCTTTCGGAAAAGTAAGGAAAGAAAGGTTCGGTGACCAGCTGGGGATTGATTCTGCCTTCATAAACCTCTTTGCTTCTTCATCAAACTCACATCCTTACCAATATCCCCCCAGCCCATCTAGACAAGCGCACAGCTCCTTTGTCTTTACTGGTTTACGCCTCCCCATCCTCCGCCCCGGCCCCTCTGCTTCCCCTCCAACCCGCGTGAGGCTCTGTCGCAACCCAAGGCGGTTCCAGTCATATCTCCAGCGCAGCGCAGCTTCCACGTCACCCACCTGCGTGACTCGGTATCTCTATCCTGTTATCTCTAGTATCCTTTTCATCAACTCCAAGGTCTCCATATTGCTTCCGCAGGCCGTGCTAGAGCGTCACATACACAGACCGCTAGCTTCCCACCCCCACGCTCAGCTATCTCAGCTATCTTTTCCCTTAAAACCACCAGACCTTTGGTGAATATCCATACCCATGGCGTCCAACCGCACTCGCCGCATTGCAAAGGAGATCGCGGATATCCGCGCAGACACCCACTCCCAGATCACCGCCGAGCCGGTGGGCGACGAAGACGACATCACACATCTCCGGGGCTCGTTCCCAGGGCCGCCTGGGACTGCGTACGAGGGCGGTACATTCAAAGTCGACATTAGAATCCCCACCGAATATCCTTTCCGACCGCCAGTGATGAAGTTTGTGACCAAGGTGTGGCACCCGAACGTCAGCAGTCAAACGGTGAGTTCATTTCCAGCTTCCGATTCCGCTCTATGCTGATGGGTTGATCGACTAGGGTGCCATCTGCCTTGACACTTTATCGTCCGCCTGGTCACCTATCCTCACCATCAAAGCTGCCCTCCTCTCGCTGCAGTCGCTACTGAGCACACCCGAACCGAAAGACCCGCAAGACGCCGAAGTCGCTGGTATGCTGCTTCGGAATCCCAAAGAGTTCAACCGTGTGGCGCGGGAGTGGGCTGCTCAGTATGCGGGGGCTCCTAGGACATTTGCTGGTGAGGGTAGTGGTGGTGCGACGGACGAGTCGCTCAGACAGCTGGAGCAGAAGGAGAAGGCGGACCGCGAGAGGGAGGATCTTTCCAAGTAAGCTCCACCTTGATTGTGCTGGAGGGTTCCTCACTTACACCTGGCAGATATGACGGATATAATAAGCAGTTGATTGACCGGTTCTGCCACATGGGCTTCGACGTGGACCAGGTTGTGGCAGCCTTCAACTACTACGGCATCGACAGGAATAACGGCGAAGACTATGAACTGGAGGAGGCCTACATGGGCGATGTCACAGCACGGCTCCTCGGTGAGCCATAGACGCAGCTCTGCCATTTAGCAGGGGATGGATTTGTTTCGTATAAGTGGACTTGATGACGAGCACGGTGCCTGGCGAATATTTGACTTTATGCCCTCTTGGGCTTTGGCGTTCAACCAGAAATAATGCTGCCATGACTGATTACTGACTGCATACATTGCTGATTCTGCATACTGATGTCTGAGCTTGCCACTTGGATAGTCTTGGTCGTATCTCTACTCTTTAGCCTTAGCCTGAATTACAGCTACTTGCAATAAAGCTATCAATTAGGGTTGTAAGATGGTCTATGCTGTTGGTAGTTGTAGCTCGCAAGCTGTTGATTACCGGATTTGGAAGCGTATCGATAAGCAAGTGGATCGCCGGCAGCTTCAGCGGACCTCAGCCTTTCTTTGACCTCCGCAATCCAATTCTCGACCATGAATCGATGAAAACACCAATACTCGTATAGCGAGCGTATTTCTGCTTTGAGAATCCGAAACTACCCCCGCCTCACTCTACACCGTTATCGCTACTACGAGTGAACCACATTCCACTGCCGATCGCCATGATCGAAGACGATTTTTACCGCACCTCGTCACAGTTCCGCCTGTGGTCCTTCACAGAGGACTCTCTACGATCACTACGGCAAAACACAAACAGTCTCGCAAGTGACCGCGTACGAGATGCGCTTCGCCGAGCGCGCGAGTCACGACAGTCCGCCAACTCGTCTGCGGCCGGCACACCGAATCCGAATGGAAGCGACGCGGATAGCAAACCCGGGGATGAAAAGAATATCGAATGTCTGACGCCGGAAGAGGAGCAGGACCTCGTGCGGTATTACTGCGAGCAGATTGTTCAGTTGGGAGAGAGCTATAAGCCTCCCCTGCCGACGATAGTGAGGGTATCTTTTCCCTTGCGCTTATATTCCGAGGGAGGATCGAAGCTGATACTGATCTTTCTATCTAGGCCACGGCAATCCAGTACCTTCGCCGCTTCTACTTGACCAACTCGCCCATGACCTATCACCCCAAAACCATCATGCCCTGCGCCCTCTTCATCGCTACAAAGACCGACAACTACTACTTATCCCTCCGCCAGTTCGCCGAAGGCGTACCGGGCGACACGTCCGCAGAGGACATCATCGCCCCCGAATTCCTCGTCATGCAAAGCCTCCGCTTCACCTTTGACGTCCGCCACCCTTTCCGCGGCCTCGAAGGCGGGATCATGGAACTCACCGCGATATCCCAGGGCCTGGCCCAACCCGCACCGCACACACCGCACCAATCCCCCGAGGACCTCCGGCGCACGATGCTCTCCCTCCCGCAACCCCCCAATACCCAATCCTCCTCCTCCTCCTCCTCGATATCCGACCGCCTCGCGCGCGCGCACCACAACACGCGCGAGATCCTCAAATCCGCCGCGCAAATGACCGACGCGTACTTCTTCTACACCCCGGCGCAGATCTGGCTCGCCGCCCTCTGGATCGCAGACAGACCCCTCGCCGAATTCTACCTCGACACGAAACTCGCCGCCCCGGATCTCGACGCCACGCACCCACTCACCCAACTCCGCTCCAAAGTCCTCGCAACACTAGACAGCTGCTCCGCACTCCTCCAATCCTACAAACCCCTCGCCTCAGACCCCGACCAGAAAAAGGCGCTCCGCCGCATCGGGAAGAAGCTATACCACTGCCAGAATCCAGAGAAGGTTAATCTGGCTGGCCAGAAACGGATTCCGGCTGCGGCGATGGCGGCAGCCGCTGCGTCGGCGAGTGACCCCGCGACGCCGGAAAGCGAGATGGAGCGGTTGGCGAAGAAACGGAAGCTTGAGAGTGAGGCGAAGCGGAGAGATGATATCTTTGGAGGGGAGTTGGTTATGGAGAGAACGAAGGAGAGGCAGGGGTAGGGGGTGGGATACGCCTCTTGCCGTGATTACTGAAAATGACATGTTTATATAGCGAAATATGCATAAATTCTGGATAGAGATGGTTGGAATTGAATAACCCTCTTTGAGCTTTCACTCGAGCTTGAGATCAACACACAAGACCCTTCTTACGCCCCGCAATCCGGCGACAATCCAAGCTATACATAATGTTCAGCTACTCTAAACCGAGCGCCAAAGCCCGCCTCAACCGAAAAGCCCGCTCTTTAGTGCTTGACCTTCACCTCAGATCGGTTCAGTTTCTTCATCCTCAAGAACGGGAATCCTTCCTCACTCCCAGTCAACACCTGAACAAACCCAACCTGACAATCTCTACGCAGTGCTCGACATAACAAACAGATCCTACGCATAATAATGCCAAAAAAAGATGACTGGAATAGTCAATTCAACCCACCGCACCGAAAGTCTAGATAATGGGGGATGAGGTATGAAACAGGCCATCTAAACAAAGCACCCAACGAAAAGCAACTTGGTAGAGGTAAAACAAAAAAAAGAAAATGGAATATCTCCAGAAGCATTCAAAAACAAAACCGGGGAGAGTGAGTGTATATAGTTCTCCGCTCCCAGTATATCATCCTCCATCTGTGGGACGGTTCATCACTCCCAAGACTAGAATAAAAGACAGGTAGGTAGGTAGGCAAAATGAAAATCGAAACTTTTTCCTCTTTTCCCGCAGTATTTGCATCGTTCGTCTCTAGCATGCCAGTCGTAAAAGAGAAAAAGGTACAAGAGATGAGTCAGGGAGCCGTTTAGACGGCACCCTCGGAAATCATCTTCTTGCGCAAGTGGTCCTTGTAGGCACCGATTGAGCCATCCCAGCGGCGGACGGTCTTGTGTTCGCAGACCATGATGTCCTTGGCAATCTTGTCGAGGAGACGGAAATCGTGAGACACGACGACGACACCACCGCTGAAGGCGTTGATGGCATCAGCCAGACTGTCAATTGTGGGGATATCGAGACCGTTGGTAGGCTCGTCGAGCAGGATCATGTTGGGCGACTCGATGGCGAGCAGGGCGAACACGATACGACTCTTCTGACCTTCGGATAGGGTGCCCATGAGCGCGGTCTGGGACTCTCCAGAGAGACCGTAGCGACCGAGCTGCTGGCGCCAGTACTGGAAGTCCTGAGACTGCTCCGGGAACTTGTCGCGGACGAACTCGAGGGCGGACTTGGTGAGATCGAGCTGTTCGGCAGAGTGCTGGCTGTACATGCCGAGCTTCAAGTGGGTGTGACGGCTGACACGGCCACCGATGGGCGAGAGCTTGCCGGTCATCAGGCGCAGGAGAGTGGACTTGCCGACACCGTTGGGGCCGACAAGGGCAGTTCGGGAGTCCATGTCGACACCAAAGTCGAGGTGCTCGTAGAGAGTATCCGCCCACTCACCAGAGTAAGAGAAGGAAACGTCATCGAAGGAAAGGACGGGAGGGGGGAGCTTCTCAACATCGGCAAAGCGGAAGCTGAAAACGCGGTCGGGGATGACAGGCTGGATGAAGCCGTCGGCCTCCATCTTGTCGAGGATCTTCTGACGGGACTTGGCCTGACGCACCAAGTTGGCGTAGGTACCAGCAGAGGCGATGAACTTCTTGATGTGAGCAATTTCTTCCTGCTGCTTGTGGTACGCCTTCATCTGGTTGGTCTCTTGTTCGGCACGGGTCTTGTGGTACGAGTCGTAGTTACCACCGTAGTAGAGGAGCTGCTTCATGCGCATGTCGAGCATGTTTGTGCAGACACCGTTGAGGAAATCCTGAGAGTGAGAAACCAGGACAAGAGTACGTTCCCACTTCTTGAGGTATTCTTCCAGCCACACGCACGCCTCGAGATCCAAGTGAGCAGTGGGGTCGTCGAGCAGCAGCAGCGAGGGCTTGACGAACAGAGCCTTGGCGAGGGCGACACGCATACGCCAACCACCCGACATGTCCTTGGTCTTCTTGTGAATTGTCGTCTTGTTGAAACCGAGACCGGTCAAAATGAGAGAGGCACGGGTGTGGAAGGTGGAGGGGTCCATTTTGTCCATACGCTGGTCATATTAGCGACGTTTACAACAGAGAAGAAAAGGGAACGTACATCGTACAGATCCTCGAGAATCGGGCTGTCGGGGCCCTCCTGCTCCAGAATCTCCTCAGCCTGCTTCTCCATACGGTCAAGCTGGTTCTGAGCCTCAGTAACAACCCACTCGAGCGCACCGAGGTCGCTAGGAGGGGCACCCTCGTTGAGAAGGTAGATATCAATGTGCTCGGGGATGGGGAACTCGCGGGCATCGATGGCTTTGAGCAGCGTAGACTTTCCGCAACCGTTCTCGCCGAGCAGACCGTAGCGGCGACCGAAGTTGAGTTCGAGGGTGGAGTCGGTGATGAGGACCTTGCCGTGGAACACGAGCGAGGCGGAGGTGATCTTGACGTCGCGAGACGAGGCCATCGACGAGAGCACACCGGTGGTGACACGATCCGACAGGCCGTGCTTGTCCATCTGTGCTGTGAGCTTCTCGACCTGCTTCATCTTGGCGTCGGTGGTGGCAGGCTGGTCCTCGCCAACGTCAGAGTCGACGGGGGTGTCGTTTTTTGACGACTTGCCGGCCTTCTTCTTGCCTTCGCCATCGGCGGCGCGCTTGGCCATACGGGCGGCTTTGGAGGCGGACACCATTTTGTCTGAGGGGTGTGATGGGGTGGGATAGAGCGAGGGAGAGGAGGGGAGAGGTGTGAAGGCGAGGTGAAGGAGGGAAAAAATGAGAGGTGGACCAGGAATTAAAAATAGCGGGGGCGAGCCTTCCTGTTGCTGAGGTGGGGGAGGAGTCGAACAAGCCCTTATCGATAGATGAAAACAATGCAGACTCGACGCAGCCAGAAGAATGAAAATAGCTGCAAGGAGATAGGAGGCCAGAGATACTTAAATGAACAAGTACCAGGCAGGCAACAGACGAGGATGAGGGGCGATAAGAGCAGAATCAGAGATTGCACTGATTGTGCTTGTGCTTTTGAGCCTGAAAGACGCGGCAAAAATTCCTTCGGCGGTGGAGCGCCAAGTCACGCTTTCATTGGTGCCTCTACGTCATTCGAGGGCCGGGCGTGGCGGGGCTTGGCCCGATTGGGCATTAACCGTCACGTGATAGTAAAGATCCTCAGGCCTGACTAATCTCTGCCATGCGATTGACCATTCAGGCACAAACATTGAAAGGTATTTTGTTGATATTGAATATGGCTAATATGTACAATTCCATATGCAAGGATCGAAACTACTCCTGCATCCGCTCACATATCCTCTCTAGAACCTCCCTCTCATCCGCATCTACCCAAAGGTTATCCGGGACCATGACCCTGCCATCTCGAATGACGAGCTGCATCGGTTCGGAGTAGCCAGAGACAGACGATCCCGAGTCACTCTCCTGCTTCTTCTCATGCACACTTTCAATATCATGCGGGTGCGGCTTCGCATTCTTTCCCAGCGGAACCGGCGTCCACCAGTAGATTGGGAACCGACGCTGGATGTTGTTCAGCAGGAGCGCCGTCGTCAACATCAGAGAACACCCGAGGAGCATGATGGGGATCAGCCACCAGCCCACCTCGTGGAGTTCAGTCGCGGCGAGCAGAGCTGTTGCGCCGGCGGGTGGGTGGACTGTGTTTGTGAGGACCATGAGCATTGTTGTTATGGCACATGAGAGGGCTCCAGCAATCTCGGGTTTGGCTTGAGCGCTGGGGTTCAGTGCGAAGAGCTTTGCTATACACACGCCGATGGTGCTTGCGATGAGCTGGCTGAAGAATGCGTTGCGCGGTTGAGCGAATGGTGACTCGATGGCGCAGAACTCGAGGACTGCGGCGGCGCCCTGGTCACGACGTTAGTAAGTAGGCACAAGAATCCAAGGGTGTGTGGTACGTACAAAACTGCCAACAATGATAGGCGCATGGTGGTTTCGGAACTCAGGTATGTGCAGTGAAACCTCGGAGATTAGGAGCACGCCGCAAAAGGCTCCAATGAGAGACCAGTACGCGATGACGAGATTCCCAACTGTCTTTGGTTGCTCATCGCCTCTATACCCGAAGAAATGAGAAACAGGGCGAGGCAAATGGTGCCATGGTGGACGGGGGAGAAATCGGTTCAGCTTCGCATCGATGTCAAAGTGCCAGCGGCTAAAGTCGATACTGTGTCGGCGGTGTTGATGCAAGGAGGGCCGCGAGGAATGTTGCGAGGCGCGGCGGTTCCCTGACATGCTGCCACACCTTATTTTGTCTCGGACTGCAGGTGTTGTGAATGGTATGGCGGCCGAGTTTGCTGCCTCGACGATAAAGGGTCGAAGCACAATAGAGCCTCAATTGTATATGACGATGAAGACTCGACACTCGAGACTTGCGAGGTAGGAAAACCGCAGTGAACGAAACAGCCGCCAAGTGCTATCCACCGGGGAAGCAAGCGAGAAGAACAGCTAGAGTGTCTGCCTAGGTCCCTGAGCGCGGACAACAGAGTCGATATATACCACGAAACACCGAGCAAGCCAAGCAAATTACCCCAGAAACAAGTGGCTAGGACAGCGGAGCAAGTCTGTGTGTGTCTGCAAGCGTAACCTCAGGCGTATATCACGTCTTCCACTGGATCACCAGGCCAGAGACGACGAGCGAAACGGACTCATTTTGAAGCCTGACAAGAGGGACAGCAATAACCGTCGTAACCGCATCTCCGCGGACCCAAGCCTTTTCTTATAGTAGATTTGCACAGGCCCGTGTGAGGAGAAACCTGGGAGTTACGAAACCGATCCTGGCAGTGCGCAAGAGTGCTGAGTTGCGGTGGTCAGTCTGGCTCTTCCAGTCACATAGTTTGGGTTGAGTAACAGAAATTCCGGGGGCGGCTTAGCGCGTAATTAGCCTGGCTGGGCTGGGGATCGCCGTACGTAATGTTACGATGAGGTCATGCTTGGTATTTTTGGTCATCACTGCACAGACTCTATCGAAAGGACGGTGAGGCCCTGTATGGTGATGTGTCTTGATTACCGCTTACGATATTTTACTCAGTGTCGGTAAGCATTGCGAGTGGAGTCCATTACATGCATGTTTATTCACCTATTTATGTGGCCTCGACGTGGTCGGGTAGGACGGGATACCCCGACCCAACACCGAGTGTATCCCGATACGAACGGGCGTGCGGAGGTGGCAGAGGTGCGGAGAAGGTAGCCATGGCGATCAGAAAATTAGAAATCCAGCGTCTTGCCCTGCTTGGAGGACTCCTGCGCCAACTCGATCAGACGGATAACCTCTGCTGCCTCCGCACCGCTGGCAGGGAGCTCTCCCTCGCCGGATAGAGCGCGGGCCATCTTTCTATAGTATTCAGACCACGTTGGCGGTTCAACTGTGGGAGTAACCTCGCGGACGGGCTTGCCGTCTTTAATAGTTGTGAGGGTGCCTGGAGAAATTGTTTAGCGAGTGAGGGGAAGAAAACCGTGCGGGGTACATACCATATCGCTCCTGTGGCTCGCGGCCATAGCCACTGTCACTGGGCCGCACACCAGCCTTGAGCTGATCTTCCTGGCAGTCGAGGTGGAACTGACTCATCAGTACTCTTTCACCAGGAACGGAACGACACATAACAAACCTTCTTGAAAGTGCCCTTTTCACCCCTAACCCAGAATCGTAGCTGCTCCTCCTCGACACTCACAACACCAGCCTTGGCCGTAACCAGCGGCCCATTCTTATAGTGCAGGAGCACCGTAAACGAATCCTCGTATCCAGATGTATTGACTTCACGCTGTGACCCCACGAATCCTGTCACACGGTCCGGCTTGCCGAGAAGATACACGGCCTGGTCGAGCAAGTGGGAGCCGAGATCGTGAATCGCGCTTCCGCCGGGGACAACCTTGTTCTTCCACTTTGAGACGGAGGGGGCAGGCTCTTGCGGGCGGTGGCGGTCAAAGTGTGTTTCGAATTCGACGACGCGGCCGAGAGCGCCGGTTTTGACGAGTTTGCTGAGGGTGACAAAGTCGGCGTCCCAGCGGCGGTCTGTAATTGTATGTCAGGGCTTGCGCTGTGGTTGTGTTGTGATTGAGGAATTGGGATCCATTCTTACTCTGGTAAACGGCAAGATCCTTGTTCGCCTTCTTTGCGATTGCGACCAGCTCCTCGGCCTCCTTGTATGTGGGTGTAAATGGCTTCTCGCAGACAACTGCCTATTGTCAGCACAAATTCTCAATTGGCGCCTCTATTTTTGGAGAAAGGCCTACCATGCTTCCCAGCCTCAAGCGCAAGCTTGGCCAGGTAGAAATGTGAATCCGGCGCGGTGGTGATGATGACTACGTCGACCCCCGCATCCTGAACAAGCTCTTCGGCGCTGCGGTAGGACTTGATTCCAGGGTGGTCCTTCTCGGCGTCGTCATCGGGCTTCGGAGTTCGCTGAACGACAGCGTACAGTTTGAATTGCGCGACGTCCTGGATGAAGGGAATGTGGAAAGTTTTGGCACTGAAGCCGTAGCCGACGACACCAACGTTGAAAGTTTTGGAGGACATGACGTGGGGTATGGCGTGGGAGGGGTAGTGAGGGGTAACACGGAGAGATGAAAGGGAGAAGAGAATGGGGAGTGAAAGTATTTAATGGAGGAACAGGACAGGGTCCAAATATATGTATTCAGACAGACGACGTCTATTCAAGAATATATTTCTAATCAAGCCCAGGGGGTAGAAAGCAGCTGGTGTGGGGGAAGGTCCTGGCGACGGCAACTCTGGCTCGGGCGGGGCACCCAGCGGTTTCTGATTTCCGACCGGCCACTCCTGCCTTTCCGAATCTTCTAGACTGCAACTTTCTCTCCTCATGCCTCTTGGATTCCAACACACCGCGTCACCTCAATTGCATCCTGTTCGCTTATTAGCTTCTGATACTCCACATATCCCGTGAAGACGGAACGGGGAGGGAACTCACCCGACACCCCTCGGGCTGCCTAAACACGCTCTCATACACCAAATTCGGGTTCCCGAGAATCTCAAACTCCGGCACGCTGTTACTGCCCATGTAAGATTGCACTGTGCGCTCCGCAAACCCCTCGGTCGTGTATGACTTGACGGGGCCCTTCTTGGCCGCCTCCCGCTTCTGCTCGACTGAACTCCGCACGTATTCCAGGTACGGCGGGTTGCCGGGATAGATCACATTATCGGCTGCGATGACCGAGACATTCGGGACGATGAGGCCGAGCTGTTCGCACAGCTTCAGATCCGTTGTGTATGCGGGCTTGTAGTGGTCGATGAAGATGAGCTCGATGTGCTTGACTGCACCAGTCTCGTGCAACTGATTCAACAGCACGTCGCTCCGCCCGACGAGGATGGTTACGAAATCAGCCAGGCCGGCTAACTCGAGGAGCTGAGTTGCAATAGCTGCGAACTCAGGGTTCAGCTCGAGACTATAGTACTTTTTCCCGCCGGCGCGGCGCACAGCGTCTCCGAAGAGAATGGCCGAGTAGCCGACGTAGCAACCGAGCTCAATCATAATCTGCGGCTTGTGCGTGTCGATGAGTTCAAGGACGATCGGGCCCTTCTCGTCGCCGACAGTCATGAAGTGCGTCGTCTGGGTGTATTCATCGATGAGGTCGACTATGCGCTTGGGGTTGTTGCGGAGGTTGTCGATGTCCGGGTGGTTTGTGATGTAGCTGAGGAGCTTCTGCTCTTTGGTTTCGGAGGAGTCTGACATTTTGACGGTTGAGTTTATCGTATTGCGCTTGAGAGGCGTTCTTATGGGCTTGTCGACGCTGACAAGGCGCGACTCGAAGTATTTATATCATTGTCTGGTTGCACCAGTCAGCCGCACAGAAGCTCGGTAACAGCATCTGCCTTCTCATGACGCTATCTCCGCCTCTTCTCCCTTGCATGACCATTACCTAAAGTCCGGATCCTCCGGCGATGCTGGATACGTGGGGTGGGGTGCAGGGTGGCGCGGTCTCCAGCTCCCAATCAAGTACATATCCCCGAGCCTCGGACTTAGCGGGGTCGCAAACTAGACGCAAGGGCCGAGGATGGTCGAGATCAACATTAGCGATGACTCAGGGTGCGGGGCGTGAGTCACAATCCTGCAACTCGATGCGACAGATTTCAGGGATATCGGTCGTCGATACTCCGGGGATGACTCGTATTCGCTCCATGGAAGTGCAAGGAGTTAGCTGCTGGATACGAATAAACATGAACCTGACACGAGCGCCGCGCCCAGAAGAGCAAACAACCAGGCAATACAACGATGCGCCAACGTGTAACTTGGTTATTTCAAAGCGTCCGAGGAAGTATGGTACTGAGCTTAGCCTGTACGTAGTTCCACAACAGGATTCCGATCCATTGGATCTGATAAGATTATCATGTGGATCTATATATATCTCGTTGAGCCTGGCCTCTTAGGTGATTTGGAGCAGTGCGTGCGAGTACCAAGAGCGCATCTATACTTCATAAGTAGGCTAATATTCGACTCACGAAAGAAGAGCATTTCGCCACTACTACACGCATCGAAAGGACAGAAATTGAATAACTGCTTATTCAGGAGCGAGGCCGCGTCACTCTGAGACAGAACCGGAACAGTGGTAGGGCTGGCCTAGTGCTCACTGTATAGATACTTGTTACTCAACACTGTAGGCATAAGTACATACATATCGCAAGAATAATAAAAAGACGATCTTAATTAATGGGATTAATGCGTACCTTCCCGATATGTTGTCATTTGGAAGTAGAAGGAAAAAAAATGTATCGCCAAAGGCAGGTACGACCGGGCACCGGCGGCGAGGTCGATCGCTCTTTCCTTCCTTGTCAAGCAATCCAACGAGGCGAATGAAGAAGGTGCGGATCCCCCGTCTGGAAGTGCACCTGACTCGTATAGGGAAAATCGATTGCAGAAGGCGCCATCCGTAAAGTTATCATATTGGAAGGTACAATGGTCAAACTTGGAAGACTCAACCATAGGGCGAAGTCGCACGCGTCCTTGGGGAAGGTTACTCGGCCATATGGATTTTTGAGGACGGCCAGGACGAACCTGCCCGTATCCTGTCTAGCCGATCTACTATTTTAAGGAAATTGGATAGGAGTACGATACTGCCTTTGCTAGCTCCGTGTGATGGCCATCGCGTAAGATACGAACTCGCCCGTACAGTCGCAGGAGGATAGGATGATTTCCACGCACTTTCTTGGGATAATTGAATGTCAAGGGTCAAAGCGCCGTCTGATTGGCATGGCCCCTAGGTAGCGTTATCAGGGCTGGCGTGTGCTGTGCGGGGTGTTGCTTAGCGCCATCGGCTATACAGCTACAGATATGACGCCTCCGCAGTTTCCATCCGTTATGCTCCCAGCCTCGACCACCATGTCATCTAGCCACGCGTGTTCTCGCTGTGCTCATACAGTAAGACAAGGTTTCAACCGAGCTAGTCTAGCCCAGACTAATAGCCCTAGAAACAACGTTGTGATGGCAATATCCCATGCTCCCGCTGTGCCCGTAAGTATTTTACTTCTTCGCGCATTGCAGTGCTCATAAGCTCTTTTAGGCCTGGGCCATACCTGCGAGCCACAAGCCCCTGGAAGACAAGGCTTGGATACAGGAGCGCTAGTATCACGCCGACCTCGGGCGTCGAGATCGCGTGGGGGATGTGTATCCTGCAAGACGCGGTAGGTGGCCTTTACAATCAGCGGTCTTTATTCCAGATATACTGATATAAAGCTAGCAAGAAGAAATGCGACGAACTGCGTCCGCAATGTAGCGACTGCCGTCGCCTGGATCTACCCTGTCGCTGGAAATCGCCATCCCCGCGCCCAGCCTCCCCACGTCTGCGGGGGTCTCGGTCTCCACCATATCTCGACGTCGACGCCGCCTTCTCGCCTTCAGCTGTGTCGTTTGATGGATCTGCGAGTGCATTCTTTGATGAGCACGGCTTATCCATCACGACTCCCACTTCTTGGACGGAGAATATCATTCTAAGTCGTTTTGATCTAGCTCTGCGAGTATCAGCTAATTCCCATCTCCATACGGACGAGGATCGCTCTTTGTTCAACCACTACCTACATATTGTCTCGCGCGCCCTATGTCGCTCCGAGCAAACAGACGAAAACCAGTTTCTGACAACGCTGCTTCCCATGGCGGCGGCATCGGATATGCTAACGAGCGTCATCCTGGTGCTAAGTGGGAGCCACTGGAGACGGGTTCATCCGCCCATCTGGAATCGTGCGCTGAAGCATCAAGGAAGGGGTAAGGGGCTCTACCATCTTGATTCTTTGCTAGACGAATGAGACACTAAGCTCTGTGCCCAGCATTGGCGCAAGTGAACCAGAGACTCGCTCGCGCAGACATAGCACAGGACCTCGAAACCTGCGCCACGGTACTTCTACTCTGTCTTACGGAGCTATTCGACGGGACGTCCAAGGCGTGGAAGTGGCACCTGAAAGCAGCGAGCGCTCTGCTTCAATCGCCAGGAATGCAGACGCTTGATATGACGCCGGAAGGAGCATTTTGCCTGCAACTGTTTCACTATCTCGATTCCATGTCGACCATCTCACGATGCAGGCCTCCTCTCCTTCACAAGGACTGCAGTCTTTCAGACATGACCAGCTCTGCCTTTGCCACGGCTTTAGCGGCCTCTACCAGCACCTCGGCGCTGGAAAGCTCTATCTCGGGCGTAACCCCCGCCCTACTGGACTTGATTGGCTTGGTCAACCTCCTCGCCTCGCACCGAGGGGCGCGTGTCGACGAGCTCTCCGACCTCGGCTTCCGCACCGCCGCTGCTCGCGTTAAAGCGCTGCTCGATACATGGCGAGGGGAGTATGAGAAAACCGAGGTGTCTACCTCGTTTATCAAGCGCGACACATACCACGCATCAACAGCCTTTGAATGCGCGATCCGCCTGCGCCTCCACCAGATTGTCGAGGGCTACGATCCCGACCACGCAGACGTGACTAGCGCGGTCGAGCAGATCAAGAAGGCTGCACTAGCTATACCGTACGGTTCTCCCGTTGAAGGCAGTCTACTCTTCCCACTCGTGATTGCCGGCGCGAGTAGTCGCGACGTCGAGTGGCGCATGGTGGCCAAGGAGAGACTGATGGTGATGGAGAACACGCTGGGGTTCGGACATGTGCGGCGCGCGCGACAGTTGCTCGAGACCGTGTGGGGGCAGGAGAGGGAGTGGAATTGGGCGGCTGTGCGGTATACGCAGTTTCCGGGGATTGTTTTTGTCTAGACCATTTTGATTTCTTCTTTGAATGGACACAGCTATACTCGACTACATATTTACACTCTTACTCTTACACCTGATGGACAGAAGAGAAAGACGTGAAAACAGTAGTAGCTATCCGGATATTCTACACCCCGCCCGCTAACAACTCGCGTAAATGGCCCTGCATATCATACCCGCAAACCTCCTCAATCGTCAACTTGCCGGGGCGATCGGTCTTGGACGACCATCCAATGCGCTCATTAAGATCTTCTCTCGCGCGGAAACTCGCCTCCTGTACGCGGGTTGCCCGTGGCTTGCGCAGCCTTTCGTATAGCTTCAGACCAGTCTCGACTGTATACTCCTCGCGGAACCCCCGGTGGAATATCAGACCCAGCGCACCGGCATCCTCAAACGCCATGCACGACCCTTGCGATTGATCGGGCATCATCGGGTGCGCGGCGTCGCCGAGGAGGCAGACGAGGCCTCTTGTCCAGTAGGGATAGGGGTCGTGCCGGTATACTGCGTAGCATAGCATAGACTGATCAGCACAATAGACCAGGTACTGCTAGAAAAGGGGGAAGTAAAAACATACACCTCCACATCTTGACATCCTCGGCGTCGGCGAAAAGAGCCCGCATCCTCGGATCCAGATCCGGAAACGTGTCGAGGAGCTGTTCCGGGCTCGCCGCGATGTTCCACCCATCCTCGCGCAGATTATTATATTCCGACGGGTAGAAGCAGTAGCAACTTACCACGTCGCCGCTACTGCACGGGCTCATGACGATCTTGTTGATCCCGAACCCGCCCCAGTACTCGATTGCCTCGTTGTCGATGTAGTCGTCGAGTCCCAGGGCGCGCAGTTTCGAGGCCGAGATGATGCACCGGTAGCAGCAGGATGTGGACAGGGTGTAGTTGGGGGTGATGCCGAGTTGCAGGCGGGTGAGCGAGCGGATGCCGTCGGCTGCGACGACGAGGTCGGCGGTGGTGCTGTGCCCGTTTTCAAAGGTTATTGTGCCGGCTTCGGGGTTGATGGCGATTGCCTTGTGGCTTACTTTGAGGATGCAGGGTGGACCGTCTCCGTGCTCTTCAAAGGCGGATTTGCGGAGTTGGGCGTGGATGTCGATGCGGTGGAAGTTGTTATATTCCTTTCTTTGCTCAGCTGTGCGTAGGGCTGTCGATGATACTATAGAGGTCCACGTACAGTGCCAAATCTCGCCCTATAGTCACCAAGCGGATACTCATTCTGCGTCTTGCCAGTCGCCCAGTCGTGCATGATGAGTTTGCGCAGAATCACCTAGCCACCTTGTTAGCCGGAAGCTCATGCGAACTACTCGGTGAGGAATATGCACCGGCTTAGCAGCCTGGATATCAACCCCCCACCTCTCCAGAAGCTTCGACCCATTCGGCGCAGCGCTCAGCGACGCACCAACCTCACCCGCAAAATCGTACCGCTCGTACACGGTGACGTTGTGATGCTCTCGACGCAGCGCCACGGCCGCAGCGAGCCCGCCGAGGCCGGCGCCGATAATAGCGACGTCTAGGGGGTGGTTTGTTGCAGAGGGCATTGTTGCTTGCTGCGGTGATCGGTGACCATTGTCGTGTATGGTCCAGGCGAGGCGTTGACTGTATAAATACGGATGTCTTTGGCATCCTATGTCGACAACCAACTAGCCAAGTCAGAATATGCATTCAGAGACGTATCTTTGGCTCTTGGCTTTGATGCGACGGAGCAAGTCTGATTGGCCGCTATGATATCGCAGTTGGAGTACATTGAGAGTTTACCAAGACGCGGTAGTGCGGAGAAGCGTTATCTATGCGACGGAGATAAGCCCCGGCAGACGAGACGATAACGACAAAAGGAGCCTTTATATGCATCAAGCGATGTGCAGTTTCCGGACAGGTTGACGGTCAAGACAAACATGGACACGGACATGGACACCAAAGACGAAAAGCGCACCTCGATCGACTATGACTGTACCGTCGGCGAGATGGAGTCGGACCGCGCCCTCTTGCGACGGATCGACTGGCGGATCCTGCCCATCATGTTCCTCACGTACTTTCTCCAATTCCTGGATAAGGTGTCGCTGAATGTGGATTCGCCCTCTGCGGTCTATCAAAGTGTCGCTTCGCTGACAGCTGCCCTAGTATGCCAACATCATGGGTCTACAGAAAGACCTGGCCATGGCAGGGAATGACTTTTCCTGGCTGGCCACCGCGTTCTATATCGCGTATGCTGTCGCGGAGGTCCCTCAGGGTGCGAGTCCCTTGTTGACTATTCAATATACCCAGACTAACGAGATAGGAATTCTCCTGCAAAAATACCCCGTAACCAAGGTCCTCGGATTCAACGTGCTGGTCTGGGGAATCCTCCTCTGCTGCTCGGCAGCAGCCCAAAACTATGCGGGGATCATGGCTCTCCGAACAATACTCGGGATCATGGAGGCTGTTATTGGTATCTCCCATCTCCGTTCTCTCCCCTCTTTGTTCCGTTCACTTGAATAACCAGCCAACAGCCCCCTCTCTGACCCTCTACACAAGCATGTGGTACACCCGCGCCGAATCCACCCCGCGCTTCGGCCTATGGTACTGCGGCCTGGGCGTGGGCCAGATAGTGGGTGGGCTCATCTCCTTTGGCGCGCAGCACGCGCCGGCAAACGGGTGGCGGATCATGTTTGGCGTCATTGGCGCCGTGAATCTCATCGTTGCGGTCCTCGTGCTCTTGATTCTCCCCGAAACACCCGACAAGGCAACGTTTCTCTCCCCCACCGACAAAGCGCGGATCCGAGCACGCCTCGAGGCGGATTCCGCCGGGGTTGGCGACAAGGTCTTTTGCTGGAATGCCCTCGTCGAGGTCTTTGGGGATCTGCAGACGTGGTTGCTTATTCTGTTGACGCTCCTGATAACGATCCCCAGTGGAGTGATTACGACGTTTTCGTCGATTCTCATCCAGGGGTTCGGGTATGGATCCAAGGAGAGCGCGCTGCTGAATATGCCGTCTGGGATTGTGAGTATTGTGTCGACGATGGTCTCGAGTTATGGGATTGAAAAGGGGTACTCGCGGTGGTTGACTATTGACATTCTTCTGATTCCGACGCTTCTGGGATCGTGCCTGATGAGCTTCCTGCCAACAAGCAATCAAGTGGGGTGCCTTGCGGGTATATACCTGGTGAATACGGTACGTTGTATCCTTGTCGCAGGTACCAGAATTCCTACTAAGCAATGGGGTAGACGGTCGCCCCACTAGCCCTAATCTTCGCGTGGACCGGCGCAAACTACAAGGGCTACACGATGAAAGTCGCCGGATCAACCCTCATCTCTGCCGCATTCAGCATTGCGAATATCATCGGACCGCAGACATTTCAGGCGAGGGATGCGCCGGGGTAAGTTCACCGTTTCCCTCCTCCACCACGAACCAGCCAGCCAGCCTTCGTTCTATGATAGCGAGGGAGAACTTAATTTTTTTGAATCTAGGTATACACCCGCAAAAATCACTCTCGTAGCCGTCAACGCCGCGGCGATCATCGTGTCGACTGCGCTGCGTGTACTCTATGGAAGACGAAACGCCAGAGCAGGTCGCGTTGGTGGTCCGGCGCGGAGCAGGATGGAGATTCGCCTTGCGGATAAGCGACGGGGTGAGGAGGGTGAGGCGGGGGAGGTCTCGACGTTTCGATATGTCTATTAGTTTCATGGCTTTTGGAGTTGATGGACGGAGTAGCTACAGGGTAGTATGGATGATGATATCTACGCGACGGCCCCACATTCATGGCACGGCAGTGACAGTATCCGTGCCTGCGTACCTGCCTACCTGCCTACTCAGAGTGCGCGTAGCGCTCTGGTGAAAATAGAAAACTTGAATAATAAACCACTTTTCCTGCAGTCCGGTGTAGCACAACCCACAGAGCAGTCCAACCTTTTCACCTCGATCCCCAAAATGCTCATCCTCATCACCGGCGCCAACGGCTTCATAGCCACGCACTGCATCGCCCTCCTCCTCTCCACGACCCGCCACTGCATCCGGGCAACCGTCCGCTCCAGCGGCAAGGCAACTGCAACCATATCCGCCCTCCACGCCGCAGGCATCCCATCTACGGCCACAGAGCCCCGCCTGCAATTAGTCGTAGTCCCGGACCCAACGGACGCAGCGCAGTTCACCCCCGCGGTCAAGGACTGCGACGCGGTTCTGCACTTGGCATCTGCATTCACCTACGATGCGGAGCCAGGGGAGTTTGAGGAGAAATTGCTTATCCCTGCTGTCCGTGGAACGGAGACGGTTTGCGCTGCGGCTGCAAAGGAGGCGAGTGTGAAGAGAGTCGTTGTCATGTCGAGTTTCGCGGCGGTTTATGATGCGGCAAAGGGGTTGCAGCCGGGGAGGGTCTATACTGAGGAGGATTGGAGTCCGCTTAGTTATGAGGAGGGGAGGGATGCGAAGAATGTGGTGAGTATCTATTTTGTTTCCTCCCCCCCCCCCCCCAAATACATCTGAGTAGCTCTGATGTTTTTTGGAGTCCGCCTGGGTTTATATACTAATACCGTGGGTGTATTTTTCATTTCAGGCCATTGCATACCGCGCGTCAAAAGTCGTCGCTGAGCGTGCGGCATGGGATTTCATCGCCACGCACAATGTCGGGTATACACTCGTCACTCTATGTCCGGGGATGGTCTTTGGACGGATGATCCACCCAATCGACTCCCTGAACTCTCTCAACGCGAGTAACCAGATCGTCTGGGACGTGTTGAAGGCCAATGAGATCCCGCCTACAAAAGCGCCCGGTACGTTCACTTCTCCTTGCAGTCCTTCCTTCGCAGTTTTCCTCGAGGGAACCAGAATTAACAAAGTGTCTGTCTAGTCTGGATCGACGTCGAAGACCTCGCCCTCGTCTCGCTACGTGCACTCACAACCTCGCTGTCTGGCCACGAGCGGTTCCTCGTGACAGAGGGGCCGTACGACACGCAGGAGATTGCGGATGTTGTTCGGGAGAGTTTTCTAGAGTACCGGGACAGGGTTCCCGTGGGTAATCCAGGGCAGAGGATGCGGGATACGCATTATGGGTGTGATTCGAGCAAGGTGACGAGGGTTCTCGACGTGGAGTTTCGGAATCTGAGGGAAAGCATTGTTCCATTGTCGAGGCAGCTGTTTGAGATGGAGAGGGTTGGCGCAAATCAGTAGGATGGTTAACATAGTTTTGAATTTTGCTATGGTGGATGTAGCTAGAGTGAAGCTACAGCCTAATCAATCATCATGCAACGCAGCCCGGATATGCTTGGCCGTCAAATCAATAAACTCCTTTGCCTGCCACAGATCTATCGAGCCAGTCAGCACACTCACATCACGCTCACTGGAGAGGGACAATCCAACATACCCTTATCCATATGCATAAACGGATGCGGCACACCTTCAAACCTCTTCATCACAACCTCGCCCCCGGCCTCGACAAGCTTCCTCGCATACGCCTCCCCCTCATCCCTCAACGGATCACACCCCGCCGTATAAAGCACCGTCTTCGGCAGTCCCCTGTAATCCCCCGCAGAGAGGAGATCCCTCCACCACCCAATCTCCTCCACCTGCCTTCTTCGCACCTCCGGATCCCCCGATAACGATTGCCACTTTAGCGTATCAAACCACTTCAATCGCGCCCAGTTCAGGGTCGGCGCATGCTCCATCTCCCGCATCGAAGGGAACGGCGAGTCAGCCGCGCTCCCGTACCGTGAAATGTCGTCGATAACGGGCGTTCCCACGGCCGCGAGGCGGATCGGGATGGGCGGGGTCCTGTCCCGTGCAAGATGGCAGCAGACGAGCGCAATGTTGCCGCCGGCCGAAACGCCGCCGATGGAGATGCGCGCCGGGTCGATGTTGAATCTCTCGCTGCCGGAGGTGGAGATGTCCACGAGGGCCGCGAACGAGTCTTGGATTCCAATTGGGAAGGCGTGTTCGGGGACGAGGCGGTAGGCGATGTCGATTACGGCGCAGCGCGCCTTGACGCAGATGTGTGCGCAGATGTGTGATTCCGTGTCGAGGTCGCCGAGGCCCCAGCCTGAGATCTTGTAAGTCTTTTCTCGGCCATGGATGGAACGGGTTTACGTACCACCTCCGTGAAAGTCAACATGCACAGGCCAGGGCCCCGGGGTATCCGGTTCATACACGCGACACGGAATGAGGTCACCGTTGTGTCCTGTGACGGTAGAATCGTAGACGCGCGCTGGTTTCGGCGTGGGGCCTGTCCCGTATGAATACAGCACAGAGTACTTTGATCGGAGGATTGCGAGGTCAATTGGTTTGTTGGGTGTATTGGCAACGTGCGTGTTGTAGAGGTCGACAAAGACGGGGTCGAGGTGGGGGAGGACGGAGGGGTGGATGGGGTTTAGAGATTCGTGGGCCATTGTGTTTGCTTTGCTTTTTGTGTTGTGTTGATGATTAGTTTTACGGGCAGTGTGATAGGTACCGATCTGGGTATAAATAACAAGGCCACAATCGGGGTAGAGATACGGATCGTCGACAAATGGTTATCTATGCGACGGACCGACGGAGCGTATCAGATCTGGTGCGGGGTAGGCCGCGGTTGACAATGTATATCAGCTCCCCTCACGCTGCCACTGGCTGATCCCGGATGATGCTACTACAGAGAGCAAAATGCACGATCCGGTCCTCATCGTTGGCGCAGGCATAGTCGGCCTTGCTCTCGGGCAAGCTCTGAAGAGGGTATGGTTACCCCCGATTGATTTACTGTATGTATAACGTCTTATCTGCAAAAACTCACATCCTACAGCGCAACATTCCCTTCGAGATCTACGAACGAGATGCTCACCCCGATAGTCGCGGGCAGGGCTGGGCAATAACCCTGCACTGGGCGCTCCAATACATCCAAGCCCTCCTCCCCGCGGAAACCCTCCAACGAATCCAGGATGCCCAGGTCGATCCCGCAGTAGCACAGAACGACAATGGGAACTTCCTCTTTATTAACCTCGCGACGGGGGAACCGAAATTCAAGATCCCGCCGTCGGTGCGCTGGCGCGTAAATCGGGACAAGATGCGCAGGGCGCTTCTTGTAGGGATTGAGGAGCAGGTTCATTGGGGGAAACGGGTTGACGGGATTGATGTTCGGGAAAATGGGGTAAGGCTAATCTTTGATGATGAAGATAAGGGGGAGACAGAGGGACAAAATGAGTCTGCCACCGGAAAACTGGTCGTAGGCATTGAAGGGAGCAGATCAACCGTCCGTCGCTTCCTCCGCCCAGACGCATACCGAAACAAACAGCTCCCCGTCCGCTTCACCGGCGTCGCAGTCGATCTAACCCCCGAGGAAGCCGCACCCCTGCGGGCCATGGACCCCTTACTCTTCCAGGGTTGCCACCCGTCAACAGGCGTCTTCTTCTGGTTCTCGATCCTCGAGACGCCCGCCACGCATCCCAGCGGGGTGTACCGCGTGCAGATCAACATGTCGTGGCGGGTCGAGTCCGCGGAGGATGAGGTTGCTCAAACGGACAAAGGTAGGCTGGAAAACATGAAGAAGCGCGCGGTGGGCTTCGCGCCGTTCTTATTTGACGCCGTGCAGCGCATCCCGGAGGGGACGCCGGTGCTGGAAATCACCCTGGCGGACTGGGAGTGTCTGCCGTGGGACAATCGTGGTGGGAGGGTGACGCTGGCGGGGGATGCAGCGCATGCGATGGTGATGTGTAAAACTGCCCCGTTCATATTCCACTTCTCGACGGACCTCCATAAACTGATACGATGCTAGACCGCGGCGAAGCAGCCAACCACGGGCTCCTCGATATCTTTCACCTCGCCGAAGCGCTCACTCACGTCTACGCTGGCGTCGACCTGCCGACGGCCATGGACGAGTATGAAAGCGAGATGCGCGCTCGCACTGCCCCTGCGGTACAGCTTAGTCGGCAGGCGTGTATGGAAGCCCATGCGTGGGACCAGCTGAATGAGGGGTCGGCGATTCTGTCGAAGCGGAAGATTGGTACCCAGTAGATGTCGAATGAATGCATTTATTCATATGTCCGCTATGCTGATGCACCATCCTAGAGCTCGCTATGCCTAGTATCTATAAGCTTTCGCAAATTCTTGATAGCGTATATGGCGAGCACCATGTGCCTAGCAATTTCACTGCCTCCTGGCCCATGGAACCAGAGAGCGGGGACTCACAGCCATCTCGAACGTTTTATAGTAGTGATGCTTGTCAGATACTTCACCGCAAGTTCAAAGGTTGAAAGAATACCTGGAGGTCTGTTCATGGTCTTCTGATCTTATATGTCCACCCCTCTACCGAATATGTCAGCAAAAAGCAATGTCACGCTGCTTGTGCATCGCCGCTGGGCGAGTTCCAGGTAGCCTGTCAGCAGGGGTCGTTGAGCCAGTTGAAGGAATAACGAAGAGATTATATTCATCTGAATTGCTTCCGTATCGGTAGTTATGACTAGGAGGATGCTTGTCGCTGAGGAGGCCTCCTGAACATTATATGTTCTTATAGAAGTTGTTGGCACAAGCCTGAACTGGAAGCTGGCTGCATGAGGTTTTTAGCAGTCGTAGCACAGTTCCGCTGTGGCTTCTAGGCACAAGATTTCTTTTAAAGATTAAGCTTATTAATTTTATATGAAAGAGCTAGCTTCTTATAATAATAAAATTATATTAATATTACTTTTAAATAAGTTCTTTTTATTATACTTAATATTTCTTATTAATATATATACTATAATATTAGTAGTATTATAACTAGATACTATCTTTAATAATATTTAGAAACAACTAGGATGAGGTTACTGCATACGCAATGTAGCAAGAAAGATATTTCTCAACAGCCGGGTGAGATAATATCTCCCGGGACAAAGAACGTGTCATTAAAGTGATGACGTAGTGGATAGAGGCAAGACTGTCCGAGGCACAGTGTAAAATGTACCCCCGATTTAGTGGGGCTTATTCTTTACTAATTACAATTGCATGGCTATCAAGCATTGGGTGAGGCGACATTAAAAGCCTCCGACGGGGAGATCACTAATCAGTCATGGTAGTCGGAGGGTAAACAAGACCCCACCAAAGGCCTTCCACATCGATGGACCCGTGTGCTGTCCATCCCACGAGAGTAGCGCTTAAACCCTGCCAATAAGAATGCGCAGGACGACGAGATTGCACTGCAATTAAACACTCAATTGGTATGACTAGCCTTTGCGAAGCGAGCTTTGCGCCAAGAAACAATGCCATGAAGATCACCTCGCACGTCAACCCATCAAGGTAAATAAATGGGTATTTACACGACACACCCAGACTCTTTTATTCTTTTAGGGCCAGTAAACATCATCCAGTGCCTGATCTTGTGCGCATACAATTCCCAGTCGGTAAGTAGTGGACGGATCACCAAGCCCAGAGCGGTGCTTATAGACAAAGGATTACTTTAGATCTCCAGATGCAAGAGGTTGTCACTGTCACAGTCCTCTTCTGCGGAGATCGGCTACTTGTATTCAAGATACGGCCAAAGAAGGCTCCAACCAGCGACCCGCAACACATCACCGAACAACAGGATGAATGGATCATTGGGCCGCCTGTTGAGACCTGTCGAGCGGACGACTACGACCACCGAGACGCTGCCCGTAGAGCACTTGCGGGAGCTGGGATTCGGGACTTTGAATTTTTGGGCACATTCGATGAGTTTGGGGAGGAACTCACCAACGACAACTGCTCCTACGTTGTTTTTATCGCCGAGACTACGGCTGCAGTGAGGTTGGAAGATGGCTGGGGTTGGGTGACCCAGGATGAATTATGGGCATCCCGCTATTTTGTATTCTTGAGAGAATACAATCCTTTTGCAAAGTTCCGCGCCCTGGATTCCGCTTAGGTATAGGCTTTGCACATTTGTTTGAGAAACCTGGCACGTGTTTTTTTTTTTTTTTGGTTTATTCGCCCACTTGTATAATATGAAGAGGAATGGCTAAGCTACAGAGTGTTTGTATTAAGATAGCAGACTCTTCGTGTTTCACGAGCATAATACTGACTCCCGGTTAGCAGTTGATTTATTTATTTAACAGAGGAGAATTGGCAAAAAATGAAATAATCCTTGAAGATAACTATCAACATTAAATAACCTAGGAGTGGGCGCGGAGACAGAAGAAGTCATAAAATATACTATAGTACCAGAATACAAACCAGAAGAGGGGTGGAAACAGCTTAGATATCTTTTGATGCTGCTGGTGTTCTTGATCAGAAGGCCAGCCAACCGTGTCCCCCTGGACGGTCCTCGCAGTGGTCAGCCTGTGCGGTAGGCTTGCTCTGGGTTTCACCACGAGGATATATACCAGGGACGCCGTTCATAGTAATACTGCGCAGCTCAATTTGACCAAGATAAACGTTGAAATGCCGAACCGGGTAGGTACATTAACTTAATCAGGATTTGTTTCGAATACAGGGGGAGCGAGGAGTAGTCAAAAACCAACCAGCGGACTCGATCGGCGTTTGCGCGAGCTAGGCGATGCTGATTCAGGTCTTACCACGAGCAGCAGGCCATGAGACTCCGCGAGAGCAGGATATACGAGATCCGACGACACATCTTACTGAGTGCCACAAGTCCAATGTGGTAAAGCAGCTACTATCTATCCCCCCAGCTCCATCACACATTGCTCAACCTCCGCTCGGCGAAAGCCAGGAACACGCCCGAGACAAACGCAAGATGCGCTTAGTACTGATATACCGTCAATCTCTGAATCATGTTCACAGATCAGTTCGAAGAGACTTACATCTGATCAAGACGCTTTCGGCAACAATTTTACTCGTACTCGCGCGCAGGGGAATGTTTTCCAGGGATGTGGACTGATACAGGTTGCTCCATAGTGGTCTGCTCTGTATATTCCGAGATTCTGGATGCAATGGGAATTCAATCGCTTCGGGAGAGTCGCTGATGGGGATGATGCCTTTTTCTTTGAGATATCCTTCAACGTCATAACAGTCAAACCAGACATCGCCCGCTGCACGGTCAAGGCTCTGAGCAATGTCCACCAAACTTCGCTGCTGAGGGATGTGGGCCAAATAGTCCCTGCGGTAGTCCATGTAGTGTAGACCTGCCCCACCGATGCTAAAGAAGGGAATGGCCAGCTCCCATGGAGTCCCGCACCGAAGCCCATTTCGTATAATTGACTCAAAATGCATCGCCAATTGTTGTTGCGTCAGTATTGTCAGCGGAAAGCGAAACCTTTGGTGCGAAGGGACCGGATCGAAAGCCGGGTCGATCAAAGCTCTATACGCCAATTCAGCGCAGGCACGAGAGAGTCTCTCGGCAAATCCAACTCCCTCTGTATCGCTGATGGCTGTGTGATGGACATTCTGTAGTAGGAGCGGAGGGGCATTCCCTGTTTGCTTTGTTGGGTGAAGAGCTTCGGTGGTATATGACAAGAGCGGATCCGGTTCCTCGAGACCTTCCTCCTGTGGCACAGGCCTTGAAGGGTTCTTCGAGTCAGGTTTGATGCTCTCGCTGCATTTGCCCTTGTTGCCACGTTCAAGGAAAGTATAACCCGCATCACCGGTGGGCGGACTTATATCGCCATGTTCATCATCCACGACTGATATTGCCTGGTTGGTAAGAGCAAGGCTCGCTTTTAGGGATTGATGGAGCTTCTGCGTAACATTCGGGGCGGATTTCAAGACGTTGGATTTTATCAACTCATCGCTGAACGAGATGAATGTCGTGTTGATCTGCTCCACGATGATTTCCAATCGACGAACGCGACTATTTAGTGACATGACTGTGGCCTCCTTGCGGGCGCGGTAAGCTCGCTGTGCGAGTCTCATTTGCGTTTTGCGTCGCTCATGTTGTTTAGTACCGGGTACGTATCTCAAGGCTTCAGAAACGCCGACGTTTGGTGATTCCTCTTCCTCTGTCCGTATTCTTGGACGCCCTCTCCTCCTTCCTTGTCGATTCTTACCGGGCCAGCGGCCGTCTGTACCAGTTGTTTCTGATGAGTCGGCCTGAGGGTATGACGTCGTATCAAACCCTAGGTTCTCTTCAATGCCCACTTGCATGCCATCACCAAACGGCAAATCATTGAATATGTTGTTGAAGTTTTGCGCTGGGTACCCGGTCATCTTTTGAGAAAATGTACGCAGGCCGGGGCTGGAATTTTGGAAAGATTCGGCAACAGCAATAACTATACGTATGTGCAAGTGAATTTAGGCCCCGCGGAACACATGAGATGCGAAGAAACCTGCGGTCGTGGTAGTACCAGGGACTCATATGTATTGAAACGCGACGAGTAGCAGACGACAGGAGCAGCGTCCAAGCATTGGCAAGTGATTGGTGGCGATCCTCGGCACCCCGCAATTATGTCAGAATTGGCACTCCTATACGGAGTAGGTGCCCTTTCAACCTCGGTTTCTTGCTTTGATTATATGATGTACTAATTACTAGGTCTGTTCTAACCGAATTTACTCTCGTGGCTGCTCTTCGAACCCGAGCGGAGACTTCACACCCCGAGTCCGACTTGGCGCATGGTCAAATCGGAAACAGCCAACCGGAGTCCACGGGTGCGGTACCTCAGGGCTACGGATTTCCATTCCTCTGCCAGATGGCGACGCCCCGCCTTTCAAAATCCTCCTCCTCGTCTACCATCTTCGCTAAATTAGACAAGACAAGCACCGCTACAAACAGGCCGCAACGAAGAGTCGATGAGTATCAAAGCATTGGTTCAGCCACTTTGGACCACGACAACAGTTGGAACTTAACGTCATGGAAAGGATCGATACATTGTCACAACCTAAACTGCAATGTAAGGCCCCCAAGGCGATGGCTCGTTGTCGCGAAACCATCTCTGCTCGTCCTCTGAGCCTGTAAAGGGGATATGCACAAATTCGCGCTCAAGTTCCTCGCTGTTGACCCCCCAGTTGTAACCTTTGTCGGCAAGGTACGGCTTGACGGTTTCGTGGATCACATCCATAAACTTAGTCCTCATAGGCCTTTCACCAGGGGGGAAATGCCTGGCGATGTGGCTGAATGTAATACGGACAAAAGGCTTCACTCCTTTTGCGTCCTGCTCAATTGTAGGTGATCAGCAAATTGACTATTGCTCAAGTTCTCCTGGACTTACGCCCGATACTCCGACCCGGTACAGAGTGCCGAGGGGGTTAAAGGGGGGGGCGCATCTCAATGAATACGAGTGCCACATAGAATGCCGGCAGCCCAACTCGGGTATATATCGGGGTGATGGCCTCGGCCAGTTCGCTTTGTGCTCGAGATCTGTGAAGCTCCCAGTAGGATGATAAATTCTCCAGTCAGGCGTTTTGCAAAATAAGTAGTCAAGCAATTTGTGATATGTGCGTGCTTTGATAGCATTGTAGAGAGTGATTTTTTCGCAAGGTAGGTTTCTTTGTGAGAGGAGGGAGAGCAAACATCTGTTCCCTGTTGCCGATGATTAATGATCCTTATCCGAGTCCTACTCCACTCGCCTCACCATAACAAATTGAATTGCGGGGTACCGTCAAATCATCCCGAATTGTGGGGGTACCATCAAATCATCCCGAACCCACTGCAGATCATGCTGTGTGCGGTCATAGAATGTGCCATGAAATCATCCCTGTATATCCCAAAATTCTTGATAAGTCATCAGGTCCGAACCGGGGTTGAATCAACTTACTGACGATCTTGCAACAAAGGGGGTACGGACCGCTACTTAAATGACATGCTCCTCGTCTTGCAGTGTTCTAAGTTCATTGCGATCTTGTACCATTTCCTATATCCTCTCCTCATACAAAACTCATTTCTAAGATGGCTGGGCTGAGGGTAGCTGTTTATACCGTTCCCCCAATCCCGTGCGTTGACCATGTCTCTCATCGCGAAAATACCACATGGTCGCCAGAAACCTGCACTCTGATTTTCTCACCAAACGAAGCTGTTCTCGTCGATACGGGAATCACAATCAACCAGAACAAGGACTTGATCAAGTGGATCGAGGCAACTGCACCAGGACGGAAGCTGGCCTACATCTACATCACGCACGGCCACGCAGACCATTTCCTAGGACTCCCTCAGCTGCTGGAACGCTTTCCAGAGGCGCAGCCCGTGGCAACCGAAGGCACTGTCCAGCATATAAAACAGCAAATTGCGGAACCGTATTTCACCTCGAGCTGGGTGGCCTTTTTCCCGGGAGGCCAACTTGCTACTCCAGGGCCGCTTCCGAAACCGCTTCCAAAGGATAACAAATTTGTATTGGCCAACCGATGGACCTTCGAGGCTATTGAGTGTGGACATTCCGACACCTTTGACTCCACCGTGCTCTGGGTCCCAGATCTGAGACTTGCGGTCTGCGGGGATGTTGTATACGGCAATGTTCATCAAATGCTTTTCGAGGCGAACTCTCCAGAGAAGCGACAGGAGTGGATCAGAGCAGTGGAAAAGGTCGAGGCACTCAATCCAGCGTATGTGGTACCTGGACATCGAAACGCGGATGAGATGGATGGCGTTTGGCATTTGGAGTCAACCAAGAAATATATCCAAGATTTCATTGATCTGTTGGATGAGAAGCCCAGCAGTACAACTGAACTGTACTCTGCAATGCTTGCAAAGTATCCGGACCGATTCAATCCCATGGTCCTCGGTTGGGGCTGTCATGGAGCCTACGTGTCTGGCGAAGTGCCCTCAGCTAGCTGAGTATCCTCGACAAGCGAAGCACACAGAAATTTATTGTCTTTTTAATATCGGCTAGTAGAGGTTAATACTACCAGCAGATGTTACATTGCTGAAATTGGTTTGAGTCAGAATGCTGCCATTATCCTGCGTAGAACTGGTTACGTTTTTCATCTGTTCCAGGGCGAAAAGGTGAACCGCCAGCCTCAGCTTTTATCAGCGTCTTCCACCTCTATCTCACTATCACTTTCGTCAGGCGCATGCAAAGACCTGATCTTGGTCGCTTTAATTTTCCTACTTCCTTTGACATTAGTAAGCATCTAAATGTATAACTCTACGGAACTCTGCGATACAGAAACAACTTGGAGGACATTTTTCAAAGACTCTGCTGGTTGCTATCGTAATTCTTACTACGGACATGATCAATTGAACAAAGACACTTGCAATTAGGATAAATCAGGTGATCTTGACTAATGGTCTACTTGACATAAACGAGAAATACCAATGAAACCTCTTGGAAGACCGGGCTTGGATGTGGCCCATCGGCACTGACTCGGTTGGAACCATTCGATGAGAGTTGGTAAAAGGGACGGTGGCGACACATGTCCTGCGAGGAACGGCCTCTACTCCAAAAGACGGTCTTGCAGGAACTTTGCCTGAACCGGGACGTTTTTCGTGAAGAGTGGCCCGCTGTATGGATCAAAATGTCCGCCCGGTAGCATGTGCAATTGCTTCGGTTCCCTCGCTCTGGCAAAGGCTTCAAGTGCAATGTCGGTGGGTGTCACAACGTCATTATCCATGACAATCATCAATAATGGGGCAGGGGCAATGTGCTGGATGAGTGCTGCAGGCTCGTATGCTCGGAATGCTTCGAGGCTATTCAATAGTTACACCCGGTACACTACCAACTCCGGGTACCGTAGGGGAAATACCTCTTTAGAGTCACATCGTTTTTCCAACCCAACGGTTCGGCTGAAATGTAGCCATTGTAGCTGTCCGATGAAGGAAGAAAAGAACGCGCTTGGGGATTCTTGTCCACAACGGGGATCCGGCGGGGCTCTTCCCCCCTAGCACGAGCCTGGCGATCTAGTTTTACGCGCAAGCTGGTCAGCAAGGGTATATTCCTCTTAACTTTTTTTATCCGTTAGATCACGTCGAATCTCACCATCGGCAAAGAGCTGGTTTAGACCTGGGACCAAATCCGCCCTGTTTAAGCGATGGAAGGTATCCCATCCGCTGGTCAACGGCCTGTGTAGACACGGTAAGTTGGAATACCACTGCTGAAAGTAGAGATATTGGACTCAACAAGGAAAGCTTACACCTGGCTAATCACAGCTTTCACCCGACGATCGACAGCGCCAACTGTAAGAACATGACCTCCGCTGAATGAGCTGCCCCAGATGGCAATTTTCTCAGCGTCAACCTCTGGCAGGGACTGCGCAAACGTAATGGCATCTGAGTAATCACTGATTTGCAGTGCTGGGAGGATTTCTCTCCTTGGCTCGCCATCGCTTGCACCAATGCAACGATTATCATAGGCAAGACAGGCGATCCGCAGGTTCGATGTGAAATATTCCGCAAAGGGCCTCAGCCCCATTTCTTTGTGAGCTGCGAAGCCGTGTGCCATGACGAGACAGGGCAAGTCTCCAGTAAAGGAATCGGGGACGAACAACCATCCGCGAAGAGTGAGGCCGTCCGATGTTTTAAACTCTATATCTTTGAAAGGCATCATGAAAGATGGTTATTTGTTCGCTGGGGTTCTTTTGCTGTCCGAGTATATTTGATGAGTCCCAGCAAACGAGGAGCGAGGAACGATGTATTTCAGTAGTGAATGAGAGCAAGTGTTCTAGGCTCCGCTGGGATCATGAGAATACTCGCCAAGTTACTTTCCCCAGATTTCGGAGAGTCTGCGTGATTACTGATCCAGCCGGTGCTCATCTAGGGCTTACAGGTACATGTCTGACATGGATAACATATCCACTAATCGGCGAACTGACCCCGCGACGACACAAAGCTTCCAGAAGTGTGCCTCGGAATAAACTCAGACTATCATTATTATTATTCTCTGTTGCCTAAGCCTTGCAATATGATATTTCCGGAATGATTAGTCGTCATTGCAGCCGGCATGATGAGACATCATTAAGCTTCCTGTATCCCGTGTGTGGGGTATGCTTGTCGATCGTCCATGGGATACATGGGATACCCGAGGATATGCTGGCTGGGACCGCCCCACATGTCAGTGGTGAGTTTGTGTACTTATCACTTATAACCAACAGGCTTCCTTCACTCCAAGGGCACTATCCATGAGTTGATCTTGTGTTGTACTTCTGTACTGTCCATGTCCGAGACTTTCGTCACAGACTTTTCTAAGCGAAACTGTATCAAAGACCCTCAACATGCCCCTTTGGCTCGTTTTCCACCCCTGCGGCACTTTCGAGGACGATTCCGCAAAACGAGCGCTAAGCAAAGACATAACAAACATATACACTGGCATAGGCCTTCCTGCCTTTTACGTCGTCGTCAACTTTGTTAAGCTCTCGCCTGGGGATGTCTGGGTTGGAGGTGAACCGAAAACCGACAAGCCGTTTATTCGAATCCTGGTCGACCATATTGCCGTTCGGCTTGAGAATGAGGACCGCGTTTATGAACGCAGCGCTGATGCAATTGAAAAGGCGTTGAAGCCGCATATTTGTGACAAGGGTTATGATTGGGAATTCCATGTCGATGAGACTGAAAGGAGACTCTGGCGCGTCAATGGGATTATCCCTCCTCCGTTTGGGAGCGATATGGAGAAGCAGTGGGCGAAGGACAACAAACCATCTGTGTGGAGCGGTGCATATTAAGGTCTTACATTGGGCTTGGGGTAGGGTATTTTGGTTTTGAAGAATCGTATGCATCGCACCCCCTGTCCTGGCGTAAGCCGCCACAGTCCTGTTCCTCCTATGTCGAAGAGAGTGTTTACTGTACTTATTGAGTATATATTCAATTCTATATCGTGCCTCGACTAGGTCATTCATTACTAGCATAAGTTGACGGCTGATTGAATCGGCGGGGTTCTTCTAACCCACACTTATTCCCGGCATACCTGAATGTTGACAATGAGTTTGTACTCGATTTCATGAGTTTGAACATCTCGAGTCTATTCGCTGAAAGGGACAGTCAAAGGAAAGACTTGTTTGTGTACTAGGATTGGGCCGCATATTCCTTCCCATGTTTCATGGGTTCCTTACAACTGCATTATGCAAGGAGTACATGTTCAAATGTGTATGTACAGATATCTACATTTATCCTTCTTAATCAAGACTTGCTGAACTGGAGCAAAATTATAAACTGTGTGCTGGACCTATTCACTTAATACGGCTGAGAGTTACCTGGGTACTTGAAGACATTCTTCAGTAAGTTCTTATCAAAAATGAAGGAATAACGAAGATACAGGATAGAAGGATATCTTGCCGTACTCATTAGAGGTACAAAGAACACTTCTTAGTAGGTTGCAGTAAAGAGGATGTACAATCAATTGTTCAAGAAAAGATAACCGACATCAATATACAGGCCAATCATACATTTATGTCTACCACGCCTGACTATAGTGGAGAATAGATTTCTACCAACAATATCCATCATTAATGAATTATGGCGACGACTGCGGAAACGGAGATCGCTGATCCCCGCCTGCTCCACCGGAGGAATTAGTGATCAGATTAAAGTGCTGTGGGTATTCCCTGCATATAACAAAATATCAAGGGATAGGACGAGGTAACTCTAGCTTCCGGGATTGTTCAGGCCAATCTGCATCAAACCCGAGATGCGGGGGCAGCAAGATGAGTAATTTCGGAGAGTTGATAAATCAATACTCATGCCCCCGAAAGGCCGCCCCCTGCCAAGGCAGTTCTGCCTCCATCTCCTGAGCAAACAGCGATTCCCCGTTCCCACCCCCTTTCCTGGCTCACTGTCAAGTAACTAGCTTGACTGTCTCGTGCGTCGAATTAGTATCCAAACCTCCGCAAATAAAACAACAAAGTGATTATTGTGGGTGTAGGTAGGAATCCTAGTTTTCTGAGTGCGTTCCGCCCTGTAACAGTGGCTGGCTCGCACACCAGGCCAGTGGTAATCTGTGAACTGGGGTTCTAAAGGAGCTACTCGAGAGCCGATTCTAAAGATCTGTGATGTGTCAAAGAGTCAATGCTAAAAAATTTATGTTTCTAACTAAGGCAATTGGGCTTTGCCGACCTCGACCGAAACATCAACATGGAGTCGCTCCGTTGCTGTTCCCTAGATTCATGCGTAGTTAGTGATTCAGCTTCATCCTGCTGTTGCACGGGTCCAGGGTGTTGGCTTATATACTTCGACCTTTTGGTCTAGTTGGGAACATGCTTGCCAGATCACATGCTCTTACAATTACTAGTATATGGTATCTACTAAGGATTGAGGAGGATCTAGTATAGACCACAACAGAGCGCTTCATTAGGGGAAATGCTCTTTTTACTATCTCAGAAGCAGTTTAATGATCGAATCATATATGCCTCTCTCCTCTGAGCTCTCATCGCGCGCCGCATTAGATTTCTCTCGTCCCAACTCTATGGGTGGCATCCCGAAATCATCACTTACAAACCTGTCTGCTTTGTTGCTGAGCAACATCTCCACTCCCATACTGTTTCCGGCATCAACAGCCAAATGAAGCGCAGTTCTTTCATGAATCCCGCAGCGACGATCCAGATGTACGTCCCTATTGTCCCAATGCTGTAAGAGTTCTTGAATTATATTCTGATTCATTACGAAATCATAATCCTCACGGGGGAGGTATTTGCGTTGCCCCGCATCTGGCGTTCGATACATTATGTCCCTTATGGGCCCAGGCGGCACGATGCAGCGCGCTCAATCCTCGAGTCGGTTCCACGATGAAGTCAATGGCGCCGCTTTTCGGACATGTCTCAAGCAAATATCTGAGCCGAGGTATAGTGTGTTGTGACGAAGAGGCAACTATATGTCCAAGAACAGTTGTGGGATGTTCCAGGGAGAAAAAGCCAGCACTAGTCTGCAAGGCATTAGGGTTTGCACCAAAATACAGAAGCGTGGTGGCTAAATTGAAGGCATTATGCTGTATAGTAACGAGGAACGGTGTTTCTGGGGATTGCTGCGTTCCGTCTGGGCTGTTAGGGATCCCATCGATCGGCAGGCCGGCTTGGATTAGGAAAGATACTAATTCTGAATGATTTTCGTCGTGGCTGGCAGCAGCGAAGATATGAAGCCCTGTCCAGTTCATTTCCTTTGCGCTGAAAGGATTCCTCGCTGCTGCTTTCGGGTCAGCGCCGCTTGCAACCAGAGTCTCGACAATGTGTTTCCGATTCCATCGAATCGCTTCCAGTACGGGTGTGCGGCGATCCCCTCTGGCTGGTCGGTTGATATCACTCGCATTATACGCGCCGGGACATGTCTGACCTTCTCCGCACTGAATATCCAATGATTCGACCAATTCACTCACTTTGGCGGACAAAAGATATTCCACAACTTCATAATGGCCCTCGCTGACGGCATAATAAAGTAAATGTGTATCAAGTCCTCCGACCCCTGTGGCGAAGACGATATCCTTGGATTTCTTTAGGCATAGATCCAAGAACTCATGCAATCTGTCCCGGTAACTTGAACCATTTCGAAGAACCATAGAAAATACATCTGCAGCATTTGCACCTGCCGTGATAATGGGCGAGAGACTATAGTCCATCCCAGCGCGGTCTAGAGCATCCATCATGAGCTTTAGACACTCGACATGATGAAAGAAAGCAGCGAATTCCAGTGGTGTTGACCGACCAAGGAGGTCAGTAGGCCAGTCCAGACATACAGAAGCATCTGAAGCCTGATCCAAGATAAATTTTATGATGCAGGGTCGGTCATGATGAACTGCCCAGTTGAGGGAACATAAAACGTTGAGGATTCACCGGGGTGTTCTGATGAGAGCCTCGATGTCAATTCTCGCCCGGATGGCATTGTAGGGGAGTTTGACCTGATATAGCTTGATTTTTGCGTCAAGATAGGGAATTCTTATTTTTTATTTCTCTACTCAATGTCATAACTAGGAATCTATTGAGCTTAAATCATCGGCAGTAGCTGTACAATCACTAATTTGGTGTACATGCGGTCGGAAGTCAGTTATTGGCCGAAATAACATCACAGCAAGGTGAGCCGACAATCTATTATGTCATGGGTGGACGTAGATGGGATTTACTTTCAACCAAGAACGAAGATAGTGCCATATAAAGTATAAATCCATGTTGAGATGTCGGAGCTAAGAATCACATACACACACGTCATTGATATTAGGGTTTGCTATTTGTCGTCCGGGCCGTTGAACTAGGTGGAGGATCTGAAGAAGGTTGAGAGGTCTGTCATTCTGAATAACTGGGGAAACAGCACTATTTAAGCACAGGAATCGACTAAACTAAATAAGGAAATAGGGGCTATCTAATATTACTACTCCAATCACTGTATCTCGTGAGTCCTGAGAGGAATGTTTAATGGAATAGTAAGAGGAATGCTTGCGCGGGGTCCAGAGCCAGGGGCTCTAGCCAACACACCCCCTTAGCAGTTGGAGGTTCCTAATTAGGACGGGATAAGGCTCGAGATATCAACCATATTCAACATCTTGACAAATTCTTGGTGTAGTGGTTTTAGGAGAGCCTTGGTAAGTCCATCCACAGGCATAGATCATGAGGGAACCCAGGTGACTTGTAAGCAACGTTATTAAACCTCTTGACGTAGCCAGGCGTGGTGTATGTTAACGTGTTATAGCTTAGTGTATACCATCATCATCTCCTTACTTAATAAATTAATTATAGAGCTATTATTATAATATATTTTAAGGTCCTCTTTAGGGTTAAAATTAATGTCTCTAAAAATCCTCTTCCACTAGTATAATGACTTAGTGGCTTTAATCATCAATATATATTCTACTTTAGTAGTTAATAGTAAGACGATACATTATTTTTAAGATCTCTAGTCAATTAGTCCTCCATATAATAGGTAGATAAATCCTCTAGTGCTCTTTTAATTATGGGTATTAGTAAATATAGCATTAGTAGCAGTAAGAAACACCTTACTAGCTTGTATTAAGCTTCCTCCGTATTCTAATACAAGGAACCACGTGTTGTAGAGGTAAGCAATAACCTAATTAGCAGCCCTAATATATGTAGTAGACGGATTAACGAGAAATCATGATAGTACGCCATGTGCGTAGGCTATATCCAGCCAGGTACAGGTCATGGCATAGCTAATTAAACCGACTTTTAACTAATATTCATGTATTTGGCTGGGAGATGCTATTTCCTTATTAGGAACTAGCTTCTGAGTAGGGAGCAGTGTCATTAGCTACTATACAAGGTCATTTAGGTGGTATCTTATGGTGATAGCTTTAATATATAAATCCTAGGAGAGCCAGATCTTCTTCTAGGGTTAGTCCTAGGTCACGCGCATCTTAAGGAACCATTTTAACTCCCCTATATCCTTTAGTTTATATTTCTCTTTAAGCGCTGTGGTGAATCTAGTAGCTATAGCGCGGCCTTTGTATATTAGAAGGTTAATAATTAGTATATTATTAATATATATAAGTACTAACATGAATTCATTAGTAAAGAGGCATTCTTCGTCTAGAATAGGTCGTAAGTCATGTGCTTTAATAGTTATAGATAGGTCTTCCTGCCAGAGTCGTGGCAATTTCCGTAGGCTATATAAAGCTTGAAGAAGCTTCTAAACCTTCCTAGGTATGCCGTGCCCTGGTGGCATCCTAGTATAGACAGGTTCGTATAATATAGCGTTAAGGAAGGTGTTGACGGCATCTTGTTACTTTAAATTAAGGTCATACATTGCTATTAGGACTGTAATTATTCAAAGAACTCTAGCTAAAGTAGTTATAGCGCGATTCTCCTCTTTACTACGTGATTATAGGTCTCCGCGGACTACTAGGCGTGCCTTAGCCTTAATATAGTATCCATCCTCATTGAATTTATACGTGAAAACCTATATAAGTAGAAGGATCTAATGGTTCTACGCCTCTACTTTATCTATAATAATATAAGACTTCTTCCTCTTAATCTCTACTAGTTCGCTCTATATAGCTACTAGAAAGTCTTAACTAAGTAGATACTTCTATGCTTCTAACTAATTACGTGGCTCTAGAGGCATCTAGGTTCAATAAAATCATTTAGTTATCTTAATAGCATTTATCTATGGATTATCGATGTATGGTAATTAGAAGTAATCATTATTAATATTATTAGCTTCGACGTATTAAGCTTAGTAGTTTAGAACATCTCTACAAGTTCTAGTTTAACTACTAGTAATAATATTCTTCTATAAAACATCTAAGCCAGGCCATCATGGCGCATCTATTATATCTTCTTTACCCCCTGAACCAGTATCCGCGGCAAGGGGATTCAGACGTGTGGATCATCGTACAGGTTTAGTAGCAGCTTGCTGGAGTGATTCCTAAAGTGCCCAGCTTAGTGATGGGGGATCTAGCGCCGTGTTACGGAAGGTTGACCTCTCAAGCCTTCCTAAACCTTGGGATCGTCTTGACCTAAGCCCTGACGATGGATTGACTTACTCAAGTATGCTCAACGTCCAACTAGTATGGGGACTAGTCACGGTCGGGGTGGCTAAGGCGTAACGAAGGCAAGGCCAGTCTTTACCACGTATGATAAAGCCTGTCAAGAAGTACTTAGACGAAGTGTTGTCGCAAGGGTCTTGAATCAGAATGATCTGAAGGTAGCACTTAGAATAACAATGGTATTGATCACGAAGAACAAGTAAGACTAGATACAGGTGGGTAATGAGCGTCCTTATATATCCTTCGTGCCTGACTACCACCCTGACTACCATCTACCATGGTAGTCCCAGAGGTAGTTCCCCCCGACTACCTTCCCGACTACCATTCCTCGTGGTAGTCCCTTCGGTAGTCTTCACGTGGCCTGCCTCGTGGGCGCTTAGCTCCTGGGTGAGCCGTGTCGTACAACAGCTCATCTTTGGCGTAGCTCACAAGCGCCCGGAGTTGTGCCTGTTAACACCGAAGGCCTGTAACATTATCGCAGCGGTAAAGTTATCGCGAGGTGAACGTTAACCGTAGTTAATGTTATCGTGAGCGTAATATTATCCCGGGGATAACCTTATCGTCGAGGAACATTATCCGCCCGATAATATTCTGACCGCTGAATGTTCTGCCGGTAGAACGTCTGACCGCTTGGCTAGGTTCATAACA